AAAGGAATATGCCCCCTTAGGCAATGGTCACGGAAAGCTCGCTCCTCAGCTGTCAACCTCCGTAACGTTCCTTCTCGTTCTTCCTTTTTTAACACCATAGCTTCCCGTTCAGCATCGCTCTCATGCAACCATTTTGCCAACCTGTGACGTATTCTTTTAACCAATCCAAACGCCCATCGCGCCCATATGGAGGATTGTCCAATACGCTCTTCCAGGGTAGAAGCGAATGTTGCCGACCACGGAACAACCACGCGAACCTGTTCCAACGATTCCCATAGTTCCATATCAGACACCAGGAAAGTCGTAGGTTTCACCAGAGCATGTCCCAATGCTCCTTGATCAAAGTGTGCAGCGTACATTCCATAACGCTCACAAAAGCTTTTCACCTCTGGCCAACTCCAGAAGGTAGGACTTGAGAACCCTTCCTGAGAACCATCCACCAGATCCTCAGCACTCAAGACCGTTTTGCCGTTCTGAGAGAAATCTTTCCCTATGAGTTCAGGGTCCCCAGGGCTTTCCATGCCAAAGAAGACAGAACTTCCATTGATGACTTCAGCAGTTCCACACCTTGAATGCACCGCCACGTAATATAGGAAAAGCATCTTCAGAAGTAAAACACCATCCTTTTGAGCTAATTCTTGATGTGGCCAAGGAAGACTCTTTAATCCCAACCGTTCAGGCCCACAGCGCCGGCGTAATACAGGTGGACCACCGTCTTCACCTCTCAACCTTGACACTGTCCTGCATGGAGGTCCTCCAACCACAGCAACCACCTTTCCTTCAGCTGCCAGATGCAGAAGATACTTCCAGACGCTCGAATTATGTAGGTCACCGCCTTTTGTCAAATCCAGCTCCAGTACCTCCACATCCCGACTGGAAAAATGCCATTTTTGTTTTCCCGAAAATAGGTGTACCACCACCCTTTTTGCTCGTGCCAGCCGTCTCCTTTTATGACGGTTGAAAGGCAACGCCGCAATATCTCCGCGTGGCAACAGCTCCATCAGCATATTTTCTGGTATATCCCCATAATACCACCGAAGAAATCGCCAACATGCCTGGACGAACTCCTCCTCATTCGCTGACGCTGTCCGCGCTGCGCTTTGCAACGACGCTTTTACAGCCACCTCGTTGTCCGTGTTCGGACACCCTTGAACCATACGTGCCACCTTCAATGCTTGCTTTGGTGAACACCAATCCATTTCATCAATGATCTGAAGCGCCACCTCCTTTTCCAAACAGGGGCACCCATTCAGATCTCGAACGCGAAGTTCCCCCAGAACAGGATGTGAGGCTGTGCACTTGCCACCACGCCACTGAACTCTGAGACCAACCAAAGCGCTCGCTTTGCCAATTGGCACTAGTGGATCTACCATTTCAGGAGTTACCAGGGTCCCACCTGGGGTAATACACATTTCCCGAGATCCAACAGCTAAAGACACCAACACCTTTTGCTGCGGAAGCTGTTCACCAGGACGAAGTGATCTGAGAGGATGTGATGCTCCCGAGTCCAACATGCCCATTCCCGAACACTCATTGGTGTCAGAGACCCTGGCCACATGTGGAACGCATACTCCTCGGCCTTCTCCCTGCTTCGGCAACAACGTGGCATCAGACGAACCGACTCCACAGTCCGCCCTTCCATTCCTCCATTGAGAATGGGACCAAGATGCACGCTGCCTTTCAGCATGCAAAACCATTTTTTCAGCTGTTTTGTAATCCATAACCAAACAGCCATGTTCAAACCGCAAGAGCTGGTCCAGCGAAGATTTTGCACCCACGTGACACATCCCATTGATCACAGTGAGGTTCGCCCCAAACTCCAAAATCAACCAGAGAGGGATAATCAGGGGCCCATTGTCTTCCCTAATCAACGTCCCTTTCTCTGTAATCCTCATTGTCACACCACCAAGCGCGCTTTGCACCATAACAGTAGTGTCGGGTAAATATTCCCATGGAAAAAGCGTCCGCGCAAGATGCGTAGCAGCTGTATCCACCAACGCCACTCTCCCTTCCTGCTGAAACAACCCAGAGCCACATAACATTCTAACACTGGGATCCCCGCTTGATGCTGACTGCGCTGATGACAGTTTCATAGATTTCAGCACTTCCAACGCTTCAGCAAGGACCTGATTGGGTGTTGATGGCGATGAGGGACTTGCAGAACCTTTTTCCAATCCTGCATTAGCCGTCTCATCTCCCCCTTCAGCCACCTCTGCCTTTTTGGCATTTCCCCATTTCGCACCTTTGCCGCCCTTTCCCCCTTTGGGAGAATTCCCTTTAGATCTATTCCTCTCAGGGTTTGAGTCCGCATTGGAACTTACACCATCCTTATATGGACACTGCGGCTGTCGATGGCCAACGGCCCCACACTCAAAACATCTTCCTCGCTCCAGGGAGTCTTTATCATGGCGAAATTTGCAACGGGATCCGAACTTGCAGCCTGCATCAGTCTTCCCATACATCCAACAGAAGGGACGTTCACCATCACCGCTGTACCTTTTTCCTTTCCCTTTGCCTTTATCACCCTCCTCCGTCTCGTCACCAGTTCCCTTTTGGGCTTTGTTTAACCTGGCCCTTTTCTTGGCGTCCGAGTCCTGCTTCACCTCCTGATCACCAGCACTATGCAATAGCAGTTCAAACTCTGCCTGTAACATTTCAGCTAGTTGTGTCGCAGTTTCAGAGGTCGGCGAGTGGTCCACCCCCAATTTCTCCCGAAAGGATGCCACTCTGAAATGAACCGTAGGGTGTTTTGCCAGCAACGCGGATGATAAACCATCCAATCCCTTGATAAGCAAGGTAGCGTCCGGCTCGGCTGCTCTCAACTCCCTTAATCGGGAACGCCATTGCGCCCATTGACGCACTCCCTTGATGGCCTCTGAGATCGAGGTTGCTGAAGATGGTTGCACCAAGAAGTTCAACATTGTGCTGCGCTCATTTGCTCCACCTGGTTGGTAGACCGTCAGCATTTTGTAAAATATCATCACTGACCCCAACATTCGAGTGGAAACGATCTCGGTCTTCAATCTCTCCGGAATCGCCTGTAGCAGTAAAGACACCGCTCTCTGCTCCAACAAAACATGCACAGTTTGAACCACTTTGAGCCCTTCCAGCTCAGCCTTGATGCCCAACCTTTCCAGCGGAGAAACACTCAACCATTTGGCATACGCTTGATATGCCTTTGAATAGACGCATTGCCACCACACTCTTCCTGTATCTGTCAGTGAAGACAACATTGGTTCGATCATTGCGATCCAATCACCCAGTGCCGTCGGCGGATTGCTTGGTGTGTAGTCTGCCAAAGTAGGAAGTAGGAAGGCTCATCACATGCTTCCCAAGAGCCTCCGGACGTTCGGTTCCAGAACTATCACCAATGATTGGCATACCACGTGGCACCACTGCTCCAGGAGGTAAACTGACCCTACCACCAGGCCCTTGAGGCAGTCCATGTCCTATACCAGGCGTAACAGCTGTGAGCGGAACCTTTTCTAATTCCAACTTCCCAGCGACCATTTTCCACCGATACGGAACATCATCCACCATTGTATATCCACCCGATCCTGCTGAGTTCTCTTGCGTCGTAGTTTCCCGGGCTGAAACAAAACCGGGCTGGTTCCCCACAAGTGCGGCAGAACCATCAGCACCTGACGGCAAGGAAGTAATCGGAACATGTGTTAAACCAGGTGGTCCACTTGCGTATCCACTACTTGCAGGACCTCCCGTGGGGTGATTCAATGGAGGCAATCTGGAGGGTTTCTTCCCTTCAGCTACATGCATCATTGGCACTTCTTTTTCATCCTCCACTTGAGCGTCCCCCTTCCTGGACCCAGGCAAGGATTGAAGATCACAACCCTTTGGCAGGTCGTAGCCCTCAATAGGCAGCCATGTCCCATCAGGCAACACAGTCCAAAAACCACCCATACCATCCGTGTAGAAGACTTGTCCTGGCAGGTACTGTTTCTCTGGAGTCATTCCCAAAGGATATGCGGCATTTGCGTCCACCACTCCAGTGCTCCGTGCTCTCGAAGCTGACCCTGATGCAGCAGAGGTATAGCTTTTCTCCTCCACCCGATGCAACCTGTTCCCCAGCTCCTTTGTTTGCGCAAGCAACTCCTTAAGCGCACGCTTTACCACCGCCATATCTTCACTTTGTTCTTCCCCACCAACATCAGGAATGAGCTCTTCCTCTACTTGCGCTCCACCAATAGTACCTCGTTCCATCTGGCCCATTAAGCCTGACGATGGCCTCTCAGCTGGTGCCGGTTCCCGATCCCGAAGTTCTGGCAACGACGGTGGCCTTCTTGTTTCTTCACCACTTCTATCCCCTCCGCTCGCAGGAAGACTTGCTGGCCTTGAGTGCCTCAGTCTCATTTCTTCTTGAGCCCGCTCGCTCCAGAAAGGATTTGCTGCTGGAACCGGAACCACTTCGTTTTCCACCTGAGACGTTGGTTGAATCATTGCAACCTCCCTACCATCTGTCAGCGCTTGTACCACTTGTTGTCGTTCTTCACCCCCATCACCACGATTTCCTTCGGCTTCATTGGCCGTGGGCGACAGTCCAGGCTCAGAGCGACGCCGCATCATGTCCATGGCGTTAAACAAACGAAAAATCTTTACCTATACCGCAGGAAGCCTAATTTGGGCTCATAACCTACGGGGGCAACCGAAAGGGGAAGGGAATCAACCCAAACAGTCGCCAGAGGTTTCACCCTGAACCAACCAGCAAACACCAAGAACTCAAAACTTCTTTTTGCTACCAGGCGCATGGCCCAGTCTTGAGCCAATAAGATTACCGGGTGCATTGACCCTTCAACTTTCAACGCCAACTCCTTTCTACAATACCAACTGCAGCTCCGCACCCTAAACCCTAAACCCTAAACCCTAAACCCTAAACCCTAAACCCTAAACCCTAAACCCTAAACCCTAAACCCTAAACCCTAAACCCTAAACCCTAAACCCTAAACCCTAAACCCTACCTGCCCTCCCCCATCCCAAAAGAGCAGGTTCCAGTCCGCTGGCGACTGCTGGGGCTACTTCAGCGTCGGCCTCAAGGCAGGGCTCGGGGTTTGGGGTTTAGGGTGTAGGGTTTAGGGTTAGGGGTTAGGGGTTTAGGGTTTAGGGTTTAGGGTCTACACTACATGCCTTCTAGGAACTGCAGGTCTTGAGGTTCAAGAGTTCAGAGGGTTCAGGGGGTGACGTGCAGAACTCCCTAAGCCTTTCACCCTCAAGCCGGTGGTTGGGGTTTTCAGTTCATTCGTGGCTGTTTTAAACGTTTTTTCCCTGAGCCCTATAAGCCTCAGCGCGCCAGCCCTGCACCCCAAAAAAGTGTCTTGGGCTTGTGGTCCAGGCCTAAACGCCTAAAGCGCCCAAACGTCCTTAAACTCAAAGGCTCACCTCTATGGATGCCTTGAAGCCAAACATCTGCCGTGCTGAGAAAGATACTCTTGTATCTCAAGTCACAGCATATGAAAAAACCCCAAGAGACCCCCCCCCCCCCCCGATCCCTTCAAACTAGGATCGGGGGTATCGTCCTCATACATACAGACAAGTTATGTGGTCAGTTCTCAAAACGATGGTCGTTGTTGGGTACCCTGAATAAGGGGGGCCGCCTCATATTAGTAACCCCAAAAAGGACCATATTTTAGAGAAGTGACCATGTAGTAAGGGACAGGTACCGTCCTGCAGCGACCAAACTTTAGCATGTTCAAGTGTACGGGAAGCACATGACCGTTCACAGTCAACCCCTCGCCTGCTTTCTCAGAAAGGGGGACCCGAACTGCGGACAGATATCTTCATGAAAGAAATACTTGGAGGTTCAAGGGTGCTTCTAACCCAAATCATAACTGTAGTTATCACCTACTTAGGGGACTTAGGGGGATCATTGCTGCAGCTATGATTTGCGTTATAAGTACCCATGAACCTCCAAGAAGAGGAATGCCAGCAGAGCGCATGATTTCATGGAGAAGTGTGGGATGTTCCCCCTTATACTCCAGTCCTTAACGGGGATTACAATGGGTACCTATAAAGGACTGGCAGTATAAGGAGGAACATCCCAACCCTAAACCCTACGTAGTACCCTAAACCCTAAATCCCAAGTGGAGTGTAGTAGGCCTTTTGCCAGCAACGCTTATTGTAGAATGGCAGCCCTGCCGCCTGTTTCCTCGAGGACCAAATGAACCCTAAAGGGGTTTAGGGTTTAGGATTTAGGGTTTAGGGCTTAGGGTGGACCATATACGGACTATACTACCAGTATCGGGTATATGACCCCAACTTTAGGGTACATTTTGTCCCCTAAATTTTGGCCATGTGCACAACCTCCTGCAGACGGTGTTTACTTGGTAGCCTTGTTAAGCCTCCATAGCCATACCCCAGAAAACCCGGCACCCTCAACCCTAAACCCTAAATCCTAAGCCCTAAATCTTCAACCCTAAACTCTAAACCCTCAACCCTAAACCCTAAGCCCGATATCCTAAACCCTGATCCGAATGCAGGGCGGCATTCACGAGTTCGCCGACTCCCAGTTCGGGCACATCTTCGCCAAGGGCCCGGATCGCGAAGCGGCGAGGCCTGCCTCAGGGCTTGAGGGTTGAGGGTTTAGGGTTTAGGGCTTAGGGTTTAGGGTTTAGGGTTTAGGGTTTAGGGTTTAGGGTTTTAGGGTTTAGGGTTTAGGGTTTAGGGCTTAGGGTTTGGGGTTGCTTAGGGTTTAGGGTTCAGGGTTTAGGGGTGTAACAGTATAACCCTATATAATCCCCAAACCCTAGTAGAACCTGAACCGAAACCCGAAACCCTGCCTACACATGTTTTTTCGTGGATGAACTGAAAGGCACGCGTTGGGATGTTCCACCTTACACTAACAGTCCTTAATAGGGATTACAGTACCCCCGATTGTAATCCCCATCAAGGAGTGTTAGTATAAGGGGGAACATCCCAAGGCAGAGGCAGCTGGGAGAGCTTTTGGGGATTGGCTCGGGTCCAACAAGCCGGCTTGATGGGCCGTGCATGTTGAGGCCATTGAGGTTTCAGTTCATCCGCATGGCTTCCCAACATTCCCAGGGTCACTCGTGGCTTGTGGGTTGTTAAGTTGAGTTTTTTTACCCTAAACCCTAAACCCTGAACCCGAAACCCTAAACCCTGGACACCAAACCCTAAACCCTAAACCTGCCCTCAGCGTGCACCTTTAGAATTTATCGAGAGGGTATTTTGGCAGCTTCCTCCTTTCACGTGTTTGGGTTTAGGACCCTAATTTGGGCGGGTGGATATGGGGGTTTACGATATTGGGGGTACCTTATTGGATTCCTTCTTATAAGGGGATCCTGCTATTCGACATTATATATCAGGGGTCCCTTCTTCCACCCTAAACCCGAAACCCTAAACCCCAAAACCCCAAACCCTAAACCCTAAGCTCCCATATATAGCAGCTGCCAGGAAGAGCTTGCGCTTTGCGCTCATGAACCTTGATATCTCCGGAGACATCCGCCATCCCGCCTGCAGCTGAGGGCAGGTTTAGGGTTTGGGGTTCAGGGTTTCGGGTTTAGGGTTTACGGTTTAGGGTTTAGGGTTTGGGGTTCAGGGTTCAGGGTTTAGGGTTTAGGGTTTGGCGCTCAGATTTTACGGTTGTTGGTTTAGGGTATTGGGCCAGGGGGTGTAGGGCTTAGGAACCTCCGATTGTATTTGTTGGGCGTGCCGGTACGAGGCGTGCCTCGTTTCGTGGTCTGCAAAATTTATCTAGCAAGAAGGTCCTCCAGATGACGGTCGAAGGGGGGGGGGGGGAAGGTGCATAGGGAAGCGTACGGAAGCTTAAGGTGGCAATAAGTAATAAGGGAGCATAAGAAATTACGAGGTTGCCTGCGGCCCTTGGAAAAGCCCCTCCTTGAAGATATTGGAACAACGAACATGTCTCAGGTTTGGGGACTTGGGGGGACCTTCCTTTTCAGACCTCCCCCTCTCCCAGGAATGAATAGCAGCCCTGAACCCAACATGTAAAGTAGCGTGCACTCAAGCTGGAGGCGGAATGATTAGTCACAATTTTTGCAGCCTTTCTGAAACGTCCCAAACCCTAAGCCTCAAACTCTTCCCTAAACCCTAAACCCTAAACCCTGAAGTCTGAACCCTGAAACCGAAACCCGAAGCTGTTCAAGCTCGCAAGGTGGACTACCTGGTGGACCTGCTTGAAACCAAGTCATACAAGGAGCCAAGCGCCTGAACCCGAAGCCCCGAACCCCTAAACCGCTGAACCCGAATCCCTGGACCCTGAACCCTAAACCAAAAACCCTGAACCATAAGCACAACTCAGAGCCTGAACTGATTCAAATTCATGTCGGGCTGAACCTAAACCTCAAAAGTCGCCCTAAACACTAAACCTTGCACAAAAACCTGGAACTCTGAACCCTCAAGCCACATAGGGTGCAGGGGTTTAGGGCTTTTAGCAGGAGTTTTAGTGCTACGCTTTGGGCTCATGAACCAGGAGGCGCCAGGCTTAGGGGAGGATCTCTAAAACCGAAAGCCTTTGGAAGAGGAGCTGGGACGCTAGGGTAAACGGGTGGTTTAGGGTTTAGGGTAAAGGGGTGGTTTGTTTGCCCAGGGCAGATTCAGATTATGAAGCGAGGGGCGGGGGGTCGATTTGAGGATGGACGCCGTAAACCCTGTATTGTATTGGGCCCCATAGAGTTTGGGGTTTAGGATTTAGGGCTTGCTCAGGAGCTCCATTCGAGCTGGGGTGGGGTTCCTTCAGCCGTACACAGCTGTTGGAACCCCCAACAGCGCTGGCACACTGTTTGGGGAACACTTAACATATTCATATACATATCAACAGAATTATACACATACATCTATGTGTATACACATGTAGACTATACATGTATAAGTAGAATATTTTGTCATACATACATATATATATATATACATATATGCATAAATAAAAATAAGTTATATATATATATACACTCTAAATGTGAAGCCTTTTTAGCTGTTGAAAAGTCTCAGCCGGAGCTCTCACACTGAAGCCCCATGTCTACGCGCGCACATATGTGTTTAAGAGTTGTATGATCAAATGAAGAAGCCTAAACCCTAAACCCTAAACCCTAAACCCTTAGAAAGTCTACACATCCTGCCCGCAAGGAGAACACGATTGACACCATGTGGCTAGATGGGCGGGATGCCCAGCTGGGCCGATTGCAAGGTGTCTGTTTCAGGGTTTAGGGTTTAGGGTTTAGGGTTTGCAACCCTAACGTTGGACTGGCTTTAGTATAACAGGGGTCTATAATCACAAGTTTCGAAAATCTATTCAGCGAACCGAGTTTGTTCGGGGTACCGTCTATTATCACAAGTTGTTATCCGGACTTTTTTTGTTTTAAGGGTTTGTGTTTTGGGTTAAGATCTTACGCAGTAAGTCTTGAGGCCCTGAGGGCTTGGGCTCCAGGAATCTCAAAGAGCCAGAGCGCGGAGAGTCCAGAAATCTAAGCCCGGCCAGTTCCATGTAAAGCCTTATGGAAATTCATTACGAAACGAGGCCCCAAACAAATTTTGTGATAGGTAGCCCACTGGCCGGTCAGGTTGTCTTTAGTTGTCTGGCTACCCTCTATAATACCAAGTTTGTTTCGGACAAATTGTTTTTAAGGGTTTGTGTTTAGGGTTAAGGGCTTACGCAGTAAGGCTTGAGGCCCTGAGGGCTTGGGCTCCAGGAATCTTAAAGAGCCAGAGCGCGGAGAATCCAGAAATCTCAGCCCGGCCAGTTCCATGAAAAACCGTATGGAAATTCATTACGAAACGAGGCCCCAATAAATTTTGCGATAGGTAGCCCACGGGCCGGTCAGGCTGTCTTTAGTAAGTTTGTCCGGGTACCCTCTATAATACCAAGTTCTTTTCGGATGATTTGTTTTTAAGGGTTTGTGTTTAGGGTTAAGGGCTTACGCAGTAAGGCTTGAGGCCCTGAGGGCCTTGGGCTCCAGGAATCTTAAAGGCTGGAAAGCTTCAGGCCTTGAGGTCCTAAAGGCTTGAGGCCCTGAGGGCGGTTCCCCCCCCCCCCCCCCCCCCCCCCCCCCCCCCCCCCCCCCCAAATTTGTTTGGGGGGGTCGCCGGGCCACGCGTTTTTGGAGGGTCCAATTTTTGTTGGGGGGGAGGGGGGGGGTGCCCCATACTAAAGACAGTGCAACACTAAACCCTAAACCCTATAACCCCTATAAACCCTAAACCCTAAACCCTCCCCCCCCCCCCGCCCGCCCCGCCATTTCTCCCTCCCGCCCGATGTCCTGGATTCTTGGGGCACACTGGTTCTCGACTCCGCAGCCGGCTGGGACCTGAAACCTGAAACGCGATAACCCAAACATTCGATTCCTTGAGCAAGTCCCGAACCCTTACGCCCTTAACACGATTCCTTCCCTAAACCCCAACTCCTCAAACCCTAAACCCTAAACCCTAAACCCTAAACCCCGACCCCTCAGCCCTGAACAACTTTTCATCGAGGCTGATTGCCAGCAAGGCCATCGCGCCCAGCACGGGCGTCATGGACGTCGCGCGGCAGCAGATGCAAGATGCGCCAGTAGTCTTACTATAGCTACTATACCCTAAGGCTCCAAGTCGCCCAAAGCAGGTATTATTTTCAGACTTTGGACCCCAATGTAGGTGCTATTTGTATACTTGGAGCCCTGGGGATAGGGGCCTGACTAATTACAACAGGGTTTTGGGTTTTGGGTCTATAAGGTTTAGGGTTTAGGGTTAGTTTTACTATAGGGGCTGGAATAATTAGAACAGGGTTTTGGGTTTCGGGTTTGTAAGGTTTTGGGTTTGGGGTTCAGGGGATTGGGGTTTTGGTTTTGTGGGAATATAGGGGCCTGAATAATTAGAAGAGGTTCTGTAGTATTATAATTGCAAAGGGACCATAAGGGTATATTCGTAGTAGCTATTCCGACCCTATATTACTTATTACTTGGCCTGAGTTTTGGAGTCGTATACTTTAATGTTTTTTGGTTCTGGGTTACTATTATGGCTGCGTATACCTAAAACGTACATATGTTTTTGACCAGGGTCTACTCCAAAGTAGGGTAGCCAATCGTACAACTTATTTTTTTGGGTTTCCGTATTTAGTAGGACAAGTTAAGTTTAACCTTTTTTCTCCTTGGCTATTGGGGAAGTAAGTAGTAGAGTTGTAGCGACGGTTCCCCAAAGGTGACCCCGAAGTTGTTTTAGGATTTGGGGTACGGCTCCAGGGTTTAGGGGTAAGGCTCCAGGGTTACGCTTTGTGGTTTCGGGCTCTGGGGCCTTAGGTGCTTTCGGGTTGAGTGCAGGTCGGCTTCTCTGGTTGCCCAAAAACCCAAAGCCCCCAAATTGTCTGCAGTCTGCCCTATAAACTCTCACTAAACCCTAAACCCTAAACCCTGAACTCTTATAAGCCCTAAGCCCTAAGCCCTAAGCCCTAAACCCTAAACCCTAAACCCTAAACCCTAAACCCTAAACCCTACACCCTAAACCCTAAACCCTAAACCCTAAACCCTAAACCCTAAACCCTAAACCCTAAACCCTAAACCCTAAACCCTACACCCTACACCCTACACCCTACACCCTAAACCCTACACCCTAAACCCTAAACCCTAAACCCTAAACCCTAAACCCTAAACCCTAAACCCTAAACCCTAAACCCTAACCCAAACCAGACATCGGATGCCGGACAGGTTGTCTTCTACGCGGCCGTCTACCGTGCCTTTAGCATGGTCAAGACGCGCACGCAGGACGGGTTAGGGTTTAGGGTTTATGGTTTAGGGTTTAGGGTTCAGGGTTCAGGGTCTAGGGTTTAGGGTTGAGGGCTTTAGGATGGTGGGACTTCTCAGCCTAAGAGTACCACGTGGATCAGTTGGACCCAACACCCCGAACCCTGATTAACCCCTAAACCCTCATTAATGAGACACCAGACCCCAAACACCACAAACTGGTCTTCCTTTGCAATTTTTGTTGACTTGACATTCGGGTTTATGGTTTGTGGGGTGTTCCCGCAGTGGGCAGTGATGGAACAGAGCTCTCGATCTTCACAAGGCTTACGTGTGATCAACTATACATCTGTATCCTTGACTTGGTTTACTTTGCTTGAGAGCTTGTGGTTGGAGATGTCTGCCAGGCTGCGTGTGAGGAGAAGTGGGATGTAGGGGCTTCTGAGCCAAAAATGTATTTAGATCCGTCGTAGGATGTTGGGGTCTAGGGTCTAGGGTTTACGGTTTAGGTATATAGGGTTTAGGGTTTAGGGCGGTGCGTGTTGGGTTGGTTTGGGAGCCTTATAGATAAGCGGTGCTCAGTTCTTCGCCATGGGTGTACGTGCAATGAGCTTTATCCCCCAAGCCCTTGGTGATTACAGTACACCCCTAGGTAATACTTGCGGTACAAGCAAGGGCTCTTAGATTCCGAGGCCGAAACCCTTTAACCCCGAACAAGCTAAGCCACAAACCCTGTAGACCAAAAAAGGCTCCTAATGTCCTAAACCTCAACTAGCCCTCATTCCTAAAATCCGAAATCTCCAGAGAACCCTAAACCCAAAAACCTAAGCCCTAAACCCTAAACCCTATAAACCTTGAACCCTAAACCCTAAACCCTAAAAACCCTAAAAGCCCTAAAAACCCTGAACCCTGAACAGCTCACCAGGATGCAATTGCCTCCATGCAGAAGGGCCAGCTGGTGCTGCTGGGGAAGAGCGTTGCCGGCAGATTTGTCTCTTTAGGGTTTAGGGTTTGGGGGTTTGGGGGTTTCGGGGTTTAGGGTTTAGGGTTTAGGGCTTAGGGTTTAGGGTTTGGGGCTTTGGGGCTTTGGGGCTTTGGGGCTTTGGGGCTTTGGGGCTTTGGGGGTTTGGGGGTTTGGGGGTTTGGGGGTTTGGGGGTTTGGGGGTTTGGGGGTTTGGGGGTTTGGGTTTCGGGTTTAGGGTTTGGTGTTCAGGGTTTAGGGTGTAGGGTTTAGGGTAGTCTTTCTTTGGCTAGGGCCTTAGGGTTTCTGGTGTGTACCTTGCGAACCCAATATGTGTGTTGAGGCAAGTACGGATACTGAACACCGTTAGAGTGTCAGCCTTGCTAAGATTCCGGCGAAGACTATGGACTATGGTTTGGGTCCTTGAGGTACTGGCAATGCCCGTCACCTGAAGCCCAAAGCCTAAGCTTTCACCACTGGACACTAGGGCCTTAACCTCCCAATTGTTAGGGTTTAAGGCGTTGGCTGGGTTTAGGGTTTAGGGGTTAGGGGTTAGGGGTTAAGGGTTAGGGTTTAGGGTTTAGGGTTTAGGGTTTAGGGTTTAGGGTTTAGGGTGCCGGGGCTCTGCGCTGTCCGGTGCTTCTGGCGAAACCCCAACTCTGCTCGACAGCTTTAGGGCCCCTACCCCAACTCCTAGAAAGACCGTTTGAAAGAAGTCTTTCGACTCGAATCCCCAAACCCTACATCCTGGAAAGGCCTCCATAAAGCACGCTCTGGAAGATCCTAGAAAGACCTGAACCCCAAACCCTAAACGAACCCTAAACCATAAACCCTAAACCTTAAACCCTAAACCCTAAACCCTAAACCTAAGCCCTAAACCCTAAACCCTTCATCCTAGAAAGACCTTCTTGGGGCCTTAGAATCGGAGCTCTCTCCCCCCGTCCGCAGCAGCCGACAGCGCCACTGCCAGGTGACACGGACGCGCTGGCAAGGGGCCCCGCTGGGTTCCGGGTTTAGGGTTTAGGGTTTAGGGTTAGGGTTTAGGGTTTAGGGTTTAGGGTTTAGGGTTTAGGGTTTAGTAATGGGTAACCTAATTAGGGTTTGTGGTTGATTGGGATGTTCCCTCTTCTTCTAACAGTCCTTCGTAGGGATTGTAGTACTGTAGTACCGCCGATTACAATCCCTATGAAGGACTGCTAGTAGAAGCGGGAACATCCCATTTAGGGTTTAGGGTTTAGGGTTTAGGGTTTAGGGTTTAGAGTTTAGGGTCCGGAAGCAGCTGCAAACACTTCGACCTGTGCATTTGACGGCTTAGGTTTCGGAAAGCCCTGGGTTTCTGAATGGGCGAGTCTACCCTGCAGAAAGGGGCCCTTTATGGGATTCCTGAACCCTAAACCTCTAAACCCTACAGCCCTAAGCCCTAAACCCCAAACCCTAAACCCCAAACCCTAAACCCTAAACCCCAAATCCTAAACCCAAAACCCTAAACCCTAAACCCCTTGAGGTCAGCTTCCCGGTCGAGATCACCTACGACGAGAAGAAATTCTCCTTCCAGGTCTCGAGGCCCCATCCAGCAAGCCGGAGTTTGGGGGTTTGTGGGGTTTAGGGTTTTGGGTTTAAGGTTTAGGGTTTTGGGAAAGGGTTTAGGGTGTGGGGTTTAGGGGGCTTAGGGTTTACAGGTTTGGGGGGCTTAGGGGTTCGCATTTACAGAGTCACTAATTGGCACCGCGTCCTAGACCCTTGGAGCCGGAAAACAGCATGGCCCAAGCGCTTGATTCATGGACTTGTCGTGTGTCGTTTAAGGATATCGACCAGCCTCGCCCGGCAACTTCGGGGCTAGATGCAACACTGCAACCGGTCGAATGCAGCCTGCCCTGGTCAGCATGCCTCTAAACTCTGAACCCTAAACCCCAACCTTAACCCTACACCCCAAACCCTAGACCCTATACCCCAAACCCCAAACTCCTCCAAAACCCTACACCCGAGGTTCTCATCACAGTCATCACAGTCACAGCATCTTCGAATTCATACTCGCAGGGGCTTATCAGAACGTATGAGGGTTGACCCCAACCTTATTCTAACTATTCAGGCTCCTATATTCGTCAAGTGAGTTCTGCTCCATGCTTTTTCAAGCCGTCCGTGACAAGACCCTTCTGCAACTGGAAAGCCCACATCCTAAACCCTAAATCATCACAAGCTAGGACCCCTAGGAAGACATCTCCACACTGCCATTGGTGGGTGGACGAGTTCTGATGCGACCCGTAGCTTTGATTCCAGGAGATCTTGTGGGACTGCGGATGCTCGCGGACCACATTCAAGGGCTCGATCGGCTAGAGGCTGCAGAGTTGCAGCAAGAACTACAGGAGCTGCAGGAGTCAGGGATGATCAATGACGCAGCTCCTCCCGAACAGATGCGCTTGATACAACTCGCAGTCCTTCACAATGATGAAGAAAGCATCCGAATGCTGCAGAAGTACGGGGCTAACTTGGCCTTCGGCCTTGAAACTGCGATGACAGACCCATGGCTCTCTCTGTCTGAGCGAAATGAGCTTGTTCGCTTCCTTTTGAGCCTTGGTGCAGATCCTAAGGTGGAGGAGCAGTTAGAGGCCAAGGCCACGCGGACCATGAAGTACTTCCTTCACCGAGCAAGGAGTTGCGTGGCATTCCAAAAGCTTCGACAAAACCTCCCGCGCCTGGAGAAAATTGGAGCACCCAGTCCGCAAGGAGGCAATGTTCCAGAACTACCGAGATTGCCCGAGATATTCTTTGCTTTGATCGGCCAGTCTGTGGCAGTCGACATTGTGGTCAAGAAAGTCATTGGCTGGGCCGCCTGAAGGGGTCGCCGAAGCCTTTGGTCATGATTTTCTGTGGCCCATCAGACCACGGCAAAACGGAGCTGGCCGAATCACTTTGCCGGCTGTTGGCTGGAGGGTCCAGCCACTTCCACGAAGTGGCTTGTGACCAAATGCAGACCTGCGCAGAAGTTTTTGGTTTAGGGGGCGCATATCAAGGGCGCAAGGAAGCTCACTCAACAACTTCATGAGTTCCCATGACGGTATACCGGGAGTGGTCCTCTTTGACGAGTTCGAAAAGGCAGAGGATTCCTTGGGTGATGCCCTCCTCAATATTTGGGATCGCGGGGAGTGGGAAGACAAGAAGCTGGATGAGGAAGGAAGCCAAACGAAGACAATCGACTGCAGCAGGATGTGTTTTGTTCTGACAACCAACGCCTTCGACAATGACATCAGCAAGTTCGAGCGCGAGAATCCAGGTTTGCGTTTTCAATCTCCGACATCTGAAGTTGAACAAAGGACAGACAAGATTTTGAGGACAAAGGCGCAGAAAAGGTTTTCCCCGTCCTTCGCCGGGCGCATAAGTGCCTTCGTGCCCTTTCTATCCTTCGCACAGGGCGAAGCCATAGAGGAACAAGAAGTACAAGTGCTAGTTGACAAGGCGATGCAGAAGACATTTGATTTCCACAGCGATTCAGAAGCGAATGGCCACACAAGCATCACTGTTTTTGCTCCAGCAAAAACTTGTGGGGACTTTGTGACTCTTGCGCAAACCTTTTTTTCCAAGGAGGAAGGTATGCGTTCGGTGACACGGTGCATGGAGCGTTACATATCTGACATCATTGTGAACATGTGGGCGCAGGGCGACCTTGATCAAAATGAGAGCTATGTGCGCTTCTTTTGCGACCTGGAGCATCGACGACATCTTTCCGGGCTTTGTCCCCACAAGCTGTCGAGATGATTCAAAATCCGAATGTCAGAAAGGATCATCTCAGCCCGGAGGAGCAGTCGTTGTAGGGTTTAGGGTTTAGGGTTTAGGGGGTTTGGGGGTTTGGGGTTTAGGGTTTAGGGTTTAGGGTTTAGGGCTTGGGGCTTAGGGCTTGGGGCTTAGGTTCAAGCCCGCAGGAGCAGAAAGACCTCCAAGAAGCTTTGGAGGCAAGATGTGTTTAGGGTTTAGGGTTTAGGGTTTAGGGTTTAGGGTTAAGTTAGGCTGATGCATGTCAGTGATTACAGCAAGTTAAATTTTAAGCGCGGAGACGGGAGTCTGTTGCTCGTCAGGCAATGGGCATCAGCTTGGACTCCTTCCGTCGCAACTCGGTCTTTCTAAGAAACCGTGCAAGCGCTGCTCGTGCCTTCATTGTCGAAACTTGCAGGTTTTCGTTTATTGGAGAAAGCCTCAGGCAGACGCAAGCTGAAGAAGGTCGCATCAAAGAAGGAGGACTACTTCAAGAGGGCACCCATAGGGAGTCCAAATTTCAACGGCTGAGCGATGCCAACGGCTTTGGGCGAACTGTACAGCTGTTTACTATATGGCAAGAAAAACTCGTGTCCCACTCTGTTGCATGCACTGGGGTCTTCCGCAAGTATATGCAGCTGAGTAGGCTTCTGGGTTCCGAGGGACAAGGGTTGTTGAGGGCTTTCTGGATTTAGGGGTTTAGGGTTTCGGGTTTCGGGTGTAGGGTTTACGGGGCTTGTGCCAGTCTAGGACTCTAGGAGGGGTGCCAGGTGCTTTGGCTCGCCCCTCTGACCCCCCAAAAAATCTCTGTACAACCACCCCTGAGCCCTAAGTAAACCCTCACCCTAAACCCCAAACCCTAAACCCTAAACCTTAAATGTCACCATGTGCAGCGCCCACCTGTCAGGAAGCGATCCGACCTGCACCTTGGGTGCTTTAAGGCACTGCGGTTCAGGGTTTGGGGTTTAGGGTTTAGGGTTATAGGGTTTAGGGTTTAGGGTTTAGGGTTCAGGGTTTGGGCTTTAAGTTTGGGGTTGAGAGTTTGGGATTCAGGGTTTAGGGTTTGGGAGTTAAGTTTGGGGTTCAGAGTTCGGGAATCAGGGTTTAAGGTTTGGGAGTTCAGTTTTGGGTGTAGAGTTTGTGGCTCAGGATTCTAGGCTTTCGTTCAATTGTCGTGCCGACCTTCAGGGGGCTCAGCATTTTGTCCACGGAGCTGTAACCTCAAACCCTTCAAAACCCAAACTTGGGATGTTCCCCCTGAAACTAACAGTCCCCAGGCAGTCCGTAATAGGGTTTACAAGAGGGGAGTACTAGAATCCCAAGGACGGACTGTTCGTATGAGGGGGAACATCCCAACCCTAAACCCTAAACCCTAAACCCTAAACCCTAAACCCTAAACCCTAAACCCTAAACCGCCTTTGGGCCAAGGTATGCCTTCACCATCAACAACAAGACTCTCACTGCCAAGGTCCCTTGTGGTGCAGCCGTCCTCTGCGGCAAAGGGTTTAGGGTTTAGGGTTTAGGGTTTAGGGTTTAGGGTTTAGCGTTTAGGGTTTAGGGTTTAGGGTTTAGGGTTTAGGGTTTAGGGTTTAGGGCAAACCCTACATGCACAGAATCCCAAACCAAGCCTAACCCCAATATCTCAGCCTGTAAGCCCTAAACCTGAACCCCAGACCCTCTACAAGCCCTGAACCCTAAACCGAAAGCCTGAAGTCCCAACCCTACACAAGCCCTGAACTCAAAAGACCGAAACCTCAACCTCAAACCCCATACAAGCCCTAGAAACCCTGCCCCAAACCCCCAATAAACCCTAAATCCAAACCCCCCCAAAACACATCGTCGGTCTAAACCCACCCCAAATCCAAGCCTCAACACTAAGCCCTAAAGCCTCGAAGTCCAAACTCCCAACCCTCTGGAAGGTTTGGGGCTTTTAGAGTTTAGTGTTTAGGGTTTAGAACTCCAAACTCGCCCCTGCGGTTGCCCCCCCCCCCCCCCATTCTCTGCTGAACCCTAAGCCCTAAGCCCTTCTTAGATATTCTGCACTCATTCAGGTCCCCAAGGCAAGGTTTAGGGACAGAGCTCAGCCAGGAATTGACCTTCCCAGGCAGACTGTCTTGGGAACAAGAGAGTTTGTTCCTGATGCCCTTGATTCTTCCTTGGTTGTTGGAAAAGCAAGCTTCCGAACCACACCCTAAACACTAAACCCAACTCTCAAGACGCGACTCCACTTAAACCTTAACCCTAAACCCTGAACCCCAAACCCTAAACTGTAAACCCTAAACCCTAAACCCTAAGTTAAAGGCCCGTTGAAAGTGCGCGCCTGGGGGGTGGCAGGTGCGCGAGCAGCCGGACGGCTCTTTGTACGTGAGCATCGGCCCTTGCCTCGGGCTTTTGAGGAATTAGGGTTTAGGGTTTAGGGTTGAGGCTGGGTTTGGGGTTTAGAGGTTAGGGTTTAGGTTTTTGGGTTTCGGGAAGGGTGCAGTTGTGAGTCGTTGGGGTTCTGGGTGCGGGTTCCGTGTTGTGGGCAAGCGGGCTCGACCTCGTGAAGGTTCTAAGAATAGAATGTTGGTGAATGAATAAGCGAGAGAGCGCGAGGAGAAAGCTCCAAGCTAAAAGAGATCATTTCTGCAGCCCCCTGAAAAAGCGAGTGAAACTAGAGAGTAAGTAGTCATTCCGGAACCCAAATCCTTCTTTTCCTTGTTTTCCTTTCTCTCTGCGGTTCGTCCCTTCTCTTCTGGGGTTAATATGGGTTTGTGTTTTTTTGGGGGGCTCAGGTTTAAGAATGGCACACGGGTTGCACACCCGCGAAACATACCCCGTAACATACCCCGAAACATACCCCCGAAACATACCTCGTAACATACCCCCGAAATTGCAGGTAAAGTAGCTCCTGATGCCGCGAAACATACCCGAAACATACCCCGAAACATACCCCAAAACATACCCGCGAAACATACCCCGATCCCAACACGTGTCACGCGCCTCCCCATTAAAATACAAACCCATATCCCTGTCTCCTGAAAAGGACAGCCTCCCACCCCACCAAACCTTCAACACATCCCCATACTATAGTGGACTACTCAATGCTACTTCTACATTATACATAGATTTTCGATTGTACTGCATGTTTTTAAAGTATACTACGTTATATATATATATATATATGTATATATATATATATACATATATATATATAGATATTGATTTACTTAGTGTTTTAAATTTGTACTTGTATTTATATATCCCAAATCCTAAACCCTAAACCCAATGAGTAGGCTTAAAGCCTCCATCGGCCGAGGCAACATCAGCCAGCAGGTGAAGGGCCAGGAGGAGGCGCTGGGACTCCGCCTGATCATCGGCGCCCCGGCTGAGCTGCACGGAGAGGGGTTTCGGGTTTAGGGTTATAGGGTTTAGGGTTTAGGGTGTAGGGTTTAGGGTTTAGTTTTAGGGTTTAGGGTTTAGGCTTTGGGATAACCCTGAACCCCAAGCTCAGGTTTAGGGGTTGCGAGCTTCGGGTTTCATTCAGGGTTTGAGCACCCCTAAACCCTGGACCGAGCAGGGTTTCGGGTTTGGGGTTGGGGGTCAGGGTTTGGGGTTTAGGGTTTAGGGTTTGGGGTTTGGGAGATGTCTTGGGCAGGGGTTTGATGGGGGTTTTGGAGAGTAGTGTTGGGGAGCGCCTCGAACCCAAAACCCGTTCCGAAACCCCTCAGACCCTCAAGCCCACCGCCTCAAGCCTCAAGCCCAAGATCTCCATCTGCCCGACACAGCCTTCGAAGCCCGAAACCCAAAGCCCTGAGGTGCGCAGACCATCATGGTGCCGACGGTCTACGATCCCTCGGAGCTCCGCTCGGACGTCAACGGCAAGGTGCGCTCGGAGGGAGTGCAGGGTGCCCAACCCCAGAGTACGTTCAGAGGGTCCGTGGAGTGGCCGACCCCAGCGTATCCGCAGCGGATCTGTAGGTGGGATGTTCGAAGTTAAATATTGTATGGTATGTTATGCGTGTGTTGTTTGGGTGGTGGGTGAGTGGGTGGGTGGGTGGGTGGGTGGGTGGGTGGGCGGGGCGAGTGGTTGCGGTGGATAGGGTGCAGGGCTTGTGAGGGCGTATGGTTGCGGGGTTTGAGGATTTCAAGCTCAGGTTGTTAGGGGTTCAGGGTTGGGTTTTAGGTGCGAGGCGTTCGGTGTTTCTAGCATGTAGAAAGACCTGTAGGTTGTTGAGCAAGGCGTGGGTTGAGATCGTCGAGAGCTTTCCACCCAGCAGTTCTCTGCTGGTGTCCTAAACCCTATAAACCCGAAACCCTAGACCCTAAACCCTATCAGCCCTACAGCAGACCCTAGCCCTCGTTAAAGTTGCACACCTACGCCGTGTTTCGCAAGATGCTGGTGAGGCGCTAAGTCCTTGAGGACCAAATTCACCCTACAATGGGGGGGGGGGGGTTATATATAGCCCATACTACTTTCATGCGTATTAGGGTATATGGACCACAAACCCTAAGCCTTCTTAGGTTTCACATAGTCCCCAAGGATGGGCTTTAGTTTGTTTAGGGTCTCGCGCCGACAGCTTATAACTTATAACACACAGGCCTGAAAGATCTTCTAACCTACCCTACTCGGAGGTTCATGGCTACTTATAACCCTAGTTATGACTGTACTTATAAGTCCCCTAAGTCCCCTAAGTAGGTTATAAGTACAGTACTGTTGAGCTGAGATGGCATTCAGAGCCACCCGAGGTGGTGCGCTACTTGCATGACGAGGGCACCGAGATTCAGAAAGGCCCGTCCCTCAGTGGCGTTGTTGTCATGACCTGCAGCCTGAATGCTTGGGGGCTTTAGAGCTCTTAAGTCAAGAAGGGCTACCTGGGGCTTTGTATACCTGCTGAGGACGTACTCCTTTGGGGGGGGTTGCACCACATATCTAGGGGGAGTACTGCCCTAGGAAATTGTAGGGTTTTGGAGTTCTGGGTTGGTAGGCTAGGTTTCATGTGCTGTGTCCCTCCTCTAGCTGTTTATCTCGAAGTCATCTTCTCACGCGTTTCTTGCCCCACCGTGGTGAACCCATCGATCATGCCATTCTTGAAGAAAGGCGCCCGCGAGAAGCGCGAGGCCCTACTTGGATGTTCATGGGTACTTCTACCCCCGATTATATCAGAGGACTTAGGGGCCTTATATGTGTAGATAGAATTGGGGTCATACGTAATCCCTTCCCCCTTTTATTAAATACCCCCCCAATAATAAAAATACTTTCCGGAAAAACCTCCCGAAACCGAGCCCGCCTTTTAAACCCTATTCCGAATTAGGGGGGGGGTTCAGGCCTCCAAGAAATCCTTCAACACCAATAAAACCCTCAGAGGGTTTTGGGTTGGGGGGTCTAGGGTTAATTAAGGGTTTAGGGCTTAGGGTTCAGGGTTTAGGTTTAATTTAGAGGCCCGTCTTTTGGCAGCACGAAGCTGTCTGTCAGCTGCCTGTGAGCCTGGCTCTCCACACCCTGAAGTCTAATTTTGCGACATTTCGATAAAAATACCCCCTAATAATAAAAACACATTTCGAATTTTTAAAGGGGGGGGGGGGGGGAGGGGGGACCCCCCGTTTAATATTAGGGGGAAGGGATTAGCTACGAACGTGCAAATACTGCACTACGCATTGAAGCCCCGCGTGCTGCATCTCCAGCTTGGGGGCTGGTATGCCCAGCAACGCCCCAACATCCAAGTACATCACCCTGAGCCTTAAACCCCTAAACCCCTAAACCCTAACCCCTAAACCCCTAAACCCTAAACCCTAAATTTTAAACCTAAACCGTAAACCCTAAAAACTAACCCCGAACCCTCCTTCTAAGAGCTGCCTAAGCCCAAGCCATGCACGCCGTGCTCGAGTTTCTGCACGTCTCAAGGTTTTCTTAGATCAAGGTTTTAGGCGTGTTTAAGATTAGGGTTTAGGGTTTAGGGTTTAGGGATTAGGGTTTAGGGTCAGGTTACAGGTTCACGCCCCAAACCCTTATTGCATGGCATCTGGAGCCCTCAGAAGGTAGGAGCAGCTTTTGAACGGAGAGGGTCGCTCGCGCACGCATCTTGTGATACCCTAAACCCTAAACCCTAAACCCTAAACCCTAAACCCTAAACCCTAAACCCTAAACCCTAAACCGATGCTTCACCGGTGGTCCACCAAAATCTGCCGAGGCGAGGCGTACATTGAGCTGGAGGCCATGAAGATGATTATGGCCCCAAGCTCAGATTACTATACTAGGACCGGGAGTAGGCCATTTTTTCCTTTTTTTAGGGTTGGGGTTCCCTTATAATCCCCTTAAGGCCAAAAAGGGTACCCTTTCTATTCCTAGGTTACTTCCGGGTCTAGTATAGGGGTCGGAATAACTACTAATAGTATTCCCTTATGGTCCCTTTCATTGTACTCTTAGAACCCCAAACCCCCTATTCTAATTAATAAGGCCCCTGCAGTACTTTGGCGCTTCCACCCAATCTACCCCAGACCCCGAGCCAAGCCCTCCAGAGCTTGAATCCCAAAAACCCGGAAACCATTCCAAGTCTCCTCAGTTTTTGGGCCCCCCGCCGCTGTTCAAGACCATGATCATAGCCGCTTTTCATGCCAAACTCAGGCCTTGAAGTCCGGCGAGACCGGCAAGGCCGGTCGCTCCGAACACTGGGTTCAGGGTTTAGGGTTTAGGGTTCAGAGTTTAGGGTGCTTCGCGCAAGATGTGCCAGTACTCCCAGTTCTCACTGTCCACTCCTGCGGGCGGATGCCTCCACTGTCCCATTGGTAGGTTTGGAGGTCAGGGCTCAGGATTTATGAGCCCTCAGCCTTAGACTCCTAACCTTTAGGGGTTAGGGTTTAGAGGTGAGGGTTTTTAGGATTTTTCAACCCCTCAACCTTAAACTAGAAATTGCTGAACACTGCGCCCTGAACCTACAGGTTTCCGAGTTTAGGTCCACAATAAGGGTAGTTACATATAACGGGTATATACGGCGTTTACTAGGGCTTGCCATTTAAGGGCGCATATTCAGGGGCCATGTAACTACCCTGAGAGTTTCCCTAAACCCTAAAACCCTAAACCCTAAACTCTAGGTCCACCGACTTGTCGTCAGGTCTCTCACACGCTGAGCCCCGGCAGCATCGTCTCTGCTGGAGAGCTGCTGGCCAAGCCACTTGGCCCAGAATCTGTAAAAAGCACTGGGGGTCTTTTAAAGGGAGGGTTTGGGGTTTCGGGTTTAGGGTTTAGGGCCCTGAATCTGTTTGAAGCACTATAAGGTCTTAAACGTAGGGTTTAGGGTTTAGGGTTTAGGGTGTAGGGCTTAGGGTTTAGGGTTTCGGGTTTAGGGCCTTAGGGCCTTAGGGGGTTTAGGGGTTAGGTTTTATTGTTTAGGGCTTGGGGTCTCAGACTTTGTAACCCAAGGTCCCCCCATGATTCCCAAGCAACCCGCTCCCATCCCTAAACCCTAAACCTTAAAGGCCCTAAGTCCTAAACCTCAAGCCTTAAATTCCTGCGTCTTGGGCCCTACCGAAACCCTAAACCCTAGCCCTAAACCCTAAACTCTAAACCCTTCCCATGGCCACCGAGCTTTGCCGATGGCGTGCAGGTTGGAGCTGAAAGACCCCTCGAAGGCCAGGGTTTTTTTGTTAAGTTTGGGGGTTTAGGGTTTAGGGTTTAGGGTTCAGGGTTCAGGGTTTAGGGTTTCTCAGGTTTAGGGATCAGGGTTTTTGAGGTCTAGGTCTAGGTTTTGTAAGCTTTAGGGGTTTATGGAGCTAGGGTTATGAAGTCAAGGGCGCCTAGTTTAAGGATTTGGGTTCGGGTTGAATTCAGGAGGTTCACCCTTACTGCCCACTAGACTCAAAAGGTCCCAATAAAGCCTGATTAGGGTTATGCTACGTGGGTTTCATTGTGAGGGTAGTTGGGTGTGGGGTGGAGGTAGCGGTCGCATGACTTTGAGGGCATAGTTCCGGAGGGCCGTGGGTTCAAGGTCACACCACCCCAAGTTTCCCTTAGGGTTTGTAATAACACCCCCCCCCCCCCTCTACCCCCCCCCCCCGCCAAGGCTGAACCGTAAACCGTAAACCCTAAACCCTAAACCCTAAACCCTAAACCCTAAACCCTATGCCATGCACCGCCGACTTGGAGATTTCTTGCGTGATTTCTGTGGCGAGGGATGGGCTTTGTTTCATGGGGCTGTGAGTTGCCCTTTGCCAAAGCTGCACACGCATGTCCGCTTTGCCTTACAAGCCCTGGCACCTATTTTGCTGTAGGTCATGCTGATGAAACCCTTGAAACGGTCTAAAACCCTTTAAAGGCTTTGTAGGCAACCCTAAACCCTAAACCCTAAACCCTACACCCTAAACCCTAAACCCTAAACCCCCTAAACCCTAAACCCTAAACCTATATACCAACAAGTAGTTTTTTGTTTTCCTGGGGGAGCTGGGCAGGTGAAGAAGATCTCACCCTTTGAAGGCGAGTTTGACATGAGCGCCAAGCCAGAGCAGGAGCCTTTAGCACGGTTTAGGGTTTAGGGTTTAGGGTTTTGGGTTTTGGGTTTTGGGTTTGGGGTTTTGGGTTTAGGGTCCGAAAACCTATCAAGTGAAACCCTTGACCCCTAATTCGCACAAGAGCCCCTGAACAAATGCTTGCGGGGGTGGGGGGGCGGGGGGTTGAGAGGGGGGGAGTGATAGAATAAAGAAGGGTGGAGTGATAGATTGTTCTTGTTGTGAGCCCCTGACAAGACTAGCCCCTAAGCCCCAAACCCTGGCACCTTAGCCCTGCATTTTGCCGGCAAGCCCGCAACCGGGTTGGTAAGGTGGGTTGTGGGGTTACAGAGAGGGGATACGATGTAGAGTTACTCAGTCAAAAGAGCTTTTAAGAAAAGGCAGTCTTCTGCCCTAAAGCGCTCCAGAGACTCCTAAAACCTTATTTGACTCCATCCGAACTCCTATAAACTCTAAGCCGAAAACCCCTACCCCCTTCAGAGCCGCCTTGCCCCCACACCTCATCGAGGATGCCTCAACTCCCAGGGAGGACCTTTTGGCGCTCCTGGACGGCCGGATGCCCCAGCATAAGGGTTGGAGGGTTGGAGGGTTGGAGGGTTGGAGGGTTGGAGGGTTGACGGTTGAGGGTTGAGGGTTGAGGGTTGAGGGTTGGAAAAGATACTTGCCATAAATATTCACTTCGTTCCGTTCCTCAAGCCTGTCCTAAGATGCTTGGAGGTTTCAGGGCACTTGCTGCACGTATAAGCTCCCTAAGTGCCCTGAGGTGGTCATAAGAAGGTTTTTAATTGGGGTTCTAAGTACCCACGAACCTCCAAGTACCCTGTAAGCCCTATAAACCATAGAAACCCATACAACCTACAAACCCTATAAGCCCTATGGCTTGTGGGGCCCCAATCCCTAAACCCTAAACCCTTTACCCTTTACACCCTTAACTCTAAACCCTATAAACCCTAAGCCCTAAACCCTTTACCCTTTAAACCCTAAACTCTAAACCCTATAAACCCTAAACCCCTAAGCCCTAAACCCTATACCCTAAACCATAAACCCTAAACCCTAAACCCTAAACCCTAAACCCCAAACCCTAAACCCTAACCCTAAACCCTAAACCCTAAACCCTAAACCTAAACCCCTAAACCCCTAAGTCCCTCAACCAAGTCAAGGCTTCTACGTGGACACGAAAGGGCCGGCGCTGGTGGAGTCAGTGTTCTCAGGCCGTTTGCTGCATGTCCACGGTGTGAGGGTTTGGGGTTTAGGGTTTAGGGTTTAGGGTTTAGGGTTTAGGGCTCGGGGTTTAGGGACTAGATTTCAAAGCAGAAGCTGCTTTCAACGTGCAGGCTTTGCCAACCGCGAGGCCGCGGCTGAGACTGCCGGTGCCTTAGATGTTTAGGGTTTAGGGTTTAGGGCTTAGGGTTTAGGGTTTAGGGTTTAGGGTTTAGGGTTCAGCAGCTCCGGGTCGAGCAATCTCTAGTAGAGCCGCTGTTTGGGCTCTCGAAAAAAAACCCACCCACCCAGAGAATCCCAAAACATTAAGAAATGAAAAGTTTATGATTTTCATCAGCAAGCCCTGTCCTCCAACCTCACTCTGTCATGGACCATCCTACCCACGAACCATTTCATCGGCCGCACGGGGCAGTCAGAGGGGAGGGGGGGAGGGGGAGGGAGGGAGGGGGAGGGAGGGGGTGGAGGGGGGCCAAGAAATGACGCTTAGCCACGAAGAAATGACCCTTAGCCACGAAGAAATGACCCTTAGCCACGAAGAAATGACCCTTAGCCACGAAGAAATGACCCTTAGCCACGAAGGAAATGACCCTTAGCCACGAAGAAATGACCCTTAGCCACGAAGAAATGGCCCTTAGCACCCAGGAAATGGCCCTTAGCGACCAAGAAATGGCCCTTAGCGACGAAGAAATGGCCCTTAGCGAAGAAATTGCCCTTAGCCACGAAGAAATGACCCTTAGCCACGAAGAAATGACCCTTAGCCACGAAGGACTATAGGGTTTAAATATATATGTGATAGAGAGGTTTAGGGTTTAGGGTAGAGGGTAGAGGGTAGAGGGTAATAGTTTGCGGATGAGCTTCAGTCCATGTAGCCCTATGTGTGACTGGCGTTGGGTAGGAACTTCTTTCGGCATTCCTCCCCTGTTTAGGGTTTAGGGTTGCAAAAGCTTATGAGAACACGAAGCACGCGCAGTTGTGAAGGCGTTGAGTGGGCTGCGCAGTGGTAGCATCGGACGCAGGGTGTAGGGCCGATGTTGTCCAGGGCTGAAACCGCATTCAGAATCCAAGGACCCCCCAAAACCCCGAACCGTAAACCCTAAACCCTAAACCCTAAACCCTAAACCCTAAACCCTAAACCCTAAACCCTAAACCCTAAACCCTAAACCCTAAACCGCCTCCGAAAGGTCCGCGGAGTGCTGGAGAAGTATCTCTTCAACGAGCGGCCGTTCGCGGCCTCTATCCAGTAGGGCGGCCCAGCCTACAAACCCTGTAAACCCCAACAACCTGGGTTTAGGGCTTAGGGTTTAGGGTTTAGGGTTTAGGGTTTAGGGTTTAGGGTTAACCCGATCAGCCCTTCAGGGTTGCTTTTGGTTGCTTAGGGCTTACCTAGACCTTCTAGAACCTGAAAAATTGTAGGTTCTTTGCGAGAAACCCGGTTTTGGAGGACATAGCTAAGAAAAACCCGGTTTCCTGCCGCAAAACCGGGTTTTGCTCTTGAGCAAGAGCCCGCAACCCGTATTTTACCCGTACAAAACCCGTATTTTACCCGTACAAAACCCGTATTTTACCCGTACAAAACCCGTATTTAAAATATGGGTTCGGGGCTTTCGCCAAGAACCCAGTTTTGAGTTGCAAAACCCGGTTATTTTCAAGAACCTACAATTTTTCAGGTTCTGCAAGGTCTAGGTAGGGTTCAGGGTTCAGGGTTTAGAGGGGCCTGTCAAGCCTACAAAGCCGGTAAACCCTAGTAAGCCCAACCCTAAAAACAGTATAAGCCCTCTAAACCCTGTAAACCCCATAAGCCCTATAGCCTATAGCCTGTTTGATCCCTAAGTCCGCGGCGGGCTTGGGGATGTTTCTTGGGGGTGTCTCGGGTCTCTGGTCTAGGGGGGCAAAATATTTGCTGAGCACAGAAGTTCTAAAATGACTGTACTATATGATGTTTGTTGGACTTTTTACAGGTTTTGTTTGTTTTCTTTTCGGGGGAGGGGGGGGGGAGACTTATCCCCCACCCGACCCACCCTGCCCACCCTGCCCACCCTACCCACCCTACCCACCCTGCCCACCCCACCCTACCTACCCACCCACCCACCCTTTCAGCATTACATGTTCCCGTCTCGGATTCCATGTGTAATCTGGATGCATCCGTTGCTGGTCACCCACGGCCCACTCAGGAACAAGCAGCCGTACGCGGTTCCTGCATGTGTTGATCACAATTCTGTGTAGCCCTAAACTTTCCCGAAACCCTAAACCCTAAACCCTAAACCCTAAACCCTAAACCCCGCCAAGCCCTGGAGTCCGGCACTTTCGAGTTAGAGGGCTCTAGGAGTTGGGAGTTCTTGGGCAGGATGTGGACTTTTCGGCGCTAGAGCCAAGGGGTTTAGGGGTTGAGGGTTTCGGTTTAGGGTTTAGGGTTTAGGGGTTTATGGGGTTTAGGGTTTAGGATTTTAGGACAACCTTTCTCAACCCTCAAGCTTAACTTCGCAGTCGAGTAACTAGCCTTCATCTTCTTTGGCAGTAGGGTCTAGGGTTAGGGGCAATAAGGGGTCAGGGTTGGGTTTGTTTGGGGCTAGTTTAGGGTTTGTTTAGTGTTTGATTTGGGGGTTAGGGGTGCAGAGTTAAGGGCCTAGGGCTTAGTAGAACTGTTCGCAAGCACACCAGGAGGTTGGAATGAGGCAGATAGGACAAGCAAACCTTAAACCCTAAACCCCTAAAACCGTAAAAGCCAATTCTGTAAACCCTGAAGCTGTCATTTGCACCAGAAGACTGCTTAATTCCAGAAAGCATTCTGCTCTAAAGTCGTGCAGCCTCCTTTTTATACACATATTCTATATATATATATATTTATTTATCTATTTATTTATTATACATCTTTATTTATTTATTCGTTTACATTTATATTCATGTATCTATATAGCCAGCCTAAACACCCCATGAACCCTTCAAACCCCCTCATTCACCCCCATCCTGCCAGGACAAGCTCTTGCTGGACTTGATCAACGAAGGGAAGGAGTCCCCAGAGAAGGCCGCAGACTGTAGGAGGGTTGGTTAGGGTCTAGGGTCTAGGGTCTAGGGTCTAGGGTCTAGGGTCTAGGGTCTAGGGTCTAGGGTCTAGGGTCTAGGGTCTAGGGTCTAGGGTCTAGGGTTTAGGGTTTAGGGTTTAGGGTTTAGGGTTTAGGGTTTAGGGTTTAGGGTTTAGGGTTTAGGGTTTAGGGTTTAGGGATTAGGGTTTAGGGTTTAGGGTTTAGGGTAAACCCCAAAAAGTTGGAAACCTTTTTGGGACAAAATAGTGCTGGGATTCCCCATACTTTACTCTTAGAGATTGAGGCTATTGAGTTTTTCCAACTTCTTGGCTTCCACTATAGGTTTGAGGGTTTAGGGTTTAGGGTTTATAGGGTCAAGAGGTGACAGGAATCATTCATTTTGGGGGGTGTCGGGCTGGATTTCCTGGCGCATTTTGGGCAACGCCACTGCGCCGGAATGGCCTTAAAATTTAAGAGCCTCCGGCTCAAGCCGCCGACCCTGCAGGAGAACAAGTTTAAGGTTTGGGGTTTGGTTGCGGGGTGGGGTGGGGTGGGGGTGGGGGGGGGGCGGGGGTGGGGCGGGTCAGGCGAAAAAAAAGGGGGTAGGGGGGGGGGGGGGGAGGGGGGGGGGGGGGTAGGGGGGGGGGGTAGGGGGGGGGGGTAGGGGGTGAAGAGCCCCTATGCCCTGTGCGAAAACGCCTATTCCCCCCCCCCCGCGTTTTGGGGGGGTAAGGAGGGAAAGAGGGAGGTTTTCACCTCCTTTTCCCATCCAACACGCCGCCAGGGTCGGCGGACTTAGACCCCCAAAACCCCATACCCTAAACCCTAAAGTGCGATATAGCTTTAGCGTAATGAGTGCGGGACGTAACGGGATTCCCAAGCAAGGAATTTGGGTTTAAGTTTTTCAGGTTCAGGGTGTAGGTGTATTTCAATTCGTAGAAAAGCCACATAGTCTTTTTATTTATATTGTTGGGATGCAAAGGCCCTGGTACCTGCACCTGCCTGAGTACTAGCTGGCCGTTCGATGCTGTTGGTTCTCTTTTCAGGCTTCCCACATGGTTTAGGGTTTGGGGTTTCTTCCCCCGAAAAAGTAAAACAAGAAGCACAAAACGAAACAAAAGGAAGTAGTCAAGGGGCTGTCTGGCCAGGTGCTCTTCATGGTGGCTGCCCACAACAAGCTGGCCGACCGCCTCGGGCCTCAAAGGGGCGCCTAACAAAACTGGAAGTTGGAGGGGCTTATCTGACCCTAAACCCTAATCCCTAATCCCTAATCCCTAATCCCTAGAGCCTAACCCTAAACCCTAAACTCTAAACCCTAATCCGAGTATCAAGACCCTCCCCCCAAACAACACGGGGGCCTTTTGGTACTTACCAAAGGCTTGTATGGGCTGGCTTGAAGGGCTTTAGGGCTTCGGGTGGTCCAAGGCTGTGTCTGTGTTGGGCCTAGCAAAGTCGAGGGTGCCAGCTGAAGGCCAAAGCTTAGGCCCTCTAAGGGGTGGCTTGAAACCCTAAACCCTAAACCCTAAACCCTAAACCCTGAAGAGCTCGAGACGTTTCAACATTTTGGTGGCTTAGCCCTCACCCGAAGCCCTAAAGCCCTTCAAGCCCTATAAACCCTACCAACCGCATAGATCCTTTCTATGCTATAAACCCTAGAAACCGTATACACACTACAAAACCCCATAAACCCTATAAGCCGTCCTAGTCATGAGCCAGGGGACCCTTTAAAAAGACCCTTAAAAAAAGACCTCCGTATCCCTTATAGTAAGGACCTCGATAAGGTACCCCCTTATTTAGGAAACCTCCATATGGGGATTTCCGAGGTTGCGTCTCGGGTTTAGGGCATAGGCTTTTGGATTGGGGCCCTCATTTGAAAAGGGGACCCGACTATTTTGGGGTCCATACTGGAAATCCCTTATTCTCGCAAACTCCCATGGGTATGTGTGTTGTGCTCTGGATTACGGGCCTTTTCTGGCGTCTCAATTGTACTGTAGTTGTCTTCCTCATAGATTCTCGTACCAGAACCCTAAACCGGGGAACCCTTACATACCCATATATATTTGTTCTCGAACTTTATCGGTGATTTTACAGCATCTCAAGACCCGTTTGTTCCCCTAAGTTGCGGGGCCATGCTCGGGTTGAGGGTTTCTTGGATGGGTTTGGGATTCAGGCTTGGTTTGGTTGAGGCTTTAGGGTTTATGGTTGAGGGTTTAGGGTTTAGGGTTTAGGGTTTAGGGCTACTGCAGGGGTTTTTCAGGCCTCACTTATCATCTGCTCTGAGGCAGTGAGGCAGTCATGGCCGTGCTGCGTGAGATGGTTGCCGCCGAGGGCAGCGGCATGTGGGGGCCTTGGAACCAATGTGGTTCAGGGTTTAGGGATTAGGGTTCAAGGGTTTAGGGTTTCGGGTTTAGGGTTTAGGGTTCAGGGTTTTAGGGTTTCGGTTTTAGGGTTCAAGGGTTTAGGGTTCAGGGTTCAAGGTTTTAGGGTTTAGGATTCAGAGTTCAGGGTTCAAGGGTTAGGGTTTGGGGTTTAGGTTTGAGGGGTTAGGGGGGTTCAGTGGAGGGATTTAGGGCTGAGGATTTCGAGGTTAGGGTTCAAGGTTCTGAGTTTCGAGGTTGTGGTTTATGTATCAGGGTTCCATTGCGCACCAAGCACTTCTCCCTGACACCCCGAAGCGTGAAGGGCCCGTAGTAAGGCGGCAGACTCCAGGGACCTACAAGGAGGGGCCCCCTTGCTATACTAACTGTCGTTAAGGGACTTATAACCTAATTTAGGATCCTTATATCCCAGTTTAGGGCTCTTATAACTCTACTTATAACTAGGGGGCCCACCTTGTAGAGTTGCCTATTAGCTTGGGGGTGAGGGAGCCTCTGCCTTGGATCACACTTCCTGCAAGAGACTCAGCGTCTGAAGGGTGAGAGGGTTTTTTTGCTTGTCCGGGGTTTTTGGGTTTAGGGCCTGGGGGGGGGGGGGCATTTCTGATCAGCAGGTGTAAGAAGTCACCCAAGACAAAATGCGGATGGTCTGAGTTAAGGCCTTGGAGTAGGTTTCCGAAAAGGACCCATGAACCCAAAAAATCAAATTCTAGCCAATCTGGGACAAGGTCTTCACAGGATTCTGTGGAGGGCTTCCAAACTCTTTTGTAGGAGTTCTCCGGGTGGTTTCAAGGAGAGTTGCATAGGGGTTGAGAGGCTGAAGGGGCCATTTTGTTGTTGTTCTCTTTGGCTTTTTTGTGGGTTTCGGATGGCTCTGCGGGTGCGAGCTGGGAACCCAGGGACCCAGAATCCGAAAATGCCAGGTCCTGCATGTACGTCCCGGACATGCGCGTGGAAGGGGACATGGACGGCGCCGCCCCACTGGCCTACTTGGACTTCACCTGTCGAGGGGATTTTGAAGTTTGCTTCCCCTAGCTCCTATACACCCTGTACACCCCATGTTCCCCGTGAACCCTATAACCCCCGAAAAAAACCCAAAAAAAGCCTGAACCTATAACATGTTTCTCCTAAACCCGGCGTTGCTCGAGTTGAACGGCACCCACCCATCTTGCCACACCAGCGGAAGAATTCACATCCGATCAAATAGATGATGATCGTGTGGCCCATGCTGCCACATTCAAGGATGGCACAGACTTGGTCGAACTCGTCGAGTACATGCAAAGAGCTTCCCACACCGGTACAGTTTCTCCGCAAAAGAAGGGCTTTCGCAGAAGCCCAAGACCTTCCTGCAATTGCAGGTCATGATCATAAAGACCCCGAAGAAGATGCTCAGGCAATCTTCAAAAAACAGTAGGTATTGGATTCTTTTCGTTAGCAAGATCGACCCTATAATATAGGGTTAGGGTTTAGGGTTTTAGGGCTTAGGGCTTAGGGCTAAGGGTCCCCTCCGAAAACGTAAGAGAAAACAGGTCCAGGAGAAGATCGTCGAGCTATCGCAGTTGCCAAGCTCCGCTGCAGTGGCTGGCGACTATGGCAATGTGCGCTACCTGGCGTGACGGCCTCAGACTCCAGGACGGTGTATAAAGTGCACATATATAATGGTAGGATGTTATAATATATATATATATATATATATATAGAGGGTAGGTTATAATATATTTTGTGGTAGTAGTAGTAGTAGTAGTAGTAGTAGTAGTAGTAGTAGTAGTAGTAGTAATAGTAGTAGTAGAAGTAGTAGTAGTAGTAGTAGCAGTAGCAGTCGTAGTAGTAGTAGTAGTAGTAGTAGTAGTAGTAGTAGTAGTAGTAGTAGTAGTAGTAGTAGTAGTAGTAGTGGTAGTGGTAGTGGTAGTGGTAGTGGTAGTGGTAGTGGTAGTGGTAGTGGTAGTGGTAGTGGTAGTGGTAGTGGTAGTGGTAGTGGTAGTGGTAGTGGTAGTGGTAGTGTAGTAGTAGTACTACTACTACTACTACTACTACTACTAGTAGTAAGTAGTAGTAGTAGTAGTAGTAGTAGTAGTAGTAGTAGTAGTAGTAGTAGTAGTAGTAGTAGTAGTAGTAGAGTAGTAGTAGTAGTAGTAGTAGTAGTAGTAGTAGTAGTAGTAGTAGTAGTAGTAGTAGTAGTAGTAGTAGTAGTAGTAGTAGGAGTAGTAGTAGTAGTGGTAGTAGTAGTAGTAGGGTTGAGGGCTTGGAGCAAGGGGGAGCGGGGGAGGGGGGAGGGACTGGAATGTTAGTTTGGGGGCAGCTGGCGCCCTGCGTCCTAAACCCTAAACCCTACTGACAGCCCTCAGCCACGGATCCAGACAGACTATATCGCAAGTAGCAGCTATGCCCTGATAGTACCGGAGCTCCATAACTTATTGAAGTTCTTTGAGTTTACACACGGCTGTAAAAAATCTACTGCTAATGGAACTACTATTGCTCCTGCTACGTTTGTTTACTATTTCTACTATGAAGATTAGTAGAAGGTCTGTTTCGTTGTGTGAGGGTTGTTGTTTCGGGGCCAGGGTCAGGAGAGCCATGAGAGATCGGCGTGGGTTTAGGGTTTAGGGTTTAGGCTTGGGGGTATACAGGGTATAGCCTTATACAGCCCCCATCTCTTATTGACTCCTGAAGGCATCACCTCGCTCGTTCCCTGCTTTCCTACTAAGAGGGCCATGTTGGTCCTCGAACCTTAAGCCCGCCATGTACGCAAAAGCTTCAAAAGTGGTGCAGAGTCCCTGTCCCTCCAAGAAGATCCACTTGCCAGGCTCTAAGCCCTGAACCCCCTCTAGGTGGGGATGCTTAGTTGCGCACCCGAGAAGTCCAAGCCATTCTGCAAGCCATAATCCTGGTTCTCAGCCGGGAATGAGGGAGTTCGGCACCGTTTGTCAACCCTAAACCCTAAACCCTTGTTCCCCACGAAGAACCAAAAGGGGCCCGAAGTTGATCCCAAGAACTCCTAAGCTCAGAGTTCCAGGGAACTCTGCAGGGGCCACCCACAACCCTGCGAGACCCAAATGAGGTTTGCCGTTTGTAGGGTTTGGGGTATAGAGTTTGGGGTTTAGGGTTTAGGGTTTGGGGCTTTAGGGCTTAGGGTTTTTGGGATTTGGGGTTTAGGTTTTGGGGTCTGGGCTGCCCACCAAACCCAGGCAGCAGCTGCTTGACGTTGTCCCCCAAGAGTCCTACGAGGAGCGTGCAGGGACCCCGGCCAGAAGACGGGCTTAGGGTTTAGGGTTCAGAGCTTTATAGTGCTTACTATAAGAGAGGCTCTTATAGTAAAGCCCTTAAGGAAATACTCTTAGTAATTCTTCCGACCCGTATATTGGGCTTAGAGCTTCGGGGTGTAAAGCTTCATTGTGTGGATATTGGCTTTTCGGGCGACTAGAGCACAAGCGCCACAGAAGTATTCTTCCTACCGCTTCGGCCCTTTTTCAGGTCAGCTGCTGGTGCATAACCCTAAACCCTAACCCTAAACCCTAAACGCTAAACCCTAAACCCTAAACCGTGACTGGGAATACTTGGGCTTAAAGCACCTCCTTTGGGATGACTTCGGGGAGCCCACGACCTGCGGTGACATGAACACCCAAGGGTTTAGGGTTTAGGGTTTAGGGTAAGGGCTTTCTTGTGAATAGGGTCTGTTAGGATGGGCCGGGGGGGGCGGATGAGGATCCCAATAGAAGCAAGCCGAAGTACTTTCGGGGTTGACTGTAGGAGAAAGGGCAGAGTTTTAGGGTTTACGGTTTAGGGTTTGGGCATTTTGGGGATTTGGGGGGTTTGGGGGTTTCGAGTGTCTGCTTCTGACCAGTGTCCGTTTGGCCTTTTTGGAGCCCAAAACCCAGACCCTTGATTACACCCGCAAAAAAAAAAACACGCGAAACCACCGTACCCAAAATGCCGCGTCGAATCTGATCCCCCCCCCCCCCCTCCCGTAGCCCCTTAAGACATCGAAAAGAGTCTACACCAATTGCCCATCCAATCAAGCGGGTTTAGGGTTTAGGGACCCTAAACCCTGCAAACCCTACGCCCATAAACCCTATAAACCCTACAAACCCCCACAAGCCCTGTAAAGCCTATAAACCCTATAAACCCTGTAAACCCTATAATTCTTGTAAACACCCAAAAGCCCTATAAGCCGGGTGGCAGGGATCCCCAAGCCGGAGACAGTGCGCTTCTTCCCCCACACCGACCTCCAGGTGGTAGCACTGCAGGAGTCGCTCGAGAGCCGCGGCGGAGTGAAGATCGGCAATGCCCTGGTGATGCCTTTCCCGATCACAAGCACCGCCGAGCGAGGCTTGGACGGCTCTCTGGCCGGTTGTACCGCAGACCTTCCCCACCGGGGGCTCGGTCCTCGTCCACTGTATAGCAGGCCGGCACAGAGGGGCGACGGCGTCAGCATTGTTCCTCAGCCTGCTCAAGGAGATCTCCTTTGCGGATGCAACCAAGTGGGTGGCGAGCTAAACCCGCCTACAGGGTGGGGCCCCCTTACTGGACTAACTGTAGTTAAGGGACTTATAACCTAATTTAGGATCCTTATAACCCAATTTAGGGCTCTTATAACTCTACTTATAACACGGGCGCCCCACCTTGTATGAACCCTAGAACCCCCATAACCTCTTGCAGGACCAGCCCATAGTCCCTTTGACTTAAGCGCCAAAGAGAACCCGCTGCTGAGCTACACTACCCAACGCGTACCCTTTTGGGGGCCTCAGCCCAAAAACCCCAAAACCCCAGATCCTAAATCCCCAAATCCCAAACCCCAAAACTCCAGCACCCAAAAACGCCCCAAAACCCACTACAAATCCCACAACCCCCACAACCCAAAACCCCCAAACCCTGAGACCTCATCCCTACAAACCCACAACCCTAAGCCCTGATGCTAGACCCCAAACCCCAAACCCCACACCCCAAACCCCAAACCCCAAACCCCAAACCCTAAACCCTAAACCCCCAGGACCCTAAGCCCTCTAGACTCAGGTCAAGAACTTCCGGGAGCAACTCAGCCAGGCACCAGTGAGTCGATTTGCTTTTAGGGTTTAGGGTTTAGGGTTTAGGGTTTAGGGTTTAGGGTTTAGGGTTTAGGGTGTGGGGGGGGGGGGGGGGAGAGTTTTAGTGCTTAAGTTGGGAAGTTTCTCCTCATACGAACAGTCCTCAAATAGGGATCGTAGCACCCTATTATCATCCCGATTAGGGACTGTTACTCTAACGGGGAACATCCCAATGCTTAAGTCTTATGATTTGGTTTTAAGGTGTTTGGGGGGTTTCGGGTTCATAATTTGGTTTTATGGTTTATCGGGCTTTCGGGTTGCTGATTCGGTGTCAGGGTGTGGGGTTTAGGTTGATTTTGCGTTTTATGGAGTAGGGTGTAGGGTTTGGGGCCGTACTCCCAGAAGCGCAGCCATCAGAAGATTGGGCCGGAGAGGGTGACCGTCGATGTCAAGGCAATGGGATGTCTACTGGCAAGCGCACAAGTCAAGAAACCCCATGCGGGACAGACTCTCTTGGCCCCACTGTCCCCAACCCTAAACCCATCAAGAAAGTTGTGAAGGACTTTTGCTGGTTTTCGAGCCGTTGGAGCATGCGAAATCTGGCCCCAGATGTGAGAATGAACCATTGGGGGTTTAGGGGGTTTGGGGAGGTTGCTGGAGAGTGGGGTGGAGCAAGTGCGTTCAGGGCTGCACCTAATTAGACCCTAAACCCCTAGACCCAAAACCCTGAGCCCTAAACCCTGAACCCTGAACCCTAAACCCTAAACCCCTAGATGCCCGCAGATGCCCAGAGACTCTCAGCATCCAAGGAAGTAGGGCCTAAACCCTGAACCCTATAACCCTAAACCCTAAACCCTGAACCCTGTACCATAAAACCCTAAACACCTTGCAGGCCTACAGGAGAAGTCTAGGGCTGCAGGCTGCTCAAGCTCACGTGGATCCAGTTTAGGATTTAGGCATGGCAAGGCTTAAGGCTCAGGGTCTAAGGTTTAAGTCTTGGGAACCCCAAACCACCTAAACCCTAAAAACACCTAAACGCGGAAACCCTAAACACCCAAACGCCTAACCCCCAAAAACACCTACCCCCAAACCCCATACCCTAAACCCTAAGTCCTAAACCCCAAACCCTACAGGGTGGGGCCCCCTTACTATACTACCTGTAGTTAAGGGACTTATAACCTAATTTAGGATCCTTATAACCCAATTCAGGGCTCTTATAACTCTACTTATAACTAGGGGGCCCCACCTTGTAGCGTTTGGAGTTTAAAGATCCGCGGATCATGCCAAGAGGTCAGCGACAAGGCGCTGGAACTCCACAGCCCGGAGGCTCTCTTTGCTTAGGGCTTAGGGTTTAGGGTTTAGGGTTTGGGGCTTAGGGTTTAGGGTTTTGGGTTTTGGGTTTCGGGTTTAGGGTTTGGGGCTTAGGGTTTGGGGTGTAGGGTTTAGGGTTTAGGGTAAGGATGTTGCTTAGGGTTTTGGGTTGGCGGGGTCTAGGCTTCAGGGTCTATAGGCAGGGTTCAAGGCTGCAGGGTTTGGTGCAGTGGTTGCAGCTGCTGGAACAGGGCAACTCCCAAATACAAAGAGGATTAGTACTGTTTGCTGAAGACTCCTTCCCACAAAAGATCCCTAAGCTTCCTTATACGGGCAATGTAGTTTTTGTTTTGTTTTTGTTTGGGGGGGGTTCTTCAGCAAATTTATTAGTAGATAACTGTATCCGGCTACAAGCGGGAGGGGGTAGAGTTTAGGGTTATTCCCCAGCCTCCGAAGTCCCGGCAATAATGATAGTCATTATGGTCTACATTCAGGGGGAGGGGGTGGAGAAACCAAGTCACCCATATTTCCGATCTCTGACATCGCACGCCTGCTTCTTGCTGCTACATCGTTGCACTACGCACACAGAATCCCTACGTCTGATCGAGGGATGATCCTCCTCTTATGTCTCAAGCTCAGGCATCAGGAGACGATTGAATGTTGGACCCTGTTAGGAGGGTCCTCCTCCAATAACCTCAAGCTTGCCGGGCCATTCAGCACCGTGTGACTGTTTTGGGGTGGTGCCTGGTGTCATCCCCTACTCAGCCAAGTTTTCCGGGAGCCGCGCCTATGGAGTCAAATTGCCGGGCCTCTCTGTCCCGGGAAAATGTATACAAGCTCGTCCCGATTGAAAATCACATTAACAAACAAGCCTGGGGCCGTGCAAAATTCGACTGGGGGCGGGGGGGGGGGGGGGGGGGTTGCGGTACGCTAAAGAGGGTCCCGCACTACGAGAGCATCGGTGAGCCCTGAGAAGCCCAAGGCTCAAAATCTCAAAAGCCCACACTCTAAGCCTTCAGCCCCCCCCCCCCCCACCAACCACTTATCCACAAGAAGCCGAAGAAGGCTCTGCTACTTCGAAGAGCAATCCTCATACCAATCTCAGAAGTTGGCATTGATTTCAGTAATGATCCCTAAATCCCCGCAGTCTCGCTCCCTAAGCCCGCAACACGTAATCCTATCTTGTGGACTGGGTAGGTAGCTTCAACCTTTCGGTTATTTAGAACCTTACTATATATAGAAGGTTACCCTTTTGAGGCTTGGGCATTCAGCCCCAAAGCTATCCCGCATGAATCGCAAACTCGGAATACGAAACTCCAAGGAGCCATAAAGGGCTCGCGACTTCTGCACTCGGGGATGCCTCCTACACCCACCAAAACAAACCCTATAACCTAAATGCCCTAAATCCCTAAACCCTATACCTACACCCTAAACCGTAAACCCGATTCGTGGAGAAATTCTTGGCGGCAATTGCTAGTGACGCCGGAAGTCGATGAAATGCGAGCTATACTCGCAGAGGCAGACTCACAACGTGTTGTGGCCTGTCGTCAACTTCGGACAACTAGTTGCAGTCTGAGGGGTACGATGGTTTTAGGGTTTGGGGTTTAGGGTTTGGGGCTGCACCTGGCGCATCAAGATATCAAGATGGTGAGCGACAAGACTGGGGGGATCCTAGAATCGCACCGCCCCCGCGCAGAGTCTGGACAAAGACTGCCTCTGGTGAGACCAAGCATGGCCTCTTTTGAATGTCCCACACCAGTACGTGGCTGATGAGTTACTCCGCTGGCTCACACGCCATGCTTCCGGGCATCTTGACACCACGCCCATGTGGTGAGAAAAAAACCTAAACCTAAACCTAAACCCTAAACCCTAAACCCTAAACCCTAAACCCTAAACCCTAAACCCTAAACTCTCTGTAAAGCCACCTAAACTTTTTGCACGGCAAGCCAGGAGCTCCCTGGGGCTGTCGACGGCGGATTGGAGCCTTGCCAGGGGGAGGGGGGGGGGCTAGGGTTTAGGGTTTAGGGTTTAGGGTTTGGGTTTAGGTTAGGGTTTAGGGTTTCGGGTTTCGGGTTTGGGGTAGGGTTTCGGGTTTAGGGCATTTAGGGTTTAGGGGTTTAGGGTTAGGGTTTAGTGGTGTGTTTTGTGAGCGGTGTGAAGCCTGTCATAGGGAATAGGGGGGGGGGGGGGTGTAGGGAGTTTAGTGATTAGTGAGCTTAGGGTTTAGCTGATTCGGGGTTTAGTGAGGGTCTAGGGGGTTGCGGTTGAGGGTGTTCAGATTTAGGGCTATGGTTGCAGGTTTTAGTGAATTTTAGTGCTTGGTTTCAGGTTACTTTGGGGGCAAGAATTGGGGGTTTCGGGTTCAGGGGCTGAGGGCTTACCTGCGATTCCAGGGTCCTCCCTTTGAGCTAGGAACCTTTGTGAGGTGAGAGGCCGCAACTTTAAGCCCATCGGACCTTTCCGGGAGATCCCTCTACAAGCACAATTATCCCAAGAGGGCGTATACACCTTCGGTTTCGGGCTTAGGCCCTAAGCCGCTGCCCAATACACCGCGAGAAGAGACCTCCACAAAGACAGGACATTTCGATAACAGAGTTAAGGCTAGACCCTAGACCCTAAACCCCAAACCTTAAGCCCCAAACCCTAAACCCCAAACCCTCAACCCCAAACCCAAACCCTAAACCCCAAACCCCAAACCCTAAACCCCAATCCCCAAACCGTAAACCCCAAACCCTAAACCCTAAACCCTAAACCCCCTGAGGAGATGGAGCTCTTGGTGGAAGCGCTCAGCGACAGCGACGCCAAGTCTGGGAGCCCAAGCCCACTGGTACATTCTACCTAGGGTTTAGGGTTTAGGGTTTAGGGTTTAGGGTTTAGGGTTTAGGGTTTAGGGTTAGGGTTTAGGGTCTGTTAGGATTCGTTGGCAACATATCACAAGTAGGAATGAATGTTCCAGACTGGGCTCCCTTTCCCTCAGGCCTTTTCACCAGAGTTGGCAAGTAAGAGCAGACTTGTCAGAGGGAGGAACCCCGGAGATTCCCAATAGTTTAGGGTTTAGGGTTTAGGGTTTAGGGTTTAGTGTTTAGGGTTTAGGGTTTAGGGTTTAGGGTTATACCAGGATGCCCTAGAGCTACCATAATGTGTCAGGAATATTCGCTCGTCAAGGGGTGCCGGAGTCTCTGTTTCTTCGAGTCTTCACGGTCACAAACAAATCTGTCAAAAGCCCTCAAGCAGAACCCCATACACATTCATCAGGGTTCAGGGTTTACTGCCCGGGGTTTAGGGTTTAGGGTTTAGGTTTTAGGGTTTAGGTTTAGGGTTGCAGGCAAGCTTTCATCCTAAGCCCCAGAGCCTCAAAGGGACCTGAAGGTCTCAACATGGAAGCCCTGAACTTAGTCTACTGGCCCGGTGGGACCACTTTTTGCCCTTTTTGGGCTTAAGCTTGTGGGGTCAACCAACACCCAAAAGTGAACCCAAAAGGTACCATGATTGGAAGATGATTTCTGGGCTACCCCCCCCCCCCCAACCCAGAACTCTACACCCTAAACCCTAAACCCTAAACCCTAAACCCTAAACCCTAAACCCTAAACCCTAAGCCCTAAACCCTAAACCCTAAACCCTAAACGAAGCAAAGGCCCCCCTGAGCCCGAGGCTCCAGAAGAAGGCCATGCATGCCTACCTATCCTGGCTCACGGCGCCCAGCCGTAGCAGCCTCAGTGCATCCAACCCAACGGACAAGACTCGGAACATGGAAATCCCAGGCTTTGGGTTTAGGGTTTAGGGTTTAGGGTTTAGGGTTTAGGGTTTAGGGTTTAGGGTTTGGGGTTTGGGGTTTAGGGTTTAGGGTTTAGGGTTTAGGGTTCAGGAAACCAGGCTTAGGGTCTTGGAACATGGAAGCCCCGGCTGAGGGTGTAGGAACATGTTAAGGGTTTGGTATTTTGAGCAGACCCAACATTCCAGATCGCAGACAAGCAAGAGATTTTTCTGTAGGAAGATGGGGGTCGTGTAGTCGTGTATCGATACGGAACCCGCAATCTCATTTCACTAGGGTTCAGGACCAGGGTTCGAGTTTTAGGGATTTGGGTTTACACTTGTTAAAGAGTTCAGCGCAGTGTTGATGGCATCTCATACTCCCATACTATTTGCCCCAAAACCCTTCCTGACTAGATCCCGCAGCCTAGAGTCCACATTCCAAGCTTTCTCAGTACGCTCTCCTTCAGCCTCTCCCTCTCCCCCTCCCCCTCTCCCCTCCCTCCCTCCCTCCCTCCCTCTGTCTGTCTGTCTTTGTCCTTTCAACGAAGCGTCAAAGCCCAGGATTGACCAAGGTCGACATTTCTCAGGCCAGGTGCATCTCTTGTTGTAGACGCAGCTGCAGAGCTTTCGGGTTTGGGGGTTCGGGCTTGGGGATTCATGAGTTGATATGGGTTTAGAATCCTAAGCCCCAAAGGAGAGAGGCTGAGCTTCACAGGCTGTGGGTCTCAGGGTTTTGTGTCGATGCCACTGAGGATCTCGCGTATTTCCTTCGGCTCCCCTATACTGCTCCTTTTCGGGTTTAGGATGTCTGGGCGCAGGGATTGCATTCTGTAGGCCAGAGCACAACGCCCCAAGCCCTAAACCCGAACTCAAACTAAAATCCTCAAGCCCATCAACCCTGAAGGCCTCCCAATCCCCTAAACCCTAAACCCTAGACCCTAAACCCTAAACCCTAAACCGACTGCTCCATAGGCCGGGCCTGTGAAGACCGCCGTTTGGACCCAGTTTTTCCCGGTGAGCGCAGATCAGGCGCTGGGGCTGGAAATAGGGCGGTTGGGGGCTTAGGGTTTAGGATTTAGGGTTTAGGGTTCCCGGGCCAATTTTTCGGCAAACCCTTAGAAGACGTATACGTCTACCCTGAACTCCACAACCTCAAACCTACCCAGACGCCCAACCCGCCCCTCCCCCCCAATTAAAAAGCAAAAAGAAATATGTATATATATATATATATATATATATATATTCGTATATCTATCTATCCGTAGACCCTAACGACCTCCAGCTGCCTCTTAGCTACGCCTAAGTTCCAACTCCACTCTCCCCACCCCGATGCCTCTACGTAACCTCGCAGCCGACGAACTCTGCAGAGACAGGTGGGGGTTGACGAAAATAGGGGACCCCGAAAATAGACCCTCAAATGGTAGGATCCCCTCATAATAAGGCGACTACACAAAAGGTACCCCTCCCCCCCCCCCCCCCCCCCCAATTTTCGGAAACCCCCAGGTGCACAACCGCCATGGTTTGCTGGCCGTCGTGGACGACTTGCAGAAGCCCCTGGGCCAAATGCCAGGATCAACAGTCGGCACTTCAAGCCCTGTAAAACTCAACTCTGCCCCCCCTTGACGAACCGAGGGCATTTTGCAGGGGGGGAGTGGCGTGTGGATGTGTACCCAACATGTCATAGCACTCCTATTTTTGGGAACCGCAAGCACCCCAAAATCTGAACCCCCCCTCCCCCTAATCTTCCATAGGCAACTATACCGCAAGCCCGGAAGCCAAGAAACTTGGTTTCAAGCCCCAGGGACTGGCTCCAAAACCTCCAAGCTCCGAACCGTATAAACTCTACCCCTAAGGCTCCAGGGCCTGTTATTTTAGGGTTTTTGGGGCCCAAAGCCCTTATTCTGTAAGGCTTTTGGGGCTACTTTGAGCCTAAGAGTACTACTGACTCTGACCCTAAACTTCAGCTTGAGGCCTATGGACCCCTGAAATGGACCCCTGAAGGTCGAATAGCCCCAACCACTGAGCGTTTTGTTCCCTAAGCCCTAAACCTATGCCGTTTACCTTGTAACCTTTTACACCCCAAGCCCGGCCCTACACCCTATATTCTGAACCCTGAACCCAAAACCCTAAGCCCTGAACCCTAAACCCTATACCCTATACCCTATACCCTAAACTCAACCCCAGGTTGGAGCTGGACGACAAGCTCCTGGGTTTGGGCTCCAAGGGGGTTCGGGTTGAGGGGCTTAGGGGTTTAGGGTTTAGGGCTTAAGGCTAAGGGTTTAGGGTTTCGGGCTTAGAGCTTAGGGTTTAGGGTTTAGGGTTCACGGGTTTAGGGGTTTTCGGTGGTTAGGGTTTCATGGCTTAAGGCTTCGGGTCTAGCTGCTTCAAGGGCTATGGAGTCAGGCTGTGAGGGCTCTGGCGGTATGTTTGTTTTTGGACACCTGTGCTTCAATCCCCAATACCCTAAACCCTAGACCCTTGGGTTTAGGGTTCAGGGTTTAGGGTCTCCTAAAACCCGAAATCCGGGGGTTTTTGCTTCCGGGTTTATGGGGTTTTGTGGTTGCAGGGGTCGGGGTCAAAGGTAGAGATTGCTACCTGGAGTCTCAAATGAAAGCCACAAAGGCTCAACAGCTGCTTGCAGGAGCGATCTGGGATGTCTCGTAGTGGACGGAGACAGTGTCATAGAAAGGCCGTTATGGTCCCCCAAACCCGAAGCCAACCCCGGCTCTACGAGCTTAACACCGTTGATCTTTAGAAACCCTGCGACGCCAGGACCTAGAGCCGTAAAAAGCGTTTTGGGGTGTCAGAATCCTGGCGGAAAATGCCCTAAGCCCTAAACCCTAAACCCTAAACCCTAAACCCTAAAGTTGTTGAGAGCCCAGCCAAACATCCCTGTTTGGCCTAGCGCCCGAAGCCCTAAACACCAAAGGGCTCCTAAACCCTGAAACCCGAAGCTCTAAAGACACCAAGCTCTAGACCCTAAACCCCAAACCCTAAACCCTAAACATTAGCAGACAAACCTAGAAGAATGGACACTGAACACCGCAAAGGCCCCCTAAAAGGCCACCCTAAGCCCCAAGCCCCACACCCTAAACCCTAAACCCTAAACCCTAAACCCTAACCCTAAACCCTAAACCCTAAACCCTAAACCCTAAACCCTAAACCCTACTGAGAACCAAAGGATGCCTCCAGACCCTACTGGAAGCCCCCCCCAAGAGAAGCCCCAAGACCCCTCAAGGGGTTAGGGCCCTGAAGGGGTCAGGGTTTGGGTTTAGGGCTAGGGTTTAGGGTTTAGGGTTTAGGGTTTAGGGCTTAGGGTTTAGGGCTTAGGGCTTAGGGCTTAGGGCTTAGGGCTTAGGGTCTAGGGTCCGGGAGTCCTCCATCTGTTTCACGACTCAAGAAGCACGAGACCCCTGAAGTCACTGAAGGGTTTTTGTTTCATGGTTAAGGTTTAGGGTTTCGGGTTGGGGTTTAGGGTTTAGGGTTTAGGGTTTAGGGTTCAGGGTTCAGGGTTTAGGGCTTAGGGTTTAGGGTTTAGGGTCTAGGGAGTCCCCCCTTTGTTTCACGACTTTGCCAGGCGCTCTGACTGCTTTGCATAGCAGCCGGGGTCCCAGCCAGCGGAGGCCTTGCGCAGCCTTCACCTCCAGCGCCCTAAACCCTAAACCCTTAAACCCTAAACCCTTAACCCTTAACCCTTAAACCCTAAACCCTAAACCCACAATCTCAAAACCCGCAAAATATAAGACCCTAAAATCCCCAAACCCTACAGGGTGGGGCCCCCTTACTATACTAACTGTAGTTAAGGGACTTATAACCTAATTTAGGATCCTTATAACCCAGTTTAGGGCTCTTATAACTCTACTTATAACTAGGGGGCCCCACCTTGTAAACTCATAAAACCCCAAGCTGCGCGCAATTGCGAAGAAAGGGGCGAGGACCAGATGGGGTTTGAGGTGGTTGGTTGTAGTGTTCAAGTGCCCCCAGGAAGAACCCTTATAAAGGGACCTTAGGGGTTATTTAAGCGTTTAGGGGTTTAGGATTTAGGGTTTAGGGTTTAGGGTTTAGGGTTTAGGGCTACTTAGGAATAGAGGCGCGCCATATAAAGGTATATGTAGGGGTCATAGAGGGGAATAAGACGAAGGTGGAGCTAGGGGGCCGTTGCTGCTTGAAGTGCTTGGGTCCAGCTGCAACCCTTCATGGCGTACGGATTCCGGCAAGCACCCTCAGGGTCCATGTACTTACATAAGAATACTATAAAATAATAATAATAATAGTATTATTAATAATAATAATCATAATAATCATCATCATCATAATCATGATAATCATAATAATCATAATAATCATAATAGTAATTGTAATAGTGCAATAAGAATGATGATCATCATCTCGGGAATACTTGGGGCTTTAAGGCACCTCGTCTAGAATGACTTTGGGACCGGACCAGGGTGTGCCAGTGTCTAGATGTTGGGCGTGATGGCTTCTGGCCGCTGCTCAAGTGCGACCCCCTTAATGGCACCGTAGCTTGCGAACCCCATGTGCGCAAACATCATGTGGCAGCTCGTTCTCGCGGTTGAGGTCATGTTGGCCAGCGCAGCACGCCCCCAGCACTGGGATGCGGGACTCATCACGGCTTACTACTGCTGCACCAAGAATGCTCACAAGTACGAGTTTCGGCGGTTCAGGGCCAGTGACCATGTGGATTCCAGGCGCAGCGAGACCACCGAGGATCCCAGCACCGACGACGATCCCCAGAAAGTCCAAGAGGTGGACGTCATGGACCTGATGCATGCCAGCGGTTCCACCCGGTGGCAGGACATCACCAACCGGTTTGGCTTCGAGAAGCAGAAGCGCTGGAGGATCCGTGAGTTCGGGGGAAGTTCGGACACCAGTGCCTCGGCGATCATGCGGAAGCTGTGCAATGACCAGCTGGGAACTGGAGCGACCTTGACCTTCAACAAGTGCCAGTGAGGCCCTTCGGGCCTTAAGGTGGGGGCATTGCATATGACACATTTGCGGCGGACAAAGTGTTTAGGGTTTAGGGTTTAGGGTTCAGGGTTTAGGGTTTAGGGTTTAGGGTGCTGTTCCAGTGCTGGGTCACACTTGTTGCGACGTTGATTCCCCAGATAGGAGCTCGTAATTTACATTGTTGCCAGAGCTAAAGGCTTCACAACGTCATCCTTTCATTATCCAACACTTGTATGAGAAAGTCCTCCACCAAGCCTGCTCTGATTGAATAGGCCTCTGTACTGCTTAGCATGTGCTGCCTCAGGGATGGAACGGATGATTCTTTCATCTCCTGTAGCAGCTGCACCAGATGTCTTTGCACAATCATTGAAATTATGGGACTTGTCAACGAGCGCACAGTCCAACAACTCATCGAAATTTTACCCCAGGCCTGTACACCCGATACTGAAGAGAGTGGATCTACGTAGACCCCATCACGCACAGAGGAGTCCAGAGTTGTGCACTCTACACTAGGACTGGCGGGCTGCGAGATTTTTATGGGCCCTACAAGCTAACTCTCGCCAAAAAGCGTTGATCATGCGCTTTGTTACCCACATTACTTCCCTAAACCCTAAACCCTAAACCCTAAACCCTAAACCCTAAACCCTAAACCCTTGCAGTAAGGGGTGCCCGAGAATGTAGACATAGTGGAGGCAGAGGTGCAAAGGAAGGGCTTTTTGGGTCGAGGGTTCTAAAGGCCAGCCATCCTTACCAGTGCTTTTGTGGCGGGATTGGGGTTTGGTGTTCCCTTTTTAAACCGTAAACCCTAAACCCTAAACCCTAAACCCTAAACCCTAAACCCTAAACCCTAAACCCTAAACCCTAAGGATGTCGAGGGCTTTAGGCTTTGAGGGCTTTAGGCCTTAAGCCTAAAGCCTGAACCTTGCAGCCCTAAAGCCCACGAAGACTCGCCAAAAGTCATAGGGTTCTTCGGGGAAGGGGGGCTCAAGGGTTTAGGGTGTAGTGTTGAGGGTTATGCTACGGGGTATGTAACCTAGGTTCTCTACTACTCCCCACAACTCCCCCAGGCTCCCTAAGCTTCCCTAAAGTTCCCTCGGTACTGACCGCCCCATGAACCCCCCTCCCTTAAGAACCCTAGCCCTAAACCCTAAACCCTAAACCTGCAAAAAGCCCACGAAGACGCCCCCAAGGCAGCAAGGAAACGGTGCCCATCAACTTCCTCCACATTGTTGCGGGCCGCGACGCCTTCCCCGGGGTCACGGACACTTAGGGTTTAGGAAACCCTAAACCCTAAACCCTGGGTTTAGGGTTATTCTTTCACGAATTCACCCTTACATTGGGCCGAGCTCCGAAAGCAAAATCCTGCGCCTGTGCACTGCCCACGGCCTTAAGGTCTCCAGCCCGTTGTTTTTTGAGGGTCGGACACCCCCGAAGATGAAAAAGGGTCACCGACATGAAGTTGTTATCTGGTTTAGGGCTTAAGGGTTTAGGGTTTTGGCTTTTGGGTTTTGGGTTTTGGGTTTTGGGTTTTGGGGATCCCCTAGCCCTGAAAATCTCCATTCAGGGCTTGGAGCGTTTAGTGTTTCGTTTAGGGAGCGGCTTGACTCGCTAGCCTAACTTGCTGCTTATAGGGCCGCGTGGTACGACGGAGTCTTAGCAGAAGCCATCCTAGATGCAACATCTGGTACACGGGTCGTGAGAAGGCGAAACATTGCAAGGCCGGCAGACGTGAACACCTACACCCGTAACTCCTACTGGAAGGCCCTTTGTACGCCCCTTAAACCCTCGAACCCTTAAACCCTAAAGGTAGAAAGCTTTGACATGTACATTCTGAAGCCGTGTGCTGTCCGAGATGTCCGAGAGTCGGCGGGAACCTGCAGAAGGCAACTGGCACAGAGTCGAAGAAGTCCGCCGGCCCAACCCAGATTCAAGTTGGAGACGTAGGGTTTAGGGTTTAGGGTTTAGGGTTTAAAGCCGCCTTCCAGTCCTGGTTTTCTGGGTAGACTAAAAAATACAAGCAGTTTCAATATAAATGAGGAGCAAGAACACAAGAACTATGGCTGTGCGCATGTGTATATGCACCCATATACATGTATACAGTATACACATATGATATGTCTATATATGTATATGTACTTAAATACGTATATAAAACATATACATCTACATATGTATACACATATATCTATCTATCTATATATATATATTTATTTATTTATGTTTTAATGTTTTTGCGATGTATAAAAAATATGTGTGTACATATAACACAGCGTGCTAGGCTTTTGGGGTTTTGGCCCACAAGCCCTGAGAGTACCAACTCGGGAGGACCGAACCCTGTTCTACAACACAGACTCGGAGCTGGAGAAGGCGGGCTTAGCGGTTTAGGGTTCAGGGTTTGGTGTTTAGGGTTCAAGGTTCAGGGTCAACGGGTTAGGGTTCAGGGTTTTGAGAGTTTTGGGCTCCTTCACAACGATGTAACCAACACCAAAAGTTGCCCGTCTCATAGTATGGCTGTTGGGCTACCAAGGGGTTTAGGGTTGCCTCGGATCAGAGCTTGGGGGGAGATGAACTTTTCTTACCTGGGAGTGGGAGGCTGAAGTATAGTCTACTCATCACACGGCTAATGCCATAGGTATACATATATATATATATATATATACATACACACATATAGGGCGATGATCAAAGAGATTCACTCGTCCTCTCGCATTGCACTAGGTAGGTCCTTAGGGATATATCTTTCTCTTTTCGCTTATGGTCTTAAGAGGATCATATTCAGCACATATTTCGGAAGGCTTTAAGGGCCGTCCTACTAAAAGCACCAGCAAGATTTAGGAGTTCTTGGTTGAAGGCTTCTTGCCTTGTCGTGAGTGAGTGCTGCCAGAGCCCCTTTTAGCTGCTTTTGCAAATCTGGGACCAGATTTAGGGTTTAGGGTTTGGGGTTTAGGGTTTAGGGTTTCAGGGTTTAGGGCCGAAGCCCTAAACCCTAAACCCTGTTAAACCCTGTTAAGCCATGTAAACCCCCCTCCGCAGGTCATGAAGCAGTGCCAGGAGATGTTCGCGCGCAAGGCGGAGCTTCTGAAGTCGGCCGCTGGGCGGGGAAAGAAGGTTTCAGGGTCTTTTTGTGGTGGGCTTGGGGTTTAGGTTGAGGGTAATTAGGGTTTTAGGGGTTCAGGGTTTATGGCTTGGGGTTCTAGGGTTTTGGGTTTATGTTTCTACGGTTTTGGGCTTATGTTTCTAGGGTTTTGGGCTTTTTCGGGCATAGGCCTCAGGGCTTTAAGGATTTTCGAGTTTAGGGCTTCAGGGTTTATGTCAGGGTCTAGGGCTCTAGGCTTTCAGGGTTTCGGGGTTTCGGGGTTTAGGGTTGCAGTAATGCCTGTGCTTCAGAGGCTGCTGTACGAGAATCCCCAACTGCTCCCAATCCGATTTCCTCAAAGGACGCTGGACAAGTCCAGTAGGTAAAGGCTTTGGGGTTTACGATTTCCCTAAACCCTAGAAACCCCTAAACTCTGAACCCTAAACCCTATAACCCCTATACTCCCTCAACCCTAGAAACCCTATAACCCCCAAGCCCGAAAACCCTTCGGGTTTAGGGTTTAGGGTTTAGGGTTTAAGTTTAGGGTTTAGGGTTTAGGGTTTAGGGTTTAGGGTTTAGGGTTTAGGGTTTAGGGTTTAGGGTTTAGGGTTTAGGGTTCAGCGTTTGTCGGGTGTTTTAAGGGTCTTTCGTCTTTTTTGGGTTCAGAGTTCAGGGCTTAGGGTTTAGGGTTCAGGGTAGTTTGCAGGGTTTCTATGGTTTATCGGGTTTAGGGATTAGGCACGGCTTGGGGTTAGATGTTTGGGGTATGTAGGGGCGGTTGAGGCCAAAGACCCAATACCTAAACCTAAGCCCACTAAGCCCTGAACCTACTTAGGGTTTAGGGTTTAGCGTTTCTATAGGGTTTAGACCCCTCAGCCCGAATTGCACTCTGAGCCCTGAACTCTTAGTCCCGACATATCCCCAGACCCTCAACCCCAAACCCTACACCCTAAATCCCAGCATGTCCCGAGACAGAACCCGAAACTGTTTCAACATGGAAGCCTCGCAGTCGAGGAAGCTTCCTTAAAGTTTTTTTTTTTGCGGGGGGCCTCGTGCCAAACCTAAACCCCAAAAGAAGCCCTTAGCCCCGAACCCTAAGCCCTAAACGCTAAGCCCTAAGCCCTAAACCCTAAACCCTATACCCTGTACCCTATACAAACCCTAAAATCCGAAACCCGAAGCCCTCATCATCCTACTGTCTTCTGCCGCGGGATCCCTAAAGCCAATCCAGGATGAGTATTTGTGTATCTGGGCCCCCTCTTTCTCACCCCAGGTTTAGGGTTTAGGGTTTAGGTTTTAGGTTTTAGGTTTTAGGGTTTAGGGCCGAATAGAATTCCCCCCCCCCCCCCCGGCTCTGATTGAGGGTTTAGGGTGAAGAAAGCGCTTTCTTCAGATCTTACTCTATCAGTTCACCCTGCCTTGAGGCGCATCACTGCCGGCGTTGGACCGGCATTGCTTGCCTCATCCCAGCCCCATCTTCCACGGGCCCATGAAAACCCTGAGCCCCTTAACCCAAGCCTGATCCCAACACACGTTTGTAGGTCAGACCCTGGGATGCTCCCCCTTATACTCACAGTCCTTCATAGGGATTCTAGTAGGGGGTACTACAATTTCCTGTTAGTAAGGACTGTTCGTATAGGGGGGAACATCCCAAGTAAGACCCCGCATCTCCCAAGTGGCCCAAGTCCTACCAGCGCTGTGTAAACCCTAAGCCCCAAAGGTCTACGACCCCAAACCCGAAACCCTTAACCCTTAAACCCTAAACCCTAAACCCGAAACCTAAACCCTAGACCCTAAACCCTAAACCCTTCACCATGAACCCCAAACCCCATCACTCCCGAGTCTTGAAGCCCATGGAAAAGTACAGATCCCTCGATTCCTCGCCTAGGCCGGTGTCGGAGAGATCTGCGTGGTGTGCCCTGCTTGTTTGCTCAGGATTCAAGGTTCAGGGTTTAGGGTTTAGGGTTTAGGCTGTGTTTTTGTTGCGGCAGGGGCTCCTTTAGTCACCCTCGACCCTGAACTCGGCCTAAGCCCTAAACACTAAAGCCTAAGCCCTAAGCACTAAACCCTAAACCCCTGCATAAACCCCGAAGCCCTTAAACCACAAGTAGCTGGAGCTGAAGATGGTAGGTCGCTCGCGCCACAACCAGAAACATGAGAGCTTCCACCCGATGTATGGGTGTAATTAGGGTTTAGGGTTTAGGGTTTTGGGGGGGGTTAGGGTTTAGGGTTTAGGGTTTAGGGTTTAGGGTTTAGGGTTTAGGGTTTAGGGTTTAGGGTTTAGGGTTTAGGGTTTAGGGTTTAGGGTTTAGGGTTTAGGGTTTAGAGGAAAGACTGTAGCCGTGGATGTAGCTCCAAAGCTAGGACCCATACTCAGTATACCAAGGGCCGCAAATCCCTCAAGCGCCAAAGTCCTCTCAACCCCTAGACATCTAAACCCTAGAGCTTACTTGGAGGTTCCAGGGTACTGGTAACCCCAATTCTAGCTGTACTTCTAAACTACTTAGGGGACTTAAGGGGCTTACAAGTACAGGAAGAATTGGCGGTCAGAAGTAGTCTGGCTCGCCGCGAACGCGAACGCCAGTCATGACTGGCCTGAGCTTGCGCACGCCTGGGTGCCACAAACCATGCGCGGGGCGGTTACGAAGAAGTGTCCATTGCTCTTGCGGCCAGACGGTTGCCCACGTCGCCAGCAGAAAAGCTGGCGGTCCTTCGTAAGGACGCATTGCATGACAAGTGTAGGCTGTCGCGTGCAGTTGACTCTGAGGCCCTCAGCTGGAAGCCTTCAACCCTACCAAGGATTTCCTGCTACAAAATGCCCTCAGGCGAGCCCTCAGCAGCCCGGAGCCCTGAGCCCTAAGCCCTAAGCAAGCCCTCAGCCCGAAAGCGTACTGAAGATCCTCAGCGCAGGAGCCTCCTAGAAAAATCCCTAAAGCCTGCGACAACAGAAAGGAAACCATAAAGCTTAATTTTAGGAAGACCCTAAACCCTACAAGCCCTATAAAAACCTGTAAAAACTCATAGAACCCTATTAACCCTACAAACCCCAAAAGCCCTCCAAACCACCCTAAACCCCATCAACCCCATAAACCCTGCAAAACCCTGAAACCCTAAAAACCCTGCAAAACCCTGCAAACCTAAACCCCATAAAACCTATGGACCACCCTAAACCCTCTAAACCCCATAAAATTCACAAACCCCATAAACCCTAAACCCTAAACTCTAAACCCTAACCCTAAACCCTAAACCCTAAACCCTAAACCCTAAACCCTACAAACCCTGAAGCTTTTCGAACGATCTGGGCTGGCAGAGGCACTGCCGCAGCCGCCCCGGCACCCGCGCTTCGCCAAGTTCAGCCTGGATCCCACCACCGAGGCGCCTTTTGGGGTTTAGGGTGTAGGGTTTAGGGTTTAGGGTTTAGGGTTTAGGGTTTAGGGTTTAGGGTTTAGGTTTAGGGGGTTTAGGGTTTAGGCTTTAGGCTTTAGGCTTTAGGCTTTGGGCTTAAGGCTTTGGGGTTTGGGGTTTAGGGTTTAGGGTTTAGGGGGTACCACCGAGACCCTTGTTGGAGGTTTGGGGCTTCAGGGTTCTTGCTTTATGGGTTCGTGTTATGGGGTTCTGGGCTTGGGGAGCTAGGGTTCAGGGTTGTCGAGCCCCTAAGCCCCAAACCCTAAACCCTTTACCCTAAACCCTAAACCCTAGACCCCAGACCCTAGACCCTAAACCCTAAACCCCAAACCCTAAGCCCTAAGCCCTAAGCCCTATAAACCCTAAACCTTTACCCTAAACCCTGAACCCTTGTTTAAGCTTTCCAACTCCCGAGCCCAAAGCCTAGGCCTTCGGGGCTTATCTTGGGTTAGTGCTTTTGTCTTCACCGGTTAGGTTGTGGGGCTTTGGATACCCGCTTGGATAGGGCTGGAAAAGAGCTTGGGCTTTTGAATCATGGTTTGGGGGAGGCTCCCCAAGAACCATATCCCAGATTAAACCCTCTAGTTCTAGAACAAATGAATGGTAAATGAAGGGAAGGAAGCCCACTGGCGCACCAACAGGAAAAGCACCCTAAGCAATAAACCCGAGAATCCTTATGGAAATCCCGAGGCGGGTACCTCTCTTTTGGAGTTCCCTCATGTACGGCCCGCCTGCGTCCATACAGCCTATAAACCCAAAACCCTAACCCTTAGGCTCAAAATGGCCCCAGAACCTTACATAAGAAGGCCTTTGGGCCCAAAAACCCTAAAGTAAGAGTGCTTAGAGCCTTAGGCTAAGCTTATAAACCCTAATCCTACACCCTAAACCCTAAACCCTAAAACTCTAAATGCTAAACCCTAAACTTTGGCCCTAAACCCTAAATCCTAAACCCTAAACCCTAAACCCCAACCCCCAAACCCCCACACCCTGAGCCCTGAACTGGAGGAGTGGACGGAGGGCGAGATTGGCCGCGACCTGTGGCCCTCCTTCGCAGGACTCCTGGAGCTGCGCGGGCCACAGTCGGTTCGTTTTACTTTTTGTTTTGGGTTTAGGGTTCAGGGGGTTTAGGGCTGAGGGTTTAGAGTTTAGGGGTTTAAGGTTTAGGGTTTGGGGGTTTGGGGTTTTGGGTTGGGGGTGGGCTAAGGGCAGACCCGACACCCTACAGGAAGCGGGGAGTATTTGGCTTGGGCTTACTGCTCTCCCATTGTTTTTTGCGGTTGCTTCCCCTAGGCTTCAGGTGTTAGAGGTCTTGGGTGGCCAAACCCTGAACCCTAAACTCTAAACCCTAAACCATAAACCCTGAACCCTAGGGTTGAGGGACAAGGGGGAAGAGGCCTTGGTAGAGATTAGAGGCGGTTCCAGGTTTTGGCTTTGGGGCATTCTCAGAGCTTTGTTAGTAGTGTTTATAGGGCTAGGGTTTTGGGTTTTGGGTTTAGGGTTTAGGGTTTTAGGGTTTTAGGGTTCCAGGGATAGTGTCATGATCCCTTAAATTGCTTAGTTACCTCATTTAAAGGCTTCTGAAGTAGGGGCCCTTGGGCTGTGTAGGGTACAGAAGGGGCATTTAAGGGGTCCCAGTTAGGGGCCCATCTCAAGGGAACGTCTAACTGCGCGTTTGACATCTTGAGTGTCGTTTGCTTCTCATGCTGGCACTTCAGGCATGTTTCGTGACAGACCAGCAGAACAGGGTTTAGGGTTATTTGGGGTTTAGGGTTTAGGGTTAAGGGAGGGGGTTTTAGGGTTTAGTTGAGGACATGGACGGCTCGTCTGGTGCTGCGACATCTAATCATGAGCACCGGAGCCGCTGTGATTGCATCAAGGTGCACACTCCTTCCCTCGCTGTCGCCGGGAAGTTTAGGGTTTTCCCAGGTCTGCTTGCTCTGCGAAAGCGTATTTAGCCCCTGCTTCCAGGCACATTGATGGCTTTGTTGCAGGTTGCAACATCTTACCAGAAACGACGCTGCGCCTTTCGCGGCATGCTTCCAAGACAGCACAGCCTCAGCCGCTTGACATATCAGAGCTAAACAGCCGGCAGGTCGAGTTGTGGGCAGCGGAAAGGATTGAGCGATGCGCAATGGAAGCAGGGAGATGGTGAGATGAAAGTGGCCCCACTGCTTCCGATGAAGTGCGACTTAAACAAGTCGAAGAACCATCAAAGAAACATGAGAGGAACTTGTCTCGGTGTGTTGTCGCGCGTGATTACGTATGATGCTGTGGCAGTTCTCATATTCTAATCAAGTTCTTGCGGTATCTCTTGAAGTTCCCGCTTTCTCCTCACGTTCTCACTTATCTCCCTTCCTTCTAACTTTTGTTCTCACTTTCTCCTTGAATTCTGACTTTTCGCTCACTTCGCTGCGCATTTTGCCTTGGTAGCCCAGGGTACCCTTTACCCTTTTTTTGGTTCTGGGCTCCCTTATAAAGTAGCCAACCCAAACATAGGGCACCCTTACTTTAATATGGTTACTAGGCTACGAAGTTGTGGGGGGCACAAGCGCCGACTGGCTGCCATGTTCTGTTGCCGCGGGAGTGGGTGGGTTTTTGCGGTTTAGGGATTAGGGTTTAGGGTTTAGGGTTTAGCATTTAGAGTTTAGGGTTTGGGGCAGTTGCAAGGCAGAGGCGCTAGTAGACAGTGCAGAGTCCCACTCATCGATGGCAACTTGCGGATGTTTCGGGTTATGGGGTTTGGTTACAGAGAGTTTAGGGTTTAGGTTTTGGCCCCCTGATCTTGTGGACCCACTGTACACTGCCCAAAGCCCACTGACCCCTCCTGGCCCAAGGGGAACGCTCCAGCGCCTCTATACCCTGCAGCGCATCCACAAGGAGGTGGAGGGGTTTGGGGTTTAGGGTGTAGGGTTTAGGATTTAGGGTTTGGGGGTTTGGGGGTTTGGGGGTTTAGGGTTTAGGGTTTGGGCTTCGGGTTTCGGGCTTTGGCTTACCCTTAGGACTTAGGATCTGTAGCAAGGACGCTGATTGTAGGATTTTCCGCGGCCGCAACCTGCTTGCGCCTGAATGTTGGACCCTCTTGAAAGTTGAAAGGGTTGGTTCCCCCCCTCCCCCAGCCACCGAACAGTGAAAGCCGAGCTGGGCCCGTCTGGAGATTTTGAGCCCTAAACCCCAAACCCTAAGCCCGGGACCATACCAAGGGCCCACGGATGTTTAGGGTTTAGGGTTTAGGGTTTAGGGTTTAGGGTTTAGGGTTTAGGGTTTAGGGTTTAGGGTTTAGGATTTAGATTTCAGGACCACACTAAGGGTCCATATTTTCTAACTTTTGGGGGAACTTCCTGCAAGGTCCGGCCGACGTCCCACATCTACCTCGCCACCCCTCCGCTGACGGGTGGCAAGGCGCCAACTCCTGGTGTTAAGGTTGGAGGGCTTAGGGTTTAGGGTTTAGGGTTTAGGGTTTAGGGTTTAGGGTTTAGGGTGTAGGGCTTAGGGCTTGAGTTTTTGCAGGTTCGGGATTTAGGGTTTCAGGATTCAGGATGCTTCTGCAGATGCAGTATCATACTGCAGTTCATTCGACCCTTTACTTGGGGACCAAATAAATTCTAAAATTGTGGTCATATCACTACATTATTGTAATCCCAATTAATGTATGTGTGCCATATTGTGCCATAAACCTTTTTAGGGTTCGTTTGGTCCCCAAGGTTGTTGTGCTTGCGAAGACAGTGTAGCTTTGTTACTATAGGGGTTTTGGTGTGCTCCGTTTCTTAGCCTGTGCTTAGTAGGGTTGCTTGTTGCAGGCTGTTGGATGAAACTTGCTTGACCTTGCATCTTCAACCCGAAAGCCCTAAATCCTTACATTTTCCTGGCTACATGGCAGGTGCGACGATTGCGGGTGTAGGCTTGATATGTGTGTAGAGCGTAAGGCACACACCGAAGCCCTCAACCCTCAACAGCAGGGTTTAGGGTTAGGTTTCAGGTCCCTAAACCCTAAGCCCCTAAACCCCTAATCCCCTCATCCCCTAAAAACCCTAGTTAAAGTGGGGTTCAGGGTTTAGGGGCCAGCCATCCACGAATCTTGGATATGGCATTGAAGCACGTACCAGGTTCCGACGTCGGAGCTTCTCATGCGGGCGTTGTTCCTGTCCCGCCGTTGCCCCAGATGGTCTTGGGCTGAAGGGTTCGGTTTTCTGCGGTTTAGAGCATTTGGGCTTATGGGGCAAGTACCCCTATACTAAACCCTAAACCCCCAACCCTAGGCCCTAAACCCGTTTCCTAAACCCATAGGCCCTGGACCCGAAACCCTAAACAAACCCTGTAAGCCTTAGCTGGGTTTGGGTTCCAGGGCTGAGTGCTCTGCGGAGATCTCGGGACGTCTCACGGGGAGACTTGAGTTGGGCCTTGTGGAAGCACTCTCTTGTTTTTGGGCAGGGGGGGGGGGGGGGGGGGAGGGTTTAGGGTTTAAGGTTTAGGGTTTTGGGTTTAGGGTTTAGTTAGGGTTGAGGGTTTCGGGTTTCGGGTTTAGGGTTTACGGAGGGAAAGACCACGTTAATTACAGAGTTTGTGGTGTTTTTCTTGGTGGAGGGGGGTGCATGTTGAGACTACAAGGTTTGTTTTTCGCGTTTGGGGTCGGATTGTGTAGGGTTTCTTGGGTTTTTTTGGGGGCTTGCAAGGTTCGGGGTTGAGTAGCGCCCAGCCTGAACCTTGTTCGGTGTTGCCTTGATCGGAGGTCTCAGTTGTCGGGAGCTACTATGATGATATCAGATTGTGTATGTATGTAAAATCTAAACCCTAAGCCCTAAACCCTTAACCCTAGGCCCTAAACCAAAACGAAAGCCCCAAATCAGATCTACACGTTGATCATGTGCGATATAGGGCTTTGATCAAGTCCCCAGTTCATAGGAGCTCAGACTGGTAGGCCCTTATTCCCTTGTTGTAGGGTTTCGGGTTAGGGTTTAGGGTCTAGGCTAACTAGGACCCAGACGACCCAGAGTAGGCCCTGATACCCTTTTTTTCCCCCTTATAGGCCCTTTAAACCAAAAAGGGCACCTTGCTAGGTTACTCTTGGGTCGAATATATGCTAGGGTAGTTACAAGGTCCCTTAATATCGTGAAGCTGCTGCATTGAAGTAGACAACACATTCTGTGCGCAGTGCCGTTAGCAGTGTTGATTGTGTTGTGATGTTGTATGAAGAATCTGAGGACGATCCAACACTGTGATGAAGATGCAACAATCCAACGGACAATGCACCGGGATGCACTTACCAGGATGGGCTATTCCCTATAATCCCTTAAAATGCCCTTTACAGGGTTCATTATGGGGATTACAAGGCCAAATAGCTCATCCTGGCAAAGGTGGGTTCAGAACGAAGTGAAATACCTTCGCAAAAATGACCGGGCTAGCTACTTGAAGATGATGAACATGTTAGTGAGGGGCCGAATGCAATGGCAGTGGCAATGGCGTACTTTTTTTGACGGGTTCTGATGTAGGGCATATAAGGGGTAAGACAAGTGGTCCCCGTTCAAGGGCCAACTGCCCTATGGTAGCAGATGCCCTAAACCCTAAACTTACAGCCTAAACCCTACACCCTACACCCTAAACCCTAAACCCGAAACCCTAAACCCTAAACCCCAAGAAAGATGCTGAGGCGTGGATAAGGACTCTTTCAGTGGAAGCTTGACGGACAGCCTGGACGTGGCCTTCGAGGAGGTGGAGCACGCCTCGCGCCCGATTGGGAACCCGATGGGTTTTACCCAAACCCCTGAGCCCTTGGGTTTAGGGTTTAGGGTTTGGGGTTTGGGGTTTGGGGTTTGGGGTTTAGGGTTTGGGGTTTGGGGTTTGGGGTTTGGGGTTTATGCAAGACATCGCATCCGATGATACAGAAGCACTCGACTCTTGGAGCCACTACGGTAACGACTAAGTCATACAGACAGAGATCAATATCGGGCCTGTCTGTGGGCCTTCTTAGCTGATTTCCACTTCAGATGGATCACCAATCTGTAAAGGGCAATCCAGTAAAGGGAGTTTCGTATTGAAAGGATGACGTACTGCTTTCCAGTAGCCCCCTCCTGTCAAAATTGACTGGACCTGATGAAAGAAGGACCCATCCAATGACCTCCGTGGTCTGAAACGAATTCCAGGCACCTGTACTCTGACACCCACTCTCAAGAGAAAAGTATCCTGCACAATTGAAATACCAGCACCAATGACATGGGGCATCTCTTGGGGCACTCCTGCCGCACACCCACAGACGTGCTACTCATCTATGCCAAGACCCCAGCTTGAACAAGTACGAGGAAGATTCGGACTTTCAAGGCTTCCAAGCCATCTTCACAGGCTTCAGTATGGTCGGGAGCAGATCCCAGTGCATGAAGCGACAAGCTCCGGCCTTGGCAGAGTCCTGCGACGTCTTCGGGACCAGACCAAGATACCGGAGGCAAAGGCACTAGCCCAGGAGTTCCTGACGAAGTGGAGCCAGGGAAGCAGGCCCCTAAACCCTAAACCCTTAAAAACCCCCATAAGAGTAAGAAGCCGGGTGCCGACAGCCTTACAGGCTGGCCCTAAACCTTGAAAATGTTCCCCCTTATACTAGCAGTCCTTAATAAGGATGACAGTACCCCCTAGTATAACCTCTATGCAGGACTGGTAGTATAAGGGGGAACATCCCGACCTAAACCCATCCAACTGCAGACTAAAAAAACATCCGGATGCCTAAAACTGCAACCCCTTACAGTACTCCCGGAGTCCCAGACCGTTTCAGGTTTAGGGTTTGTATAGGGTTAGGGTTAGGGATAGGGTTTAGGGTTTAGGGCGCTTCAGACCCTAAGTCACCAACCTTTTACCACAAACCCGAGACCCTAAACCTACTCAACCCCCGAGCAACAAGATGCACGGCAAGCTGCACCCCTAAACCCTGAACCGTAAACCCTAAACCCCGCGCAAAACCCTATTCCAACTATTCAGGCCCTGCGTTACAGGGTTTTGGGTTTTGGGTTTAGGCTTTCGGGTTTTGGGGCTCAGACGTGAATAAGCATGAACCCTAAACCCTAAACCCTAAACCCTAAACCTTAAACCCTAAACCCTAAACCCTAAACCCTAAACCCTAAACCCTAAACCCTAAACCCTAAACCCTAAACCCTAAACCCTAAACCCTAAACCCTAACCCTGAACCCTGAACCCTAAACCCTGAACTTGAACCTTGAACCCTGAACCCTAAACCCTAAACCCTACACCCTAAACCCTAAATCCTAACCAACTCAGGCCATGCTGGATCCTCGTGTGGCCAAGTTCGGTGCTGCCCTGAGCAGAGATCTGGTGTTAGGGTTTCCCTACACTCACAACCCAAAACCCTTCTGCTTGGGGTTATAGCTAAGGGGTTTCGGGCACACGTTTTCGGGTTTGCTTTTGATTGGAAGTCGAAGCCTGCTCATACCTCGACTTTCCTCACCCTAAACCCTAAACCCTAAACTGCAATTATGAAGGCTACTCTTTAAACGGCCATCGGCATGCTTTAAGATGCTTTTAGGAAGTATCGGAGTGTCTTTTCACGTCCCCATTCACCGGGCCGCCCCAATTCAACAAACTCTTCTTCGGCTTGACCCCTGGACCATAAAAACCTAAACCCTAGGAACCCTAAGCCCTAAACCCTAAACCCTAAGCCCTAAGCCCTAAACCCTAAACCCTAAACCCTAAACCCTAGCCCTAAGGTCCCTCCATCACCAGCCGCATCTTTGTGCACTTCGTCAGCGAGCTGGACATGGAGCCTGGAGCTCAGAATGCGCAGGTTTACTCCCCTAAACCCCTAATATGAACCTCCCCCTTCCCCCCCCCACACCCCCTAAATTTGGGTTTAGGGTTTGGTGTTTAGGGTTTAGGGATTATAGTTCTGTTGTAGTTTATGGGGGGTATATGTTATTAGGCGGTAGGGGGGATGAGGGGATCATATTCGGAGGGGGGGGGATTAAGTATTGGGTTTGGGAAAGGGAGTCCGGAGCCTAGAGGGTTTAGGGTCTTTAGGGTTTAGGGTTTAGGGTGTAAGGTTTAGGTTGAGTTGAACCTCCCCCCTGCCCCCCCACAGCAGCCGCGTCCTGGTACAAGCCCTCGGCATTCGCCATATGAGGTTGCCTCTGCCTAGAACCTAACCGACAAATCCGCAATGAATCGTAGCCAACTTTGCACCACACTTCTCAGATCTCAGAACCCGAAGGCCTAAGCCCCAAACGCACCCCTAAACCCTAAGCCCTAAACCCTAAACCCTAAACCCCACACCCCAAACCCCAAAGCCTAAGCCCGAACGCACTCGACCAGGCTCGGAGAGCTCGAGCAGCGCTTCACTGACACCATCAGCAGCCATGTCGGGTCGTAGACTCAGAGACGGTTTAGGGTTTAGGGTGTAGGGTGTAGGGTTTAGGGTTCAGGGTTGAGGGTTTAGGGTCTGGAAGGATTGTTATTCAAGGGACTACAGGAGGGACCCTTATGGGGGACCCTAGGGGTTATTTGGGGGTTATTTAGGGGCTACTAAGGTATATAGGGACTAGAAAAGTAGGTATATACAGGGGTGCAAGAAGGGGAATAAGATGAAGGGTCCCTTCTAGGGGTCCCTCCTTATACCCCTTAGGTTACAGTATTTTAGTGGTGCAGGAAGGGGACCCCCATATTCTTGATTTGCCCCTTTTCGGACGGGCCTTTCCCCCTTTTTCTCCCCCTGTCATTGCCCCAAATTCCCAAGGGCAGAGAAATCTCCGAAGTCTTCATGCTTCTAATGCAACAGGGGGGGGCAAGTAAATGACACCCAAAACTTTCCCCCCCGACCCTGAAGGGAAAGCCCTCGAGCCCACACCCTAAGGCCCAAACCCTAAACCCTGAACCCTAGAAGCAGCTTGGAGAATCTGATCCTATGGGGCCCAGGCCCATACTAAACCCTAAAGCCCAAAAGCTCTAAAGACCCAAAGCCCTAGAGCCCTGAAGCCCAAATCCCTTGAACACTAGACACCCTGAAGCCAAAGCCCCAAACCCTAAACCCTCAACCCTAAACCCTAAACCCTAAACCCTAAACCCTAAACCCTAAACCCTAAACCCTAAACCCTAAACCCTAAACCCCTTCCAAGTGCGAGCCTTTGACCAGCCCCGACACTTGGTCTGGGGCTTCAGGGCTTTAGGGGCTGCAGGGCTTGGCGGGGTTTGGGGTTCAGGGTACAGGGCTTAGGGTTTTCGGCACTTGCAACGAGTACGCTCAGAAAGGTCAGCAGAAGGATGACAGCAACAGGACACAGATTGCTGATCACGCAAAAAAGGCTCAAGGCGAAGAGCGGACGGAGCCGAGAAGCAATCGTCAGGGCTCCGCTTGCAGGGCTGAGCCCCCTCCCACCCTTTCCCCCGGCACCCTCCACCCCGATGCTCCCAAATTAGGCCCCCTGTTGGGGTCCTTATCGTAAGGGTGATATAAAAAAGGGGGCCCAACAAGGGACCCCGATTTAGAGAACCCTAAACCCTAAGCCCTAAACTCTGAAAACCTGAACCCTAACCCTAAACCCTACACCCCAAAACCCTAAACCCTAAACCCTAAACCCTAAACCCTAAACCCTACACCCTGCCCACCGAGAAACGCACACAGGGCATCGAACCCTGGGTGCCCTGAAGAGTTGCATCCTCCCTTGCCCAGGCATCGCGGATCTGAGGTGATCAAGCTCCTGGGCTGCTCTGGGACTTCTGTAAGCCCTAAACCCTCAACCCTAAACCCTAAACCCTAAACCCTAAACCCTAAAGTCCTCAACCTTAAGCCCTCAACCCTAAACCCCTAAACCGTAAAGCCCTCAACCTCAAACCCTTTCTCCCTCTGGATTTCCACAAAAAGAGGGGTACCTCATCGGGGTCCTGATAATGAGGGAATCCTACTATGTGGGGGGGTCTACCCCAAACCCTAAAAACCCTAAAACCCTGAACCCCTAAACCCCTAAACCCTAAACCCTACGTTACGTTCGTAAATCCTTAAATGGCGCAGGCTCTGCATCGACGAGATCGAGTTGAAGGTGCACCGCCGCGCAGGCTGGCTTGTGCTGAGTTTTAGGGTTAGGGTTTAGGGTTTAGGGTTTAGGGTTTAGGGTTTAGGGTTTAGGGTTTAGGGTTTAGGGTTTAGGGTTTAGGGCAATCCGAGCCAGAATTCGGGTGTGGGGTTGGGGGGGGGGGGGGGGGAGGGGGCTTCTCTTGTGTGTTCCTGACGCTAAATGGGCAGCTCTAAGTTATGGTCCCTAGTTATGGTCCCTATGTAAAGGGATGTTTAGTCGTCAACAGATCCACTGTCTAACCCGCTGTCATGAAAAATACTTGCTCGGGCCCACGCCAGACGAGTCGACGCCCAGATTGGGCTAAGGGCATAGGGCTTTGTAGGGTCCAGGTTCAGGGCGTAGGGCTCTATAGCGTTTAGGGTTTGGGATTGTAGGTTGCAGGGTTGTAGGGTTTAGGGTTGTAGGACGTGCAGTTTAGGCTGGTGTGGAATTTTTTGCTCGCGTCTAGGGATGCAAAGAATGGATAGCCAACCCCGCCGACCCTAAACCCGAAGCCCTAAACTCTAAACCCTAAAGCCTAAACCCAGCCCTATCCAGTGGCATTGGCCATGTTTCCGGATGAGCCGGCTACGAACCAAACGTCGTGCCAGCACCTGCTGCGAAAGCACGCCTGACGTTATATAGGGCTGAAGGGACGGCGAACAGTATCTCGAAATGTTTAGTCCTTAGGGTTTTTTGGGCTGCAGGGATGGCAAGCCGCCTTGACAGATCGCGACGGCCGTTGAAACAAGAAGGTACTGTAAGTTAGGGTTCAGTGGGGTTTAGGGTGTAGGAGTTCACCAACATAGACCCCCAAATAGTAGGATTGCCTTAAAATACGGCTCGCCATAAAAGGTACCCCTACCATGTATCTCGTCCAGGCAGTGTCATCGAGACGCTGCGCCTCTCGCTGTCTTCCTTGGGCCAGGATCCTAGCCCGGTTTTGGTCTAGGGTTTAGGGTTTAGGGTCTAACCCTCTCAACCCTATAGGGCTCATAAACACTATACAGTAAACTCTAATAGCTTATTAATTAAACCTTAAACACAATAAACGCAAACCCCTTAAACTATAGCCCCATTTAGACTAATTTTGTATGCTTATTTATCTAAACCCAAGGAAATACTAAACACATTTTGTCATTAAGGGGAGTATAGTAAGCCCTTGACCTTTTCACGAATACTTACACTTGTCAGCTTGGGGCGTTGCAGAGATTTGGGTCTTTTGGTGGATGCTCCTCAGGAGTCCACACGCTAAACTATGGCATGCTACTTAGCACTTACTAGATAGTCATTCGGTAGCCCAGCGGTGCCCTTCACCCGTTTTTGGTTTTGGGTTCCCTGATTAAAAAAAAAGTAGCCAACCAAGCAAGGGGTACTTTTGTTAGAATCTGGCTACTAGGCTACTAAGGTTACTTTGGGTCCGAAGTGTAGACTATTTAGGTACACATGGACCCCTAGGGTTGAAGTTGAGGGTTTGAGGGTTTGGGGGTTTGGGTTTAGGGCAGGGTCCTCGTTTGGGCTTGATTTAGTTTACGTGTGAGTAGTATGACTCCCCCAGCCTGAAACCCTGAACCTTGCGGCTTATTTATCGGAGCCACTCTACACAAGATCTTTAAAGCCTGTGAAGCCCCTCAAAGATCCCGAAGAGCACCCGGCAAAAACCCTAAACCCGAAATCCTAAACCCTGAACCCTGAACCCTGAACCCTGAACCCTGAACCCTAAACCCTAAACCACCCTAAACCCTAAACCAGAACAGGGAGCTGGACCTCCTGCATCAAGAGTTGCAGTTTGATGCTATCTTATTCCCACTCTTTGAGGGCTTGCTCTTACAAGAACCTCCTTTTACACCAAAAAGGGCACCCTGGTTGTTCCTTAAAGCCCAAACCCGAAACCCCAGACCCGAAACCCTAAACCCTAAACCCTAAACCCCAAACCCTAAACCCTAAACCCTAAACCCTAAACCCCAACATGGGCCATGCCGCCCTAAGGTGGTGGCTTCCTGAAGCCGAAGATGCTCCGCGAGTTCCCAGACCCGGTGACCGGCTACCCGCTTCGCCCCGCGGATGCTCTTAAGGGGATTTCGGTGGAGTTTAGGGTTTAGGGTTTAGGGTTTAGGGTTTAGGGTTTAGGGTTTAGGGTTTAGGGTTTAGGGTTTAGGGTTTAGGGTTTAGGGTTTAGTGTTTAGGGGAGATTTGAGGGCTTCACTTTCGGGGTTCAGGGGACTGAGGGTCTTTTGTGCTCGAGGGCTGTTAGGTTCTGGGTTTCCTTATCCTGTTCTAGCTGCTTAGCTGAACGAGGACCGGGAGTAGGCCTTTTTTTGTTTTTTTAGGGTTGCGGTTCCCTTATGATCCCCTCAAAACCAAAAAGGGTACCCTTTTTTATTCCTAGGTTACTCCCGGGTCTAGTTAAGCTTGCGACTGCATGCAATGTCGGCTTTGTCTACAGTGCGTGACGACACAGACACAGCGTCACCAAACTGCGAGACCTCCGTCACGCGCCGCTTCAGCCGAATCGTTAAAGCCCCACTTGCCAGCTCTCACTGTCATAGAACACGCACGAACGAGCAGAACAAGAACAAGAAGAAGACTGAATAATAATAATAATAATAATATATTACTTTGAACATCCCCACCTTGAGCTGCGTCAAAAAGAAAGAGCGCAAATAAGATGCTCAAACAAAGACACACTGATTCAAATACGTTTTCTCAGTTTTTGCTTTCAACTGGGGTTGGGCACTCCAGGGACACTCTGGCACTCCAGGCGGGGTTGGGCACTCCAGGGATGAACGAGGAGTAGCCCGGGCGAGGAGAAGAGTTCCGAGAAGAGTTGAGTTTAAAATCTAATAACCCCACACCGAAGGTGGAGAATAAGAAGAAGAAGAATAAGACTAATAAGAAGAATAAGAAGAAGAAACACAAGCATAAGAAGAAGAGTCGCGCGAATCTACGCTGGGCTCGTGCACGCCCGTTTCCCTCCATGGGTCATGTGAGGCGACTTGCCCAGCCTGCTGCAGTGGCACCCCAAAACTATATCCTGCTTTTGTAGATTGTAGTTGCTACTACGATTGCTGCCATGAAGTTATGCTTGACAGCGCTGGTTTGAGGGGTCGTTTCGGGTTTAGGGTTTAGGGTTTAGGGCTTGGGGATGTAGGGATATGTGGAGTTTCTGTCTAAAAAAGGACCTGAGCCTACAAAAAAAGCTTAAGCTTGAGAGCGCACACCCAGGGTGGGAGGCCGCCAAGGAAGGGGCGGCCATCAGCCCGTCCGACCATCCGCATGCCGGAGTCTGAGTGGGCTTGGGATGGTTTAGGGTTTAGGGTTAGGGTTCAGGGTTTAGGGTTCAGGGTTTAGGGTTTAGGGCTTACGGTTTAGGGTTTAGGGTTTCGGAATAAAGCTGGACTTTGAGGTGGGATGTTGCGGGGTTTGAGGGCTTAAGAGGCTTGTGGGTTTGATGGGTTGCGGGTTAGGGAAGATTCTGGCAGGATTTTAGGGGTTCATACCCCTCCGAAAACCCCAAACCCACCCCAATCCCCTTTCCCGAAGACCCTGGAAGACCCCTATAAGCCTCAACGAATTACAGTCAGGCCCCATCAAAGCCCTTTAACGATGATATCCCTAAGCCCTAAACCCTACTTAAGCCCCTAAACCACAAAGAACCGTCCAACTCAAAGCCCTGAACCCTCAGCCGGCCTGAACCCCCCCCTATAAGGCCCTAAAAGATGAGGATCACCTAATCTACCCTATCTTACAATTGCGATAGTCTAAGGTTGGAGCCGTGGGCCCTTCGCATGGTCCCTTACCCTTGTTTAAAAGGATTTGGCGGGATCCGCGGTATGGGCCCTCACGATGTGTAGGTATATAAGGGTTATGTAACCTGGGATCCACATTAAGGGCCCATACTTCGGATCCCCTATAATTATAGGCCTTGTAGTAGCATATATAGGCTATATCTACTACTATAATGCCTAGGTATACTAATCTAGGACCCAGGGTAGGCTCTTCTTCCCTTGTCTTAAAGTTTGGGTTTCCTTCTTAAGCCCCTTTCGAGCCACAAAGGGCACCCTTGCTCTTCCTAGGTTACGCTTGGCTCAAATAAGCTAAGTCATTCAAATCATACACAAAGAGACAATGCAATCTCAACCCCTACAGAACAAAGCCAAACCCTAAGCTCTGCTACCCCCTCCCCCTTCCCTTATATCCAAAACCCTAAACCCCAAAACTCCTAAACCTTAAACCTGTACCCTAAACCCTAAACCCTAAACCCTGTACCCTAAACCCTAAACCCTAAACCCCCCTAAACACCAAACAACCGAAACCCTAACCCCTAAACCCCACACACCAAAACATCGAAACCGAGACCCTAAACCCTGAACCCTAAACCCTAAACCCTAAACCCTAAACCCTAAACCCTAAACCCTGAACCCTAAACTCCAAACAAGAAACTGTCAGGTGGCCGACCAGGCCGAGCTCTCGCGCTACCAGGCCAAGCGAGCCCGGGCCCTGGGTTTGGTACAGTTTTAGGGTTTAGAGCTTAGGGTTTAGGGTTTAGGGTTTAGGGTTTTGAGGTTTTTTTAGGATGTAGGATCTAGAGGTTAGGGTTTAGGGATTATAGGATTCCTCTTGGGTCTAGGAGGGCTTCAAGGCACCAACCGAGACCCCGAAGCCCAATTTTTCCCTGATCCGACAGAAGTGATTTCAGTTTTGGGGCCCTAAACCCTAAACCCTAAACCCTAAACCCTAAAGTTGGGTTCACAGGGTTCTTGGCTTTTTGGGGGTTTATCGGGCCTAGGGTTCAGGGTTTCGTGTTGAGGGTTGGGGGACTTCTTTGTGTTTATGGAATTGCGCTCTGCATGTCTGCATTCTGAACATGCAAAGATTAACCGTAGTCCTTTCAATGATGGCTCTGACGGGCGTCTAGAATAGCTTGTTCTTCTTCGGATGCAAGCGGCAGAAGCAACGCTTGACCCGAAAGCCACAAACCAGAAACCTTTCTCACAACTAAACCAGATAAGCGCCCAAAGTTGACTCACACCCCTAATCCCCCCATCTGTAAATCCTACACACCCTGTAAACCTGTAAACCCGGCAACATGGGTATCGTCAAAGTTTTGGCTCTTAGGGTTTAAGGTAGAGGTACAGGTTTTCGGGGTTTAGGGTTTCAAGGGTTTTTGGGTTCGGGGGTTCAGGGACGAAACTAGCGACCCTTATAACTTAGGGGGGGATGGGACTGTACAAGGTACGTGAAGGGGTTTATACATGGGAAGAAGATTCCGGGTCCCTTCCAATATTCCCTCCTTATAACAATTATACCCCTTCAGGGTTTAGGGTTTAGGGTTTAGGGTTTAGGGTTATCAGGGTTGAGAGACCTACGCCTTCCTAGTGCAAGTGATGAGGTCGCAGCGCGCCGGGCCGGCTCCACCTACGCCTTTGACCTGCCTGGGGGCCTGGATTGTCTATAGGGCTTACCTTAAGATCCCGAAGCCCACTCTTGCTTGTAGGTGAACTACCTAAGAATCCTGTAAGAGGTTTTAGAGTAATAACCAGCAACAAAAGTAGGTCTTGAGTAGGGATTTGGGGTGTATCTGGTTTAGGGCTATTTATACCGTAATTCATCTCCTTTTGGTCTCTCTCTCTCTCTCCCTCTCTCCCTCTCCCTCTCTCCCTCTCTCCCTCTCTCCCTCTCTCCCTCTCTCCCTCTCTCCCTCTCTCCCTCTCTCCCTCTCTCCCTCTCTCCCTCTCTCTCTCTCCCTCTCCCTCTCTATCTCTCTCTGGGGGATGGGGTGGGGTTGAAGTTTGATTCTATCCGCGGGCCCTTTCTCCGCAGTTTAACCTCCAGCTTCCTCCACGAAACTCCGCCATTCCGCGGAGTACTTTCTCAGGAAAGGGGGCTGAGGGTTTAGGGTTTAGGGTTTAGGGTTTAGGGTTTAGGGTTTAGGGTTTAGGGTTTCGGGTTTAGGCTGCTTGGAGAGTCCAATCAGGGACGGGTCTGAGTGGTAAGTTTCCAGATAAGGTTGCGAACCCGTGTTCCCTGCAGTTACCTGACTTGCAACCCGCTCTATTCCTGCCTATGAGCCTCAACAAGCAAATCCCTCCTAAACTCGCGGGGTGGATTCACAAAACATCCCAACAGGCGCCATAGGGCCATAGGATTTTAAGGGTTTACCTTGTATAGCTGTCTGGGGGGAGGCCCACCTGTTCTTCAACGGAGTGTTTGAAGCTCTTGGTGGACCCGCGTCCGGCCCTAAACCCTATCAGCCCTAAACCCTAAAAACCCTCTAACCCCTATAAGCCCTCTAACCCCTATAAACCCCCTAAACCCTGCAAACCCTGCAAACCCTCAACTCTAAGCCCAAAAGCCCAAAAGCCTAAAGCCTAACCTTCCCAAAGCCACAGGCCGGGTATGCTCAAGCTGGCGCTGACCATGAAGTGGATCGCTGCCACCAGCAGCTCGCGCGACCCTCGGGCCTCAAGGGCTTTCGCGTTTGGGAATGTCAAGTCAAGGTTCTTGCTAGGGTTGTAGGGTTGTAGGGTTATAGGGTTATAGGGCTTAGGGCTTAGGGCTTAGGGTTTAGGGTTTAGGCGGGTTTAGGGTTTAAGGTTCAGGCTTTGTATGTGCGGGGCTGTTAGGGTATGTTGGGGTTACAGGGCCTTGCAGGGCTTTTGGGGTTGTGTGATTTAGTTGCAGGGTTTGGGAAGGTTTGGGAGTTCAGGGTATAGGGTGCAGGAGTTCGGCTTTAGGGGAATGCGGGCTGAGTTAACTGCTGAGAACGTAGAACACGTGCCCTTATATTGGCCTTGTTTGGGCCTGTGGCGGAGTCGGTTACCATTAACAGCCTTAGCCCTAGGACCCAAACCCTAAGCTTTAAACGCTAAACCCGGAACCATTCCTTGATTTTCGACTTTGCCATGCTTTGCCGAGGACTCCCCATGTTCCCAATGTTTACAGGGTCCTTAAGGGAGGGTGGTTTCGAGGGTTTAGGGTTTAAGGTTTCAAGGGGATATGTAACACAAGGTTCCCTAAAACTCCCCACTACTTCCTAAACCCCTCTAAGCTTCCCTACAGTTCCTTGGCCGAAAAACACTAAACCACTATGTGTAGCCTTGGCCCTAAGCCCTGAACCCTAAACCTCATGAACCCTTACTTAATGATGCAAGAATATTGTCCGACACACGCAGTGCTCCGCAGATCAAAGCGGCCATCCTCGCCGAACACGCGAGGCGAAGGACTCGCACCACTAGGGCTAGGGTTTAGGGTTTAGGGTTCAGGGTTCAGGGTTCAGGGTTCAGGGTTCAGGGTTCAGGGTTCAGGGTTCAAGGTTTAGGGTTTAGGGTTTAGGGTTTAGGCCTACATGGCTTAGGGTGCTTAAGGCTTTCGGGTTCAGGGGTTTGAAGCTCCCAGAGCTTCAGTGTTTCGGCGGAGGGGCTTCGGGTTCAAGACCCGAAATCAGCCAAGTTTCCGCCAGCCCCGGATTCGAATCTCCAGGTTTGGGAGTTTTCGGTTTCGGGCTTAGGGGTTTCCATTAGTTGCCGTTAGGGTTTAGGGCAATTGGGTCTTTTTAGACAATTTTCCGGAGGGTTTGGCAGCCCAACCTTGTAGCCTGCAGTTGTGCAGGAAGCTGTTGGAGTTGCAGATAGCACTTGAATCCTCAGGCCCTGAATCAACCTCTCCACTACACCCCACACCCTAAATCCTAAACCCTGAACCCTAACCCGAAAGCTCCACAGGACGAAACGCCCGAAGGCGCAGTCCCTCTCCTCGTTCTGGGCCCTGCTCTGAGCTGTCTTTGTTGAATGGGTTTTGTTTGCAGTTTAGGGTTTAGGGTTTATGGTGTAGGGCTTAGGGTTTAGGGTTTAGGCTTGGGGTTTGGGGTTTGGGGGTTTGGGTTTACAGCTTTAGGGGTTGTTCTTTTTGTTTAGCGTTGCGCCGTCTAGAGTGTGAGTTTGTACGGGGGGGTTCGAGGCTGGGCTTTGATATTTTGATTAAGCTTTGTTTAGGGTTGATTGTTTAGGGATTAGGGTAAGTGAATACGCGCAACACCTAGCGATCTCTTTGAGTAAGTATTGGTCTCCTGCAAACATGTCGATGACGAAGCGATGATTTTAGACACGTGTCTGAATGTACGCACCTAAAACTTAAAAGCGCTCGTAGCATTGTAGGGATGAAGGGGTTCTGAAAAATAGAGCTCTGAGAAATAGAGCCTAGCCCACAAAACCTCAGCCCAGAGGGGGAGTCTTCTTATGGCTTGCGGGGACGTTCGTTGCCCGACATCCGGGGAACCCTGAATCCCTAAACCAACCTTTCGACCCTAAAACTCTAAACCCTACCCCTAGCCCTAACCCACATCCCTAAACCCTAAACTCTAAGCCCTCATCAACCCCAGGCCCGTGACAAAACACCCAGTCAATCCTGAGGCGTGGCGCTCCGACGGTGCCATCGCAGGCCCGGTGGAAGAGACTCTGTGGGCTGTGGGATTGAGGGTTTAGGGTTTTAGGGTTTAGGGTGTGGGAGTGAGGGTAAAGGCGGTATAGGGTTTATTTAGGCTATGGGTTTCGAGGAGGTGGTTTCTTTGCGGGCTCATGGGGTCCAAAGTTCAGGTCCACCTCAACTTTGTTTGTGTGTGAGAGCCCCTCGGGGTGGTGGGCGGTGGGGGGGGGGGGGGGGGGGGGGGGGGGGGGGGTGTGTGATTTTTTGGTTTGCAGACACCGAAGCCCCATGCACTGGGTCGAGAAAGCTCGGTTTCCATAGCCTTTAAAGCTGTGAAGTTTCGAGTTCAGGCTACCGGGTTTCTCAGGGCAAGGTTTCAGGTTCAGGGTTCCGAACGTATCCCCCAAAGCCCCACAAAAAACCAAACCGGGTCGAGGTTGCAGTGCAGGGTCCCGTCCTGTATACTGTCCCATGGCCCCCTGTCCCGCTGCACGGTTCCGTATAACGGTGTGCCTGCTTTAGGGGGGGGGGGGGGGGGGGGGGGGGGGCGCCCTGTTTAACGTCAAGTTGCCGGGGCTACTCAGGGCACCCTAATTCTTTCGGGGGTCCAGCTGAATCAGCCTGCACTGGGCTCCTGACTCAAGCTGCTCGGTTTAGGGTGTAGGGGTTTAGGGTTTAGGGCTTGCGAAAACCTCAAGCCCTAAGCCCAAAACGTAGTATGTCCGTAACAACCATCTCTTGTGAAAAGCCCCAAGGCCCTCGACACGAAACCCCAAATCCAAACTTTACTAAACCCCAAGCCCGAAATCAGAAAGAGCCTAGCATGAAGCCATCTTACGCACCAGCATTGTAAATCCCAAGCCCTATGCCCCCCAACCTTATCCCCAAGCCTCAACCCCAACTCGGTCCCAAGACCCTAAACCCTAAACCCTAAACCCTAAACCCTAAACCCTAAACCCTAAACCCTAAACCTTACTAAACCCTCTGAGCCTCTGAGCAACCTCGATCCCCAAATCCCCCCTTCAGGTACCTGAGAACATGCCCAAGGACCCCGTCGTCGCCGTGGAGCTGGTGCGCCCTGCTTTCACCCACGCACAGCTCTGAAAACCTAGGGTTAGGATTTAGGGTTTAGGGTTTAGGGTTTAGGGTTTAGGGTTTAGGGTTTAGGGCTTTTGGTATTTGGGTTCCATTCCCGAAGTTTCGCACCTTAAGCCCTAAACCCCCCAAACCTCTCAAAACAGGTGAACCACACCCCGAAAAACCCGCTACTGCCTTGATCTCGACATGCCATAATGAGACGTAATAAATTTAGGGGTCGAAATGCTTACTAATAGTATTCCCTTAGGGTTGCTATAGTAACGCCCAAAACCCTGTTCAAATATTTCGGGCCCTGCGTTACAGGGTTTAGGGTTTAGGGTTTAGGGTTTAGGGTTTAGGGTTTAGGGTTTAGGGTTTAGGGTTTAGGTTTAGGGTTTAGGGTTTGGGGTTTGGGGTTTGGGGTTTGGGGTTTGGGGTTTGGGGTTTGGGGTTTGGGGTTTGGCGTTTAGGACCTTAACGCCCAGGAACTGGGTTTGGGACTACTATACTTTAATACTGTTCTTGGTTCTGGGTTCCTATTCTAGCTACTTATACCTAAAAAGTATATACTTTTTTTTGCCAGGGTCTACTCCAGGGTAGGGGATAACTTCCCTTTGGGTGTAGCTAATCTACAATACATGCCCTATTTGGGAAACTTACGCAAGACTTTGGGCTTCAAAGGAGTGGTGATTTAGCAGATAGACTCCCCCATATCATGCATACATGACTTGAACGAAGCAAGTCATGGACCTTGAGCCCTAAACCCTAAACCCTAACCCTAAACCCTGAACCCTGAACCCTGAACCCTGAAACCAAACCCCTGTTCCCCCTGAAATTCTACATCCCAAGCCCCCCCCCCTGAGCCTTCACCCCGAGCCCGAAAAACCTAAATTAAACCCGAAAGCCTTCATACGCCTAAACTCTATAGGCCCTAAACCCTATAAAGATAGGATTCTTAGGTAAACCCTAAACCCTAAACCTTTAACCCTGAGCCCTGAACCCTAAAACCTAAACCCTAAAGCCTAAACCACCAAAAAGTGGGTTTTTGGGTTCTTAAGGCAGGGACCCTGCCATGCAGGTTATGGACTGGGCCAAGATGGAGCTGGTTGAGAGCGCTCGAGCGGAAGGTCGGGTTTGGGGTTTAGGGCTTAGGGTTTAGGGTTTAGGGCTAGGGTTTAGGGTAGGAGGCGGAGTTCTTACTTAGCCAAAAGTAGAACTTTAAATTTTGTTGGTCCCCTTGTTTAGTTGGACGAGTAAGTGTAACCTTTTTTTCTCCTTGGTTTTTGGAGAAGTAAGAGTTAGGGTGTAAGGATTTTGGGGTTTGCGTTTTTTAGGGCACCTTATCGGGGTCCTTACTATAAGGGCATCCTACTATTTGGGGGCCTGTTATAGGGGTTCCCTGTTTTCGTAAACCCCCATTTAGGGATTTAGGGTTTGAGGGCTTTCGGGTTTCGGGTTTTTCTCTGGCTTTCGGTTTGAGGAGTTAGGTCAGGGCAGTTGAAGGATTTAGGATTTAGGGCTTAGGCTGGGCAATTTTTTCAGGGCTCCGCATGGTTCATGAGGGCATAGGGTCTAGGGTCTAGGGGTTGATCTATAGGTCCTTCTGTGACTTTTTGTTTTTTAAAGGGCTCCTAGTGGTTCATAGGGGAAAAGATAGGGCAATTTTGGGAACAGGTATTCTGATCAACTCCCACATACCACAGGGCTCAGGAAGGTTTGCTTCGCCTGGCACAGGACAGATGCAAGGGTTCTCCCCAAACCCCAAACCCCCAAACCCCAAACCCCAAACCCCCAAACCCCCAAACCCCCAAACCCCCAAACCCCCAAACCCCCCCCAAACCCCCAAACCCCAACCCCCCAACCCTGAACCCCGAACCCCAAACTAACCCCAAACCAACCCCTAAACCGCTTAAACCCGAACCCCGAACCCCGAACCCCGAACCCTAAACCCTAAACCCCAAACCCAAACCGCCTAGACTCTAAACCTGTGTTTCACCCAGGCTGCTCTAGGTAGCGGCAGGGGGTTTTGTGTAGCTTGCGCTAGGCCACCCACAGTGCCGCTTTGCTATAGTGGTCTGAAATATTTTAGAGGTTTAGGGTTACAAGGGTCTAGGGTTTAGTGTTTCGGGTTTAGGGTTTAGAGTTTGGGGTTGTTGTCTAACCAAACTTATAAGCGGACATCAAACAGATAACAATCAGAGGCTGTTTGCAGCCTTGATTGGCACTCAGATGCTGATCAGGTGAAGTTTTGACAGCTTAAGGGCAGGTATGCTTGGTAGCCCTTTTCCCTTTTTTTGGCTCTGGTTCCCTTATTGTACCCAACCAAAACAGGGTGCCCTTATTATATGGTTACTGGGCTACTAAGTATGAGAACACCCCCCTACTCCCCTGTAGACCCTGAGAAGCCAACGGATATCCTGTGTTCCCCGTTGGACCCGATTAAGATGAAAGCATCCTAGGCTAGGACCGGGAGTAGGCCCTTGTTTCCTTTATTTAGGGTTGGGGTTCCCTTATCATCCCCTTAAAGCCAAAAAGGGTCCCCTTTTTTATTCCGAGGTGACTCCCGGGTCTAGTGGGCGATTTAGGGATTAGGAGTCTTGGTGTTTCGGGCAGGGTCTGAGACAGTCTGGCTGCAACTCTGCTGAAGTTCCAAGGCCTCTGAGAACCCTCAACCCTAAACCCTAAACCCGCGGCGTAGGTGCGAACGACGTGGGCATGTTGGCCTGGAAGCTCACGATGAAGACCCCGGAGTACCCCGAAGGCGCATCGAGAAAGCTGCCGCAGAAAGCCCTAAAGGGTTTAGGGTTTAGGGTTTAGGGATTAGGCTTCCCCTAAACCCTAAACCTGTTGTTTGTAGGTTGCCGAAGATTCCCTTAAGCCTTAAGGTTAAGCTTTGAGGGTTTGAGCCTATAAGGGTTTGGCACCCCATTTGCAGGTTTAGTGTGAAGAAGGCCCTACAGCGCAAGATCTTGCGCCAGGGTTCAGGACCATAGGGTTTGGGTTCTAGGGTTTAGGGTTAGGGCTGCGAGGCTGCCCCACCCAGCTCACAATAGCTGGACTTAGGCTTCAGATTTTCTACATCTTCCGAACTCAACCCTACGCAAAAAAACCTAGTCCCTGAAGCCCAATGCGCCAAAAGTCGAACCCCCAAAGCCTAAACCCAAGACCCCCAAACACCCCGCAAAGCTCGAAGGCTATGTAACAGCCTTGAATACAGGTTAGGCTGTTTCAGGGTTCACGGTGCCGGGCTTGGGGCATTGGGCTTCAGATTTGCGATTCAGAGTTTTGTGCTTCGCCACTTAAATCCCATAAACCCCTTAGGCAAAACCTCCCTCCCAGGCTCCCCCGGCCGTTTTACCCTAGACCCTAAACCCGAAACCCGAAACCCTAAACCCTAAACCCGAAACCCTAAGTGGAAACCCTAGACCATGTCGGGCTATGCAGGCCGACAGGTCATCCTCATCGCCAACGACGTGACCTTCCAGGCTGGTTTGGGGGCTCGGGTTCAGGGTGTAGGGCTTAGGGCTTAGGGCCTATAAGGCTTTGCAGGAACGAAATCCGAAACCCTGCAAACCATGTGGGCTTGATGCCAGTGCATGGTTCACGAGGCAGCTTAGGGACGAAATGAACCCTGAAAGGGTTTATGCCAAGGAAGTGGGGGTGGGTAGGGTTGGGGTTTAGGGTCTAGGGTGGAGAGGCCTACAACATTAGCACCCCAACCCTCCGCAACCTGTCCTAAGAAAGCATGGGGCAGTGAACAAGGGTGAGGAGTGTGTGCTACAGGCGGGCTCCTTCGGCGTCAAGGAAGATCAGTTCTTCCAGAAGGCCAGGGGGAGGGGGGAGCGCGAGTTGAACGAAAGCCCAACCCCACGGCCTTAGGGCCTTCAACGTGAACGCGGTCAGGGCTTAGTAGTAAAGACTGGCCTTGCGCTGGCATCCTGTGTCTGTTTCGTGTTAGGTTATAGGGTCCGTTAAAATGCCCCTTGTATAAAGCAAGCCAGGGTGTTTGCCTTTGTGCTGTTGCTGGGAATGTGGGTGGGGTTTAGGCTTAAAGAGGGATATGAGAGTTCGACACAAGGTCAGTCCATTCTCCGCAACCCCTACTTAAAATGACCCCGAAACTCTTCATGCTAAAAGCATTAGTAATGCTCGTACTTTAAGGGTACATGGTTTAGAGATTATAGGGTTTAGGGCTCTCAGCCCTAAACCCTCAGTCCCTAGCCCTAATTCAACGCAAAATCCAGCAACAAGGGGTTTAGGGTTTAGAGTTGAAGGTTTAGGGTTTACCCTGAAAACCCTTCGACCCACGGAATTCCCCCGAGCCCTTAAAGCCCCAAGCCCTCAAAAACCTTTCCAAACCGTAAAGCCCCAAACCCCCAACCCCTTCCAAGCGCTGCCTTAAACCACATTTCTGGTAGAGGTAACCCTAAGCCCTAAACCCTAAACCCTAAACCCTAAACCCTAAACCCTAAACCCTAAACCACATACCTTCTAGTAGACCACATGTCTCCAGGCGTCGGAGTTGGCCCGAAAGCTTGGCCTTCCGCGCGTCTATGTGTCCTGCAACAGCGGCGCGCGAAGGGGGGGGGTGGGTGGGAGTTAAGGTGTCCCTAGACCGCAAACCCTAAGCCCAACCCTAAGCCCTAAACCCTAAACCCTAAACCCTAAACCCTAAACCCTAAACCCTAAACCTTCAGGGTTTCGGGCTTAGGGGAGGAGAGGGTTTGGGGCCAAGAGGGGGTGAGGATTGAGAGTTGAGCATTGAAGATTCGGGGTGTAGTGGAGGGCTGGGGCTTCTTCATTCGGGTTTAGGGTTTAGGGTTTAGGGTGTAGGGTTTAGGGTGTAGGGTTAAGGGTCTAGGGTTTAGGGTCTAGGGTTTAGGGTCTAGGGTTGGACTGCCGGGGTTTTGGGGCAGAGGAGGTGGGGTTAAGGCTTCGGCTTGTGGCAGTTGGCTCCCTCAGTAAGTGTCGGGTGTTTCTCAAGCAGGTTTGTTTGGGGGACACTAAACCCAAAACCCTGAACCCTAAACCCTAAACCCTATAAACCCTAAACCCTAAACCCTAACCCTAGACCCTCAACCCTAAACCCTCGTGGAGAGTTAGGGTTTGTTGGAGGCTCCCAGAGCCCGAACCCTAAACTTCAGGGGTTTGGGGGGTCAAGGACATGGCTCCTGCAAAGCAGATCTCGATTTCTGGCCGCGAAGATACTCAGTATCCTACTGGGTTTGGGTTTAGGGTTTAGGGTTTAGGGCTTAGGGTTTAGGGTTTTGGGTTTAGGGTTTAGGGTTTAGGGTTTAGGGTTTAGGGTTTAGGGTTTAGGGTTCAGCAGCTCATGTACTAGCTTTCACTAGTCAAGCAGCTTGTCAAGCGTTGCAAAAATACCCATGCACCCACGAAACCCATAACATTACGAACATGTAAAGTTCACTCAATACATTTCCATAAACCCTATGCCTAGGGCCTAAACCCTAACCAAACCCACGGGCTCTAAACCCTATGCCCAAACCCTAGGGGCCCTAAATGCTACTCCCCAAGCCCCAGGCCCGGCCTGGGTCCTAAACCCTAGGCCCCAAAACCAAAAACCATTTGCCGACGAAGGGCGTCAGGGGAAAAAACATTTGCCGACGAAGGGCGTCAGGGTTTAGGGCCCGCGCGGGGAAAAAAAACATTTGCCGACGAAGGGCGTCAGGGTTTAGGGCCGACGCGGGGAAAAAACACATTTGCCGACGAAGGGCGTCAGGGTTTAGGGCCCACAGGGGAAAGAACCATGGGTTTGGGTTGCTAGCAAGAATTGAAAACCTGTCGCCGAAAGCAAGAGTTAAACCCACGCTACACGCTGGACCAAAGTTCCCGAACACCAAGAAAAGCCAAAGCCTGAACTGGTCCAAAAAGCCCCCAAACCCTGTATAACCCTAGAGTAACCCTGAGCCCTAAACAGCCCAGCAACAACCCTACATAAACCCCAAACCCTAGACCCTAAACCCCAAACCCCAAACCCTAAACCCTAAACCCCAAACCCTAAACCCTAAATAAACCCTAAACCCCAAACCCTAAACCCTACTAAACCCTAAAGTTTAAAACTCTGTGAGGCGCCCGTGTGGGTCTCGTGGAGGAGCTGAAGCCCCTCTACAAGGTGATTGATCTTTGGGTTTAGGGTTTAGGGTTTAGGGTTTTAGAGTTTAGGGTTTAGGGTTTAGGGTTTAGGGTTTAGGGTTTAGGGTTTAGGGTTTGGGGGTGCAGTATTTTGAAAGTTTGGGCTATCTAGGTAGGACCTTGTGATGTTACCTTCGTGTAGATTGATATACTGTAGGGTCTAGGGGCGAATTGGGATTGTAGGGTGTTGGAAATTAAGGGGGCTCTAGGGATCGTCGCGGCCTCAGAGTGCAGGGCTTAGGGTTTGGGGTTCAGGGTTTAGGGTGGGGTTTAGGGTTTTGGGTTTAGGGTTTAAGGTTTAGGGTTTAGGGTTTAGCGTGTAGGGTTTCGGGTTTAGGGCTTAGGGTTTAGGGTTTAGGGTTCGCTTGAGGTTTGCCTTAAGGTTGCTAGTTTGTGTTGTCCCAGATTCCCCTTTATAAACCCCCTCACGGAGCCGTGTATGTTGCAGCCGAACCTGGAATTCCTCTCCTGAATCTCTTTCGGTTTAGGGTTTAGGGTTTGGGGTTTAGGGTTCAGGGCTTAGGGTTTCGGGTTCAGGGCATAGGGTTGAGGGTTTAGAGGGTGTCGAGTTTAGCAAACTGGTCAAAGCGGGTTAGTTCCGGGGGTTGAAGTATGTCATCGCCGAACAAGTGAATGGAAATTCAGGGTAAAGTACGGGACTCAGGCAAATTTCCAAATCATAAGCCCTCAGCCCTACCTAAGCCCTAAGCCCGAAACCCTAAACCTTTTTGAGGCATCTACAACTGCATAACTTTTTGCAATCAACCAAAATACCCAATTCGCCTTCGCCTTCATCATGCTACGATGCGTCCTCCCAAGCCTGGCTACGGAATCCTAGGGTTGAGGGTTTAGGGTTTAGGGCTAGGGTTTAGGGTTTCGGGTGTCGGGTTTCGGGTTTAGGGCCCGAAGCCCTAAACCCTAAACCCTAAACCCTATACCACGAACCACCCTAGAGGCCCTAAATCCTCATTCCGAAGCTCGCCAGGTGCAGTGGCTGGACGCCAACGACTGCAGCAAAGGCCTGGCTGAGCCTCAACAACTTCAACCCTCGGTGGGGTATTAGGGTTTAGGGTTTAGGGTTTGTTTAGGGCTAGGGTTTAGGGCTAGGGTTTAGGGCTTAGGGCTTAGGGCTTGGGGCTTAGGGCTTAGGGTTTAGGGTTTAGGACTGAGGGTTTAGGGTTTAGGGTTCAGGGTTTAGGGTTTAGGGTTCAGGGCTAGGTGTTTCACACCGTGGAGGCTTCGAGTACCTCTACCTGACCAAGGCGGACTACGACAAGCTTCCTGCAGGAACGGTCGAGGTGCGGGAAACGCTAGAAGCCCGACATGCGCTTTGGCAACTCTAACGGACCGAAACGCTAACAGCCGTTCAAACACCCTACACCCCACCTAAACCCTAAACCCTAAACCCTCAGTCCTGCCCGAGCTCCGCAGCTTAGTTCTCTGACTTCACAACACAAATCGGACCGAGTACTACTTTGGCATCGTCCTTAGCATTCCCTGGAGCTGGGTTGTGGAATCCTTTGCCCTGAACCTTAAACCCGGAAACCCTAAAACCTGATTTTGCTGAACGGAGTTCGGCTTTGGGAGTGTCCAAGATCGGACCCTAAGTGGGATGTGGGTTTAGGGTTTTAGGGTTTTGGGGTTGCCGTTTAGGGTTTAGGGTTTAGGGTTTTGGGTTTTGGGGTTTTGGGGTTACCGTTTAGGGTTTAGGGTTTAGGGTTTAGGGACCCCCTTCTTGCTGGCAGGCCCACAAGGTCTCGGAGGGCGGTGAGGAGCGATACGTGCTGGATGCCATCATCGGCGAGGGCCAGAAGAGCACCCAGCAGCTCGATCGAAGTCGTAGGTTGGCCCTAAACCCTAAACCCTAAACCCTAAACCCGAAACCCCATATTATTGGGTCTAGCAGGGTAGTTCCACAGCCTGAGTATTTGTCCCTTCGCAGGGGACGCCTTGTATACCATGCCCTCTAAAACTGAGAAAAGAAGGTGAGGGGCCATAATCTACCATTTGCTCCAGAAACCACCCCAAAAAAGTAAGAAGATTCTTCCTTATAAGAGTAATATAGGGATTTTTATCATGTGACTTTTTTGGGGATTCTTAAGCAAATAGTAGTAATCGGGGACCATGTACCTACCCGTAGGCCTGAGAACCGCCAAGTGAGTATAAACCCTCTCCTAGGATGGCCCATGAAACCCAAAAAGCCTAGATATGATCCTAATATCAGGAGTAGCTTCGCTCGAGAAGCTGTGTGACTAGGGGGTCGGGCAATGGGGGAGGGGGGGAGGAGCCACCAGAGGAGCCTAGCTTAGTATCACGCTGAGCCTAAACCCTAAACTCCTAACCTAACCCCTAAACAACATTATTCCTCAGAATGCCTATCAAGAAGCGTATAGACCACCTAGAATACCTTAGTCCCGTGGCATGGTTCACATGTTCTCTTCTTGGGCTTGAAGCAGTCATGACAAGGATTCTTCTGCAGAGATTTGAAAAGGGTCACCCTGATACCCAACGGCGAACTTCAACAACGGGGTGTAGGATTCTTGTAGGTGCCCTCCGAAAGACGCGGGGGGGCGGGGGGGGGTGGGGGGGTGCGGGGGGGGGGTGCGGGGGGGGGGGGGGCGGGGGGGGGGGGGGGCGAAAAGGGGGTGGGGGGGGGGGGCGGGGCGGGGGGGGGGGGGGGGGGTGGGGGGGGGGGGGGGCAAGCCCTAAAACCTCACCCTTATAAACCCTGAACCCTAAACCCTAAACCCTAAACCCTTCTAAACCCAAAAATCTAACTCTAAACCCTAAACTCTAAACCCTAAGCCCGCCCTGAACCCAGGGGCGGCATCGGCGTGGAGAACTTGCAGGGAAGTGGGCTGATCGCTGGTGAGACCAGCCGAGCCTACCAGGAGACTTGGGGTTTAGGGTTTAGGGTTTAGGGTTTAGGGTTCAGGGTTTAGGGTTTAGGGTTCGGAATGCCCCCAAGAACCTCAGACCTGAGCTAGGTTTTAGGGTTTAGGGATGTTTAGGGTTAGGGTTTAGGGTTCTCAGAATTTGGGGTTTAGGGTTCTGGCCATTGCAGTAAACCTTCCCCTTCCATCTCTTTCTTATTCATGCCAAAGGCAGGTTTGCAAAAAACTGTGGGCTGGTAAAGGGCTCTTTTCAGTGGTAAAAAAGATATTTGCGGTTTGGGGTTCAGGGTTTGGGGTTCCTCTTCCCGTTTCTGTGGTCGACGCCGCCACCGAGTGGCTCAAAATAGCCCCCAGAAAACCTAACATAAGAAGGCCTTTGACACCAGAAACCATAAAAAAGAGTCCTTCGAGCCTAAGGGACAGAGTAGGGGCATCCTTCCTGCACACAATAGAAACGAAGAAGAGATACGGAATACGCGAACCCCCCTGTTGTAAACCCTAAAAACCGTTGAGCCCCTTCAACCCAAGCTTTGCCTCACCACGAGGATGGCAAAATCCACCCGCGCACCTGTGAAAAGGTGCTATTTCAAGCTGGCTTAGGGTTTAGGGTTTAGGGTTTTGGGTTTTGGGTTTAGGGTCAAAAAAACAAAAAGAGCTCTGCCAGGAGACGTTTACCCTGTCCTACATCACGGGGCGCTCCGTGGGTATTGGCGCCTACCTGAACCGTCTGGGCCAGCGAAACATTCAGATGGCCAGGGGCTTGGAAGGTTTAAGGGTTTAGCGCTTAGGGCTTGGGTTTTGGGTCTGGGGTTTAGGGTTTAGGGTTTGGGGTTTAGGTTTTGGGATTTAAGTTTTAGGTTTGCCCTCAACCCCAAACCGCCGGGGCGTTCAGGATTTGAAGGGTTTCGTGCTCACATTTTGTGTTTCTTTGGGATTCGGTCGAGACAGTAAACTGAAATCTGCTCTGTAGCGTAAACCCTATGCCTATACCCTAAAGCCTTAACCCTCAACCCTAAACCCTAAACCCTAAACCCTAGACCCTTTCCATGTGTGCGAGTACAGCAGCCCTGAACGGACGTCGAAGCTACAACTCCAGTCTCCTTAGCCCTAAACCTTTTTTTTTTTTTTTGGGGGGGGGGTTGGGTTTGGGTTTTTTCCCCACCCTCGGTGTGGGGCTGTTAGATTTTAAGCTCAACTCTTCTCCTCGCCCGGAACTCGTCTCCTCGTCCGGAACTCTTCTCCTCGCCCTCGAACTCTTCTCCTCGCCCGGTCTACTCCTCGCTCATCCCTGGAGTGCCCAAGCCCAAAGTGTCCCAGTGCCCAACTCCGGAAAACCCCAGAGGCCCAACCCCAGAGTCTCCCTAGGGCCCTAGGGTGCGCAACCCCAGAGTGTCGCGGGAGCGCCCAGCCGCAGAGCTCCGCCCCCATATTCTCCCTGGAGTGCCCAACCCCAGAGTCTCCCTAGAGTGCCCAACCCCAGAGTGTCCCCGGAGTGCCCAGCCCTGAAGCCGAGAACCCTAGACCCCAGTATGGCTAAACCCCTCTCTCTCTCTCTCTCTTTTTTGTTGGGGGGGGGGGGGGGAGTTAGGGTTAACCCTAAAAGCATCTTAGGTCAGCAGCCCCATGATCCTCACGGGCTACGCTGCCCTCAACAAGCTCTTGGGCAAGAACGTCTACTCCTCGCAGGCTTCGACCTGAGCCCTAAACCCTCAAGGGGTTTAGGGTTTAGGGTTTAGGGTTCAGGGTTCAGGGTTCAGGGTTCAGGGTTTCTGGATGTTTTTGTTTGGGGGGGGGGGGGGTGTTTTCGGGTGCAGGGTTTAGCAGTGGGGCCTTTTGAGCTCGCCGAGGGTTTTTGGAGGCTTGGGGAGGTGATAAGGTTGAAGGGTTTAGGTGTTGGAGTGTGTCTTGCAGTGCTCAGTCAAGTCTGCTTTTGGTGTAGGGCTCCCCTCTGTAGCCCCTATACCCTAGACTAGATTGAGGGAGGTGTGCGTGTGATATGTGTGTGTGTGTGATCGTAATGTGGTGTCTCGCCCTAAACCCTAAACCCTTCTGTGACTTTTGGCCCGCCCAAGCCCTCGAACCCCTGAGCCATACTGAGTGGTGTCTCGCGCAGAACCCTAAATCCTAAACCCTAAACCCTAAGCCCTGGAAACAGAGACCCCTTAAGCCGTTTGCTTAAGCAGACTCTTCACGACATCCCTCTGATAGGGTCTGTAGGGATTAGGGTTTAGGGTTCAGTAGAGTTTAGGGTTTAGCGTTTAGGGATTAGGGTTTAGTTTAGGGTTCAGCAGGGTTTAGGGTTTATGGTTTCACGTTACAGCGTCTAGAGTCATGGAGGACCAGCTGGGCGGGCCGCAGATTATGGTGCCCAACGGCGTCACCCACCAGGTCGGGGTGCGAGTGTGCCTGGCTAAGAGTCTAGGGTTTAGGGTTTAGGGTTTAAGGGTGTAGGGTAGCTTTCAGGGATGCCTCTTGGGGGACCAAAAGGGGGCAGACTCGGGCAGACTTGCATTCATCCCATGTAGGAATGTGTTTGAAGAGGGGTACCAACCTAGAGAATGCTACGCCAGGCGGCCGAACCTAGAATCAAGTACGAGGCCCCATGTCCTGAACTGGAAATAGATCAAGACTTGCTGTTGTAGCTGGTGTCCAGTACCCAGAAAATCACCTGGACAAAGTAGCTTCTTTGCGACCCTGACCCCTACACCCTGAACCTTAAGCCCTAAACACCCAAGCCCTAACCCTAAGCCCTAAACTTGAAATCTCATGCCCTACAGCCTAATCCCCAAACTTGCACCCCAAACCCTACAAACCCACAAACCCTAAACCCCCTCAGCCTCAAAGCCTACCACCGATCCTAGCCCTCCCACCCCAAACCTGAGACCCGAACCCCCCCCCCCCCCCCCAAAGTTTAGAGGGTATTCGGGGTTTTGGGGTTTTTGGATTTAGGGATTTATCGGGTTTGGGGTTTATTTTATTTCTATTTTTTAGGGGGGGGGGGGGCGGGGGGGGCTCATGGCCCAAGCTCCCCTTTGCTGTCGAGGTCGTGCGGGACGACCAGGAGGCCTACTTTGCTTGCACGAATCGGTTGCTCTTTGTGGGGTTTAGGTTTTAGGGTTTAGGGTTTAGGGTTTAGGGTTTCAGCTTCAGGGGTGCTTAGGCACAGGCCCTCTGAAGAAGCCCTCCTGCTGAATCCTTTCTTCAACTTTGAGGTTGCGGGTTATAGGGTTTAGGGTTTAGGGTTTAGGGGTTTAGGGGTTTAGGGGTTTAGGGGTTTAGGGGTTTTAAGGATTGGGTTTACACCTCTCTCTCTCTTTCGCTCTTTTTCTCTCCGCTTTGTCTCTCTCTCCCAACCCTGCAAACCCGAAACCCTAAGACCCTAAACCCCAAACCCTAAATCCCTAACACTCCAAACCCTAAAGCTCTAAAACCCTAAACCCTACAACTCTAAAACCCTAAACCCTACAACTCGAAAGCCTCGAACCCTAAACTCGAAACCCCGAACCCCTAAACCCCTCAACCCTCAAATCAAAGTCCATGCAAGGGAATGGCAGCCATCCTGGACTGGCTGTCCTACGTGCCCAAGGAGACTTGTTTCTTTTGGGGGGCCAGGGCTAGTTTTTAAAGGGTTTTCTAGGGTTTTCCAGACTTTTTCAGGTATTTTTCGAGGTTTCTCTTCAGGGTTTTAGAGGCTGTGTTATGGTTTTCTTCCGGGGTTTGCTAGGGTTTTTGTAGGGTTCTTTAGGGTTTGGGAGCATCAAGAGGCGACACTGTGCCTATGTTGAGGCTCGACTCGAGTTGGGGCTTTTGCTTTGAGCCCTTATGGGGTGGTAGCCTTTGGTTTCGGGACTTGGCAGTCTTCGGTGTTGTTACTTAGCAGAGAGTTTCGGGAACTTTGATCACTCGTCGGCCTAACCCTAAAGCCGAAGGATGACCCTGATCTTTAAGCTTCTTCCGGAATGATGGCTTTCGATAGCCTAGGGTTTAGGGTTTAGGGTTTAGGGTTTAGGGTTTAGGCTTTAGGGTTTAGGGTTTAGGCTTTAGGGTTTAGGGTTTAGGTTTGGGCGGTCAGTTCTCTACATGGAGGTTTATCGAAACTAGGTGGTCTGTTTTCGGGGTAACCTGAATCGAAGACCCCAAATCTGCGTAGAAACGAAGCCGCAAATTACAGGGAAACCCGCCGGGGGTCAGAGTTTCGAAAACTGCCCACATCATTGTCAGTGGATCAGCGTGAACAATTCGGTGCTTGCGTTTGCCGCGGCTTAGGGCCTTGCGCACGAAGCAAGGTTGCTCCGATGTTGGCAGCTTTAAGCTGGGTTTAGGGTTTAGGGGTCTAGGTTTAGGTTTTAGGGTTTACGGTGTAGGGTTTATGGTTTAGGGGGTTAGGTTTAGGGTTTAGGGTTTAGGGTTTAGGGTTTAGGGTTTAGGGTTTAGGGTTTAGGGTTTAGGGTTTAGGGTTTAGGGTTTAGGTTTAAGGTTTAGGGTTTAGGGTTTAGGGTTTAGGGTTTAGGGTTTAGGGTTTAGGGTTTAGGGTTTAGGGTTTCATTTGCTTCAACACGGTATGCAGCATCCACATCTGCCCTGAGGAGATACGGGGATGTGGCACACTATGGGGTTCCGGGCCTTGGGATTCTGAGTGTAGCAGCGTGGGCTTTCTTTAGCGCAAGATTTCCCGAAGTATTCCTGCCCCTGATGATTCCGCAAAAGCTTTCAGCTTGTTTCGGGCTGTAGGGTTCAAGGTGTAATTTGGAGTTGCCCTACCATTAGTCTTAAAGCACAAACCCAAGACCCTCTACCTGCCGGAAGTACAGGACATCTCCTGCTTGCCTCCGGTGTGTCTGCATCTCAGAGACGGGCACAGCCATCCAACAGCGACTGCAACCCCCAAACACCACATCCTTCGTGTTTAGGGTCCCTAACCCCGCCTAAACCTAAACCCTCACCATGCAATCCGAAACCCTAAACCCTAAACCCTAAACCCTAAACCCTAAACCCTAAACCCTAAACCCTGAACCCTGAACCCTAAACCCTAAACCCTAAACCCTAAACGCCAAGCCCCGAACCCGCAACACACCCACAAAGTCCGAGGCCAGCCGTCGGGCGCAGACCCCTGGGACCGTGATGTGGAGTTTGAGCCTACGCCGCCGGGGTCCTGGCTTGGCTTAGGGTTTAGGGTTTAGGGTTAGGGGTTTAGGGGTTAGGGGTTAGGGTTTAGGGTCCAGGGTTTAGGGCTTAGGGTTTAGGGTTTAGGGTTCATGAATCCTGGGAGTGTGTGTTGCGTTTAATGCCAGGGTGGTCAACGTTAAGCGCTAAACCCGAAACCTAAACACTCAACCCTCAACCCTCAACCCTAAACCCTAAACCCAACAACCATGAGGCTGCCGTATGACCCACGCGACTTCCTCCGAGCCGGGCCCACAGCTACCTACCAGCACCGGTGTATACCGGCGTGCTCGGGTTTGGGGTTTGGGCCTTTGGGGTTTAGGATTCAGGGTATAGGGTTTAGGTTTATAAGGTTTAGGGCTTTGGGGTTTAGGATTCAGGGTATAGGGTTTAGGGTTTAGGTTCCCTAAGCCCTCATTTTTTGCTCCTACAATGTTTCTTCAGGAACCCTTGAGGATCTCCCAACTCCAGACCTTGGAAAACCCTAAACCCTAAACCCTAAACCCTAAACCCTAAACCCTAAACCCTAAACCCTAAACCCTAAACCCTGGAAATCTCTACACTCCGCACATACACACGCACACGCACACAGGCCACATGCAGGGACTAGGTCGCCGTTAACTGACACACACAATCATGCTTTATGCTGTGCTATCTTGCAGTCAGCTCACACTATGCCCTGCCTTTTTTTAACTGTTATCATATCGCATCATGTGCTATTTGCACTGCTAATGCATGTATGGTCTATTGATTCAATGGTCAAAGAGGGGGGTGCACTGCTCACAGTATGGGGTAGAGCGTCTCTAGGGCCAAGGGTGCAGAGTCAGGGATGAGGGTTTAGATTGCGGCTTAAACGGTAGTGTCTGATTCAGCCTTCTAGAAGCTTTACAAGTATCAAAGCAGGTGGATGGGTAGGCTTAACAAAATCTGCATTTCGTGAGTACAACCACAGAAAACCCTAAACCCTTAACCCTAATACCCTAAACCCTAAACCCTAAACCTTCAGCCGCAGGGTGTCATCGACCACGAGGGAGGCCGCAAGCGCGGCTTCTTCGACGCGGGATCGTGGATCGAGTACCTCGAGGCTCTTTGCGGCCTTTTTGGGTCGCTTTTGAGTGGTTTAGGGTTTAGGGTTTTGGGTTTAGGGTTTCGGGTTTAGGGCGTACGGGTGGGAGTGTTAAAGGGTATACTGTATACTTACTACAAGGAGCTGAGTATGTAAACCTCTAACTGTTGATCCTGTTAGGGTAGCAGAACCTGATGCAACCCAAGTTGAAGCTAGTTCAACCAGGATGCTCGTGACAAGTATCGGTAAGGGGATTACTCAGGACTTTGATCCTTGCAAACTCCCAAGCCTCAAATTGAAACCAAGCCTCGGACCAACCCCTCAAAGCCCTCAAATCCCCCAAACCCCCCAAACCCCCGAAACTCCCGAAACATCCCGCAACCTCCCAAACCCCCACTCGTTGGGTTCTCTGGACGGTTCATTCGTCCTGCCCCCGCCCCCCCACCGCCCTGCAAAGCGAGGCCTAACCCTAAACCCTAAACCCTAAACCCTAAACCCTAAACCCTAAACCCTAAACCCTAAACCCTAAACCCTAAACCCTAAACCCTAAACCCTAAACCCTAAACCCTAACCCCTAAGCCCTAAGCCCTAAGCCCTAAGCCCTACTTGTCATGCCAGCCCAGCATTTGCAACTCTGGTCGCTCGTCAGTAGTGTGAGCCCTAGACTTTGGGGACGAGCCAGGGATGGGGCCGCACGGTCATCGTGGGCCGGGCGCGCCTGGGAGGCCTGCGAGGGACATGCCCAGGGTTTGGGGTTTAGGGTTCAGGGTTCAGGGTTTAGGGTTTAGGGTTTTCGGGTTTAGAGTTTAGGGTTACATGGACTTGTAGGGCTTTTAAGGCAGTTAGGGCTCAGGGCTTTAAGATGTTGAGCTTTTTGGGTTGAGTTTGGGGTGCAGGGCTTTCAGGGTCTTTGGCTATAGGGTTTGGGTATGCAAGGTTTTACGGGCTTCGGGGTTTTGAGGATTTTGAGGGCGTTCCGGGCCTTTTAGGGGGCTTTGAGGGCTTTGGGGCTTTTGGGGTTTAGGGGCTTTAGGATATTCAGGTCAGGGTTGTGGCGGGTTGTAGGGCTTTATAGGGTGCTAAACCCTAAGCCCTGCATTCGCGAGGTCCATAGTTCAGGGTTAGGATGAGTGTCCGCGGAAGTACTGCGAGGCATGCCCATGGGTGTCATCGCGGCCCCCTGGCTGCAGCGTAGGGGGTTTAGGGTTTAGGAGTTAGGGTTTAGGGCGGTTTACGGTTTAGGATTTAAGGGTCCCTTGTTTTGCCGAGTGTCGATTAGAAGGCTTCCATAAAGAGCTTGGAGCACAAGGAAATGTTGGTGGCTGGTCGCTCCTAAGGCCACACTCCTGACTCATGTCAGTGTGGGTACACCCTTAAACCCTCAACCCTAAACCCTAAAGCCTCCCACGCACCCCGCTCCCCCCCGCCTACCCAAACCCTCCACCCTAAGCTCAAATCACCCCAAAGCCCGCTCCTAGAACCCGAATCCTTCAACCCACATCTGAGCCCGGAACGAATTCAAACTTTCCAGAAAGTCTTGAGCTAAGCCAAAGGCCCACAACAGACATGCTAATGAAGCAAGAGCGAAGTTGCGAATAGCACGCAGAAGCAATAACATTGAAAGCGCGCGCAACAAAAGTTCTGAAGCATCCAAGACCTTAAACCCAAGCCCCCAAACCCTAAACCCCAAACCCTAAACCCTAAACCCCAAACCCTAAGCCCTAAACCCCAAACCCCAAACCCTAAACCCTAAGCCCTAAACCCTGAACCCCAAAGCCAAATCCTAAACCCCAAACCCTAAGCCCTAGACCCTAAACCCGTAATCCTAAATTCCAAACCCTAAACCCTAAACCCCAAACCTTATAGAAACCCCAAACCCTCAACGCTAAACCCTAAACCCTAAACCCTAAACCCTAAACCCTGAACAGCAAGCAGCAGGTCGAGACCCGGAGTGTCGACCGCCTTGTTCCGGCAGACCCATCCAACTCTGAGAGCTGCGAGGTGCTCCAGGGGGGATTTAGGGTTGAGGGTTTAGGGATTAGGGCTTAGGGCTTAGGGCTTGGGGTTAAACCCTAAACCCTAAACCCGGAACCCTGAACCCTGAACCCTGAACCCTAAACCTATAGAGCCCTGAGCCCTGAACCGTACAGCCCATCTCCGAGCCCTGGAACACCCTAACTGCAACTCGGAGCTCTAAAGGCCCTAAGGGACCCTTCTTCAACTGGGACCTATTCCCTGTTCTTGAGGTTTAGGGTTTAGGGTTTAGGGTTTAGGGTTTAGGGTTTAGGGTTTAGGGTTTAGGGGTTTAGGGTTTAGGGTTTAGGGTTTGGGGTTTGGGGTTTGGGGTTTGGGGTTTGGGGTTTGGGGTTTGGGGTTTGGGGCCCTATTCCCTGTTCTTAGGGTTTCGTAACGGTTTAGGTTTAGGGTTTAGGGTTTAGGGTTTAGGGTTCCGGCACCCTTTTTTTGCCTGCGTTGCTCCTGGGTCTGGCTTTAAACCATAAATCCCTAAACCCTAAACCCTAAAAAACATGGAATAGTTTTTCAACAATGCGCCATGCAGGTCAAGGAGACCAACGGTGGCAAGGCCACGCAGATGGCGCAGAGGGCTTTGGGGATTTGTTTAGGGTTTAGGGTTTGCAGCTTCAGGGAGTGTAGGCGTGCAGGGCTTGTAGAAGTTGTAGGATACATGCGGTCCGCAGAGGTTTGTCGCCTTAGGGTGTGGGGATTCAGGATTTATGAAGGGGGGTTGGGCGTGCAGGGGATCAACCCTCAACCCACAACCCTCTTGAAGCGAACGTGCTGAGCCCTCTTGTGTTTAGGACTTCTTAGGGATGTCTAGGGTGGAAGCCTGCAAGGGCCCTGAATCCTAAGCTCAGTCTGGCCTAGGCCTTCACGCCTCAGGGCAAGTGTTGTTTCCAAGATGTTCGTGTGCGACAGGTGGCCTTAAACGTTTTTTGGGATCGAATCCCTTAGAATGACTACAAGAAGTTTCTGCCGGTGTCTGACAGGTATGAGGCATGGATAGATTTCTGCAAATGCAGCCAGTCGCACGGGAGTTCTTGCGTACGTTAATTGGGGTGGCTCCTTTGGGCGGGGGAGCCTCTTTTTCTAAACCCTAAACCCTAAAGGCGCCAAAATGTAGAGGCTGACAATTGCCACCAATACGCAGCGAATTCAGCAGCCCCCAAGCAAGGTTAGGTCGGTAAACCCGAATCTCCAAACCATAACCCCTAAATCCCAAAACAATCTTCAAAAAGAACCTAAAGCCCCCAAACACCAAGCCCTAAACCCTAAAACCCCCCAAAGCCCCAAACCTTGACACCCTAAAGCCCTGCACGCCCTACAGCCCTGCAACACCCCAGCCCCCAAACCCTAAACCCTAAAACCCCAGCAGCTCTGCAGGTGCCCAAAACCCAAATCTACCCCCAAGCCATAACACCCCCAAAGCCCTAAACCCTAAAACCTTGACAGCCGAAACGCCCAAGCCCTGAACCCCAAGCCCGAAACCTTATCTCCTAAAACCCCAAACCGCAACGCCCTAAAACCCTGAAACCCCAAACCCCAGCCCCTAAAACCCTCAAGCCTAAGAGCCACAAACCCCAAAACGCCCCCAAAACCGCCAAAACCGCCAAAAAGAAACCCTAAACACCCCAAAACCCTGAAAAACACCTAAATCCCCTACACCATACAAACCCTAAAACCCTAAACCTCCTAAACCCTGAAAACCCCAAACCGGTACACCCCCAAGCCCCCAAAAAACTCGGCAGGTGACCCTAAACCCTAAACCCTAAACCCCAAACCCCAAACCCCAAACCCCAAACCCCAAACCCCAAACCCCAAACCCCAACCCCAAAACCCCAAACCCCAAACCCCAAACCCCAAACCCCAAACCCCAAACCCCAAACCCCAAACCCTAAACTCTAAACCCTAAACCCTAAACCCCAACCCCAAGCTCCCAAACAACTCGGCGGGTTCTTTGGGTCTATGTATTATGTATATAGGGCCCTATTTCCTTCATTCCCTAGAAAGAACCAGGGGCAACAACTCGGCAGGTGTGGTTCCCGGACAGTGCCTTTAAGACAGCCCAGGCGCTCAAGGACTGCTCGGGCTGGGGGGGGGGGGGGGGGGGAGGCTTTGAGAAGGGTTTAGGGTTTAGGGTTTAGGGTCTAGGGTTTAGGGTTTCGGGGTTTAGCAACTAGGGTTCTTTGTAGGACCCAGAGTAAAACCATATTATATGTTCTTTAGGTTTTGGGTTCCCTTATAAGCCCCTTTACATCAAGAAGGGCAACCTTTCTTATTCCCAGGCTACTCTTGGGTCTAGAGGGTTCTGTCAAGGGTTGTTATAAGGTTGTGTCGAGCATTGTGAAGGGCTTTGAGTTTAAAAGGCACATTTAAGTGTTTTTGTGGGTTACGGCTTTTCAGGGTGTTAGGGGATTCAATGCTTTAAGGGTTTAGGGGGTTGTGGGGATTTTGGATTTCAGGGTAGAGTGTTTGTGGGAGTTAGGGGTTAGAGCTGTGTTTTTTGTGTTGCGGCTGAGGGTTTCAAGGCTTCAGGGCCTTGAGGTGTTGCGGCTTTATGGATTTAGGGTTCCAGGGCTGTAGGCTTTTCAGGGTTTAGGGTTTAGGGGGTTTAGGTAAACTCTTCTAGAGCATCCCCATGCCCGATCTTTCATTTTAACACCCCCGTGCCCCCTTAATCTTCAAGCCCAATGGGTCCATAGACAGCCTAAGAGTTGAAAACCCCTCATCCCGCAACCCTAAGCCCTAAACCCTGCATTTGCGGATTTAGGGTCTAGGCTTTCGGGTCTCAGGACTTCAACCGCGGAGAAAACTTGCCAGTTTGGCCCTCGGCACGCGGCTATGGCGGGAGTTTGGGTCCGAGGGCACGTAATGGAGACAGGGTTTATAAGGTATTCGGGTTGAGGGCTTAATCATTTAGGCGGGTTGAGGTTTGGGGGTTTGGGTTGGTGTAGCTCATTCTGATCTAACAAGCTATCTTCTTTACACGTTCAACACTGAGACATTCGCTCCGACATGTTCGTTCGATGAGGCCTTGAGAACCGTCCTCTCCTGGTCTTGATTCGAGTCACTGCATTTGGGTTTCCCTAAGCCCTAAACCTTAAACCCGAAGCCCTAAACCCTAAACCCTAAATAGAACCTGTGCCGGAAGTGCAGCGAAGGTCATCATCTTCGCCAACTGGCGCGGCTTCTCCGGCGGTACTCGCGACATGCCTGCATATCAATGTGTCGCCCCACTGGCCACGAATCCGCTGCCTAGGCTAGGGTTTGGGGTTTAGGGTTTGGGGTGTAGGGTTTAGGGTTTAGGGTTGATGGTTGAGGGTTTAGGGTTTAGGGCCAAGTCAGCAAGGTTTGGGGTTTAGGCTGAGGTGTGAGGTTGTTCGATGTTTGTACAAGTTTTGCAAGCTCAGCCCAACATTGACTAGTCCGTCAGTTCTCCAGAAAACCTAGATCCAGAACCTTCAGCAGCACCTATATCACCTATATCTACACTTCCCCACTCCCCCACAAGCACCCGAGCTGGTAAGCTGGAACCAGGTGACATGTACAACGAGATCCTGAAGTTCGGAGCTCCTTGTCCATAATCAGAGCATCAGATGTTCCAGCTTTCGGGGTGTTGCGGTTTCGGCTGAGTGGCTTCTGTTCCTTCTTTGGGCGGATTTTGCGGCTTTGTTTTAGATTGCGGGTGGAGAGCCATAGAAGTGTTCCCGAATGCCGTTGCTGTCGCCGTGCTGAGGAGAGTGTCTAGGACCCCTACTGGGCCATTGGCCTGAGGGTAGTTTCATCACTTCAGTTATGAAGTTGCCGACTGTGCCCCCTTAAACCCAAAGTGCTGTAATATAGTATGATATATATATAATACATATCTAAGTGTGTATATATATATATACGTATGTATCAAACACCATGATCGAACTTAAATTGGAATGTATAATTGAATGTAAAGTATACAAGAGTGTGAGCCATCTTGAGCCGCAGGCCATGATCGTGGATGCGCTGGTCGAGTGCGCACAGCGAAGCTACCACCAGTCGCTTTTGAAACGAACCCTAAGCCTAAGCCTTTGTAAACCCGAAACCCGAAACCCTAAACCCTAAACCCTAAACCCCAAACCCCAAACCCCAAACCCCAAACCCTAAACCTGAACCCTAAACCCTAAACCACAACCCGGTTTTCCGCCGGAACGCCACATCAAGCCTGAGAGGGGAGCTCCTGGAATTGCGATAGAGAGACAGGGTTTAGGGTTCGGGGTTTAGGGTTGCACACTGTTTGCCATCATCACATACATGGCACTCTGCGGTGATCAAAGCGAAATTGAGAAGCAAGAACATATGTGTCGGACCTCTACATGACAATCATCTTCAATGCACTTTGAAAGGTCCTTTGGGTCTTGGTTTGGAGTTTACACATCAGCCCTAAACCCTAAACCCTAAACTCTAAACCTTGGCGATGGAGTGTTGGGGTTTAGTGTTGGGCTTAAGGTTGCGCGGCTCGGGCCAGCTCGACTTAAGACCTATCTAAACCCTAAACGAAGGCTACCAGAAGTTGACCTTGTTAGGGTTTAGGCTTTAGGGTTGAGGCTGAACCCTATAATCAGCCCTAAACCCTAAAGCCTAAACCCTAAACCCTAAACGGCCCTAAGGCCTAAACCCTCCGTCAGGGTCGGATCATGAGGTTTGGGGTTTAGGCTAAGTGGGAATCTCCACCTTGAAGGGGGGGAACCGACCTCATGACCATGTTTTGGAACAGGTAGTTGAACAACTGCCAGGGTTTAGGGTTCAGGGTCTAGGGCCTAGGCCCTAGACCCTGGGCTTTGTGGTCTAGTGGTTTTGGCTTTGGGCCTCGGTTTGAGGGTTTGGAGGGCTTCGGGATTTTGCGGGTTGCTTTTGGGGGATGACAGCTTTGTAGGGGTTAGGGGTTTAGGGGCTGCTGGACCCTAAACCCTCAGCTCTAAACCCGAAACCCTAAACCCCGAAACCCTAAACTCTAAACCCTAAACCCTAAACCCTAAAGCCTAAACCCTAAACCTTGTTAGGGTTTGGCCACCTGCGAGGTACGAGCATCCCATCTTCATCTACATCCCCAAGCATGGCGAGCTCCGGGGTGGTGCTTGGGTGGTACCTCCTGGCCTGATTCAAACCCTGTTCAGCCCGAGTTTGCGCACCCGAAGGCCTGCAAGACGTATCATTCCTAAACCCTATGCCTCAAGCCCTAAACCCTGCACCCTTCAGCCTTGCAAACCCTAAACCCCAAACCCTGTGCTGGCGACAAAACGACCTGTGGGATGAGCCCAAATATATGGGACCTTAAATGAACCTAAAATTGGGGGCGCCAACCCTATGCTGCTACACTCCCCCTCGCCCTAAACCCTCTCAACCCGAACCCTTGTTAGGGTTCATTTGGTCCCCAAAGAACCCCATAAACGGCTTAGTGGGCTGTGGGGGAGAGTCAGGGTGTAGGGTTTGAGGGCGTAGGGGTTTGGGGTTAGGGTTCAGGGTTTAGGGAACAAGGTGCAGGGTGTAGAGCTTCCGGGTGTAGGGTAAACGGTTCAGCATTGGTGGGCGGGGGGGGGGGGGGGGGCTTTGCCCGTGTACCTTCGGCCTTCTTTAGCGGACAAGTGTGCTGAAGGCTCTCAGCCTTTTACCCTAACCCCTAAACCCTAAACTCTAAACCCTAAACCTAAACCCTAAACGAGGGTTGAGGGTTTCGGGTTTAGCCCAGTGGTACCCTTTACCCTGTTTCGGAACTTCTTCCCTTCTAAAGTACCCAACCAAGAAAAGGTACCCTTATCACATTTTGGTTACTTGGCTTCCAAGAAGACCCCCAAACCTTCTACCCTAAACCCTAAACCCGAAAGGCCCTAAGGGCCCTAAAACCCTAAAGCCCCTAAGTCCCTAAACCTACGAGACCTGCGGACACGCAGACTTTTGCCGCCTGGTGATGGCCAAACGGCCTCGACTTCTGGTTGGGCCGGGTCCCAACATCTGACATCTAAGCCCCGCAAGCTCTAAACCCTAAACCCTACAGTAAACCCTAAGCCCTAAAACCCTAAACCCTAAACCCTAAACCTTGGACCCTAGCATCGGGCCTTCGTCTCTCTGCTGACATGCCCTTGTGGGCTTGGGGCTTGGGGTTTGGGGTTAGGGGTTTAGGGTTTAGGGTTTAGGGTTAGGGGTCTACCGGTCTACCTGTGGCTCTGTTTGGTTTCAAACTTTTGGGATGCTTGGGTTTTTTTCCCGCAGCTTAGGGTTTCGGGTTTAGGGTTTAGGAAGTTTAGGGTGTTCGGTTCGTAGGTATTTGTAGGTAGAACGCAGCACGCAAACTGAGCACCAGGTGCGGTGCAACTGGTGGCAGCATATGGGCAAAGTAGTCGATTCCTAAGCCCCAAACCCCATGAGCCTCAAGCCCTCAACGAGAAAGCCCTAAAGCCTTCAGCCCCCCTACGCCCTAAACCACCCGTACTCCCTGAACCCTAAACCTAGGCTAAACCCTAAACCCTAAACCCTACGGTGAACCCGTATTTACCCCTATACAAATTCCAAAACCGAACACCTGTAGCCCGACATGCCAAGAGTTCGAATCCCCAGCCTTCAATCTTACCCTAAACCCTAACCCTAAACCCTAAACCCTAAACCCTAAACCCTAAACCCTTAACCCTTAACCCTAAACCCTAAACCCAGCATCCTAAGCCCCAGACCCCAAGAGGGTTTTTGGGGTTGAGGGTCCTAAACCCTGAGTCCTAAGTCCATACCCCTTTCGTGGGCCAAGCCCAGCCATGTTGACTTAGTAGTGGAGTAGGTAACCTCTAACCTTTTTGGGGTAGGAGAACCCCCCTTATAATCCCAAAGGTGAACCTTTAATTCCCCCAGGCTACTGGACAACTAGGCCAAACCCAGCCATGTTGGGACGTGGCAGGTCATCGATCCAGCCATCAACCCAGACAAGATGGAGATGTGCGCCCGCATCAGACGGGGGGGGCGGTTGCAAGGGGGAGGGGAGGGGAGCCTTTGGACTCAAAAGCCTAAACCCTAAACCCTGAACCCGGGTTTGGAGAAGTCTGAGCCTGCATCCCTACTTGTAAGTCAGAGTTGTCCGGAAAGTAGGCCTCCTCCCCCTCAATCCCCCAATTTTGGGTGAGCGGTTTAGGGTTAGAGCTGCTACTATTGACAACTGTTGAGGGAGTTACCCTCTGTTCAGGTACGCCGATGTGGACGCCCGCGGCGGCATCCTTGAGCCACCAGGCATTGTGGAGGTGCCATGGAAGCAACTCTTTTTAGGGCTTAGGGTTCAGGGTTTACGGTTTAGGTAGTCTAATGTGGGTTTATGACCCTCTGCTCTGCACGCTGAGCCATGCAGCCATCATCAAGGGCCTTGCCTGTGACTCCCCAGCCCGGCAAGATGATAGGCTAAGACTCCCTACATTTAGGGCATCCCCCTACATATAGTGCATTGCCCCCCAGAATAGGAAGGTAAGTGGAGCTCTAAGTACAGCTTGCCTGAGCCCTTTTACGGGTTTTGAGCTGTCTTTTTGGATGCTTTGAAAGGGCGCGTTGAGGTTTTGGGGTAAGCCTGTGTATCCCTAAACCCTCAACCCCAAACCCTGAACCCATGGCCCCGAAGCCCTGAGCTCTAATTCCCAGCAGGACTAGGGGGTTCAACCCTGCAAGCCCTACCCAAAACTACAGTAAGCTCCAGAAAGTTGGAACATGGCTGAAGGATGATTAGAGCTGAGATTCCCTTTAGTATGCCTTTTGGGGTATGGGGATAAGGATGTTCAAACCTTTTGGAGTTTACTAGCAAGCTCCAGAAAGTTGGAACATGGGTTTAGGATGAATCGTATTGGGTTTCCCTATATGTGACCTGAAGGGGATCAGGATATTGACGTTCCAACTCTCAGGAGTTCACTGTATAGTTTGCTCTACTTGACACGGGGGACCTACTCTTGAGATAAAGCTCCAAACCCTAAAAAGCCTAAACCCCAAGCCCTGAACTAGACCCCACCTGTTCTTTCGGGGAAGTGCCTGCCTGATACGTTTGGGGTTTGGGGTTTAGGGTTTAGGGTTTAGGGTTCTCGGGTTGGAGTGCTTAATAGGACGCTGGGCAGCCAAGGTGAAGTACCGTGCGCCCCAGCAGGCGGAGTCGGGAAGCAACTGCTTGGGGACACCCAAAACGTAAGCCCCAAACCCAAAACCCCCGAAATCCTTCACAGAGCACGGCACCCTTCATAAAGCACCGGAGAAGGGATCCTAGCCCTAAACCCTAATGTTAGACCCGCTTTAGTAGGGGCCTCCCCTTTAAAGTCAATTTGGCCAAATTATTCAGGACCCCCTGACTGTTTGCGGGGTCTCCTTTAAAGTCAAACCGTCCGGGCGCCGTAAGAAAATTCCACGTGGCGCGCCTTTAAAAAAGATAACCGGGCATCGCTGCCCCTGTTAAACCTATCTAAACTCCTCCCTATTGAAATCATATAAGCCCCCGGGGCCGTGTAATCAGGCTCCCATCCACGCCTCAACTGTTCAGGGGGGAGGGGGGGGGGGGGCCCAACACACTAAAGAGGGTCCAACATTAAATCCTGCCTTAGACCCTGGAACTTACCCAAATCAGGTTTGAGAGGGGCGTCCCAGGTTTTGGCTTCGCGTTCTGGGGTTTCGCCTTCATGGTCTGGTTGGCCTTGGCTCCCTCCGCCCCTACTTGTACGTTCTTATATATTTATTTTTTTTTTTTTGGGGGGGGGGGTTACGGTTTAGGGTTTAGATCTTTGACCCCTAAATGTGCATCTCCGTGTTCCCCCGCAACCTCAAATAGTCATATGTGTAAATGGCTATACTGCTTATGTACTACAACGATGTATATTTGTTACTCTTTCCTGCCGAAGCAGCCCGCGAAACTATGTCTTCGCATTGGAGAACATTGGCTTCTGGAAAGATACAAGACGAAAAATGAATGCCACGAATCTCTGAAAGATAAAAACACAGATAGACAGTGAATGTTTCATGAATCCGTATAGACAGCAACAGGCTGTGATGTGTGATGTTTGGGGTTGGGGTCGGTTACCGGGGTGGCAGGTTGGGGACGGGGCTCGCTCTCTCTCACTCTCTCTCTCTCTCTCTCTCGCTCTCGCTCTCGCTCTCTCTCTCTCTCTATATATATATATACATATATTTATATAATGCACGAACCACTATATTTTCTGCGTGCGTACATGTGTATGTTTGTTTATTTATTTTGTTATACATGTAGGTACAGTACACCTACAGAGATAAGCCCCACACTTCTGGACCCTCGACGCTGGGCTCTTTTATAACCCTAAACCCTAAACCCTAAACCCCTAAACCCTCAACCCTCAACCCTAAACCCTAAACCCTAAACCCTAAACCCTAAACCCTAAACCCTAAACCCTAAACCCTAAACCCTAAACCCTAACCCTAAACCCTAAACCCTAAGCCAGGTCGAGGCCATGCACAGAATCGACGCGAAGTTGAAGGACTTGGACGGCAAGCTGGCGGGCAAGGAGGACTGGAGCCTGGAAAAGGGTTCAAGAGGGTTTAGGGTTTAGGGTTTAGGGTTTAGGGTTTAGGGTTTAGGGCACGCTGTGTGCAGAAGGCTTTATAGGATCGATAGGGGGTTCGGGTTTAGGGTGTAGGGTTTCAAGATCGGGAGTACGATCGAGGGCAGGATTCGAGAGTGAGTTCTCAAGGGTCGTCATTGGGACCCTCCACAAACCCCGGGCCCTTCAGGGGTTAGGGTTTCGGGATTAGGGTTTGGGGTTTTAGGGTTTAGGGTTTAGGGTTTTGGGTTTTAGGGTTTCGGGTTTCGGGTTTAAGGCCTGAATCCTAATCCTTGCAGCCGCACACCTCCAAAACCCTAAGCTCTAAAGGCCCTACAAGTGCGTCTGAAACCCCTGACCCTAAACCCAAACCCTAAACCCCAGAACCCTAAACGGTTGCTACTCCCTAAACCCTAGACCCTAAACCCTAAACCCTAAACCCTAAACCCTAAAAAGCTCTAAACCTTAGAGCTTTGGGGTGGTTGAGTTGACATTGTCCGCCAGGGGGCCGCCAAGGCTGAGGTGGAGAAGGACATCAAGGCCTCCTGCTGGTTTAGGGTTTAGGGTTTAGGGTTTAGGGTTTAGGGTTTAGGGTTTAGGGTTTAGGGTTCAGGAACTAGGGTTTAGGGCTCAGGGTCTAGGGTTTAGGAATTAGGGTTTTTGGGGTTTAGCGTTCAAGGATCATTCAGCAGAGACTGGCCAACACCTTGGATGCGCACCTACGGGAGACACAGTTCGGCTTTCGCCAGGGCGGATCCACCTCACAGCCAGGGTTTAGGGTTTAGGGTTTAGGGTTTAGGGTTTAGGGTTTAGGGTTTAGGGTTTAGGGTTTAGGGTTTAGGGTTTAGGGTTTAGGCGACTCTTGGAGCGGGCAGAGCGCACGGCAAGCTCACTGCACGCCTTGTTGTTGGACTGGCAGCAGGCCTTCGGCCCACAATGACCGTGCGGCCCCATCCCTGGCTCGTCCCCAAAGCCTAGGGCTCACACTACTGACGAGCCCCCAGAGTTGCAAATGCTGGGCTGGCATGACAAGTAGGGCTTAGGGTTTAGGGTTTAGGGTTTAGGGTTCAGGGCCTAGGGTCTAGGAATTAGGGTTTTTGGGGTTTAGCGTTCAAGGTCTAGGGGTTCAGGGTCCAGGGTTTTAGGGTTTAGGGGATTTGGGGAAGTGGGCAATATGGGCTTCAGGCAGTCAACTTTCACAGCCTCTAACACCCGAAGGTCTTGAATTGATGGCTTGGGAGGATGGGGATGCTTCTGGGGTTTTGGGTTTAGGGCTTCGGTTTGGGGGGTTAGGGTGTAGGATTTAGGGTTTAAGGTTTAGGGTTTAGGGTTATAGGGTTTGCCGAAACCGCCCAGAATATGTAAAGTAATAGCTCTTGCATATGAATGTTGAGGCATACTGGAGGTCCAGGTAGGGCCTAGAACAGCAGGGCTTTTGCCCACAGTCCTCTGCCCGAATCCTTCAACTAACCCTAAACCCTAAACCCTAAACCCTAAACCCTAAACCCTAAACCCTAAACCCTAAACCCTAAACCCTAAACCCTAAACCCTAAACCCTAAACCCCAAACCCCAAACCCTAAACCCTAAACCCTAAACCCTAAACCCTAAACCCTAAACCCTAAACCCTACACCCTAAACCCTAAACCCTAAACCCTAAACCCTAAACCCTAAACCCTAAACCCTAAACCCTAGCCATCTGTTAGCAAGGCTCGGGCCGGCCTGGGTTCCCAGATTTACGCGAGCAAATAGCCCAAACACCCGCAAAAAGTGCGATTGCTCGAGTATGTAGAAAAATCGCCGAAATCCCATTAAAGAGGGTGGCTGTTGGGCGGTTGCTTTATTTCTAGTAAGTATGTATAAAAAGCCCCAAGCCCGTAAAAATAGGGCGGTTGTTTTTGTATGTAAAAAAAACAAATCCATGAACAAAGGAGCGAGTGTTTCAATTTTGGGGGGTTAGGTAAGCCTTAAACCCTGAACCGCAACCCACCAGGCGAGGGAAAAGCAGCTGCTCCGACCTCGGCTGTCAATCCACACTTAACAGTAACACTCGTTTAACACTCATGGCAAGTGACAAGGAGGCTTCAGGGGTCCAAAGTAAGCTTTTGACCAGTTCTGCCTAAACTCCCAAGCCCCTAATTTACCCTTGAAACCCTAAACCCTAAGGGGAGTTGGGCGTTAGACTGCAGTTTTTGGTTTAGGGGTCCGGGCTTAGTGACGAATGCCCACCCTCCCTCCGCAGACCACATGCCGGGCTTGTTTGGCTCAGGTCTCAATGAGGATAGGGTCGGGATCTCCTCAACCCTTCAAATCCTTTAAATCCTTCAAGCCCTTCAAACCCCCAAAAAAACCCTTAAAGCCCTTTAAAACCCTTAAAACCCCCGTAAACAAAAAACCTCAAAGAACCCTGAACACCCTTAGAAACCCAAAAAAAAGCCCTTCACGCCCTCAGCTCCCAGCTCCCTCGGCTGAGGCCAGGGTCTTGTGCACCGAACCATGGATCCCGAGCGCCTTGCGCTCCGAAACCTCACTCAAAGATTGGAAAGTCTAAGCAGACCCTTATAGAAAAGCCCGAACCAAGACATCCTAGAGAGTTTAGGGTTTAGGGTTGAGGGTTTACAAGCAAACCCTATAGATCCTAAGTCCCAAGCCCCCCGCCCAAAAATGAGCCAAAACGTAGGAAGCGGTAGCTTGCACCCCAAGGAATCTGTAGGTTGTTCTTCATCGGGCGTGGGGAGGGGAAATCCACAGCGGAGGTGCTTACTGGTAGGCTTGCGAGGCTCTGGGCCATAACTTGGGGGTGTGTGCACCCCCTGCGGCGCGTGCAGCAGCCATGAGCCACGCCAGCAGCACGGCACCCACTGCTTTCGGGCGCCCGCTGCACCTTGATGAGGCCTTGCCTTGTGCGTGCGACCTCTAACTTCAGTAGTTCCCTCCATCGTATGTCAACAATCATCCTACAAGTGACTTATGCGAAATAAGCGCTAATGACCCTAAACCCCAAAAACCCCAAACCACATACAGACCAGCGAAGCAGAGTCTTGCGGTTCAGGGTTTGGGCTTCTGGGTTTAGTTTCAGCACTTGCCCAAGAATTGGGGTTGAGAATGTAGGATTTAGGGGTGTTTAGGGTGGCGCAGATAGTCCCTGTGATGTTCTTAGGGTAGAGCCCGGAGCCCCAAGCCCCAAGCTCTAAACCCCAAACCCTAAACCCTAAACCCTAAACCCTCGACCCTGAGCCCCAAGCCCTAAGCCCTTTTGTCGAGTTCAAAGAGTACTCCGGTGCCGAGCCCACTCCTCAGGGTCCTTGTACCTAGTGGGGGGACTTTGAAGTTTAAGGTTTAGGGTTTAGGGTTTGGGGTTTAGGGTTTAGGGTTTAGGGTTCAGGCTTTGTTGAGGGTTTATAGGGTCCATGGTCTCCCAGTGTCTTGGCTTCGAATAGAGCACCTTCTGCTACAATGTCTTGGCATTTGTGCCTCTCTGGCCCCTGTTGCTCGAAGCCTCTGCGTGTGGGCTCAAGGCCTAAGAGTTTAGGTACGTACATAGCAGGTTGGAGTTTAGGCGTTGTGGTCAATTGGAAAAACTGAGAACGCCCTAAACCCCAAACCCTAAACCCTCAACCCCAGACCCTA